AACAAAAAAAATTACATAAAAATAGAAACGACTGCGTTCCGATGCAGAGAAGGGAACCCCGCAGGTATTTTTCCGCATTACGATACAAACAGGCATCTGTACACACATGCAAACTCACGCACATGCCAATACCGTTTGTGTGTCTGTGTGTGTGTTTTTATCTTATCACAGTTAAAGCTTATCCGGTTCCCTAGTCTATCGTTTTTTTTTCGCCCCAAGCGTGCATAACGACATTTAGGCCAACAATAATAGCAACAAGTCAGAAAAATATGTCTTTTCTGTTGTTGTTGGTTTTGTTCTTTTTATTATCAACATCAGCAGCAACAACAACAACAAACATTAACTCTTGTTGGTATACTTTTTGAGAGCACTCATACGCCTGATATGTGTGGCTATGTTCTTGCCTTACGGTTTTTGTTGTTGTTAATTGTAGCTACACTTCACAAAAAACCAAGTTAAACAAAAAATAAAAATAAATATAATAATTGTAGGAGCAAGAAGAATAAAACAGATGTTATAGGTATTTAGATATTTTTTATTTGTATGGCATTTTTTGTTAAGAGCAATGAACAATCAGGGCCAAAAATTATGGCATCACTCACTCCCCCGCTCGCTTGCCCTCTTTTCTATTTTTTTTTTCGTCTGAGATAAGTATATGTAAATATGTAACGGTTTGTTTTTTGTTTAAACAATTCAAGTTCAAATTTATTTAGTTTTTTTTGGGTCTTGGGCGTTTAAAATAATTATTACCAAATAAACAACAACAAATATTTAACTATTTTTAATAAGATAAATAAAAATCCGTAAATTTTTATAAAATTTTTTCGAGATCTCTAAAAAGGCAAGGTTGTCGGGGAGTGAGAATGAAATCTTGGAATATGTTAATATTTATTCAGCCAGGCTGAAATGAAGATTTCCTATAGAAACCTTAATTTAGCCAGGCTGAATTGAAGATTTCCTATAGAAACCTTAATTCAGCCAGGCTGAATTGAAGATTTCCTATAGAAACCTTAATTCAGCCAAGCTGAATTGAAGATTTCCTATAGAAACCTTAATTCAGCCGGGCTGAATTGAAGATTTCCTATAGAAACCTTAATTCAGCCGGGCTGAATTGAAGATTTCCTATAGAAACCTTAATTCAGCCGGGCTGAATTGAAGATTTCCTATAGAAACCTTAATTCAGCCGGGCTGAATTGAAGATTTCCTAAAGAAACCTTAATTCAGCCAGGCTGAATCAAAGATTTCCTATAGAAACCTTAATTCAGCCAGGCTGAATCGAAGATTTCCTATGGAAACCTTAATTCAGCCATGGAAACCAGAAACCTTAATTCAGCAAGGCTGAATTGAAGATTTCCTATAGAAACCTTAATTCAGCCAGGCTGAATTGAAGATTTCCTATAGAAACCTTAATTCAGCCAAGCTGAATTGAAGATTTCCTATAGAAACCTTAATTCAGCCAGCCTGAATTAAGGATTTCCTATAGAAACCTTAATTCAGCCAGGCTGAATTAAGGATTTCCTATAGAAACCTTAATTCAGCCAGGCTGAATTGAAGATTTCCTATATAAACCTTAATTCAGCCAGGCTGAGTTGAAGATTTCCTATAGAAACCTTAATTCAGCCAGGCTGAATTGAAGATTTCCTATGGAAACCTTAATTCAGCCACGTTGAATTGAAGATTTCCTATAGGAAACCTTATTCACCCGAACTGTATTGAAGATTTCCTATAGGAAACCATATTCAGCCAAACTGAATTGAAGATTTCCCATAGTAAACCTTATTCAGCTAAACTGAATGGAAGATTTCCTATAGGAAACCTTATTCAGCCAAGCTGAATGGAAGATTTCTTATAGGAAACCTTTTTCAGCTGTGCTGAATTGAAGATTTCCCATAGAAACCATAATTCAGCCAGGCTGAATTGAAGATTTTCCATAGAAACCTTAATTCAGCCAGGCTGAATTGAAGATTTCCTATAGAAACCTTAATTCAGCCGGGCTTAATTGAAGATTTTTTCTCTCTGTATCTCAAGATTGCTGATGGAATCCAAGTTTAACCTTATTCTATTCTATTCTCTTGTCTTTATTATAAATATCCATATTATCTCTTAGACTATGTCAATAACAACAACAGTGTTTTTTATGCAAACGCACACTTATAAATACACATGCATACATATATTCTTAAGTATGTTTGTGCTTCAAAACCTCGCAAGAACAAAAAAACAACAACCAAACTATTGCACACAGTATGATATAAAATGTGTTATTTTTTTCTACTACCTCAAGTTCTTAGATAAATAAAGTACAGTCATATTTATCCGCAGATATCTATGCAAACAAAAACACACACATATGTGTGTGTGCATGTACATAATATATTTGATATTGAATTTGGCAAAAGAAAAAAAAATATATAAAAACAAAAATATGTAGAATAAAAAAGAGGTTTACCCGCATACCTTGTACACCCCACCCAAATTACATACCAAGAACCAGAAACCACCACACACACCAGAAATGTCACTAGCCGACTGGCTTGGCTGCCGAACAAACAACCGACCTTGAATTTGAAAATTTTCTTGATTTAGTTCTGTATCTTGACAATGAAACTACCAAAAAGAGTAATATATGTAGATGGAAAAATATAAGACAATATATCTAAAAAAGGGAGATTAGAAAAATGCATGTTCAGTTACTGCACAGTGTGGAATGGGGGTGTAATATTTCAAAATGACAACAAATATTGTAATATTCTTAAAGAAACGTGTATTCAGCCAAGCTGAATTGAAGATTTCCTATAGAAACATTAATTTAGCCGGGCTGAATTGAAGATTTCCTATAGAAACCTTAATTCAGCCGGGCTGAATTGAAGATTTCCTATAGAAACTTTAATTCAGCCGGGCTGAATTGAAGATTTCCTATAGAAACCTTAATTCAGCCGGGCTGAATTGAAGATTTCCTATAGAAACCTAAATTCAGCCGGGCTGAATTGAAGATTTCCTATAGAAACCTTAATTCAGCCAGGCTGAACTGAAGATTTCCTATAGAAACCTTAATTCAGCCAGGCTGAATTGAAGATTTCCTATAGAAACCTTAATTCAGCCAGGCTGAATTGAAGATTTCCTATAGAAACCTTAATTCAGCCAGGCTGAATTGAAGATTTCCTATAGAAACCTTAATTCAGCCAGGCTGAATTGAAGATTTCCTATAAAAACCTTAATTCAGCCATGCTGAATTGAATATTTCCTATAGAAACCTTAATTCAGCCAGGCTGAATTGAAGATTTCCTACAGAAACCTTAATTCAGCCAGGCTGAATTGAAGATTTCCTATAGAAACCTTAATTCAGCCAGGCTGAATTGAAGATTTCCTATAGAAACCTTAATTCAGCCAGGCTGAATTGAAGATTTCCTATAGAAACCTTAATTCAGCCAGACTGAATTGAAGATTTCCTATAGAAACCTTAATTCAGCCGGGCTGAATTGAAGATTTCGTATAGAAACCTTAATTCAGCCGGGCTGAATTGAAGATTTCGTATAGAAACCTTAATTCAGCCAAGCTGAATTGAAGATTTCCTATAGAAACCTTAATTCAGCCGGGCTGAATTGAAGATTTCCTATAGAAACCTTAATTCAGCCGGGCTGAATTGAAGATTTCCTATAGAAACCTTAATTCAGTCGGGCGGAATTGAAGATTTCCTATAGAAACCTTAATTCAGCCGGGCTGAATTGAAGATTTCCTATAGAAACCTTAATTCAGCCGGGCTGAATTGAAGATTTCCTATAGAAACCTTAATTCAGCCGGGCTGAATTGAAGATTTCCTATAGAAACCTTAATTCAGCCAGGCTGAATTGAAGATTTTCTATAGAAACCTCAATTCAGCCAGGCTGAATTGAAGATTTCCTATAGAAACCTTAATTCAGCCAGGCTGAATTGAAGATTTCCTATAGAAACCTTAATTCAGCCAGGCTGAATTGAAGATTTCCTATAGAAACCTTAATTCAGCCAGGCTGAATTGAAGATTTCCTATAGAAACCTTAATTCAGCCAGGCTGAATTGAAGATTTCCTATAGAAACCTTAATTCAGCCAGGCTGAATTGAAGATTTCCTATAGAAACCTTAATTCAGCCAGGCTGAATTGAAGATTTCCTATAGAAACCTTAATTCAGCCAGGCTGAATTGAAGATTTCCTATAGAAACCTTAATTCAGCCAGGCTGAATTGAAGATTTCCTATAGAAACCTTAATTCAGCCAGGATGAATTGAAGATTTCCTATAGAAACCTTAATTCAGCCAGGATGAATTGAAGATTTCCTATAGAAACCTTAATTCAGCCAGGCTGAATTGAAGATTTCCTATAGAAACCTTAATTCAGCTAGGCTGAATAGAAGTTTTCCTATAAAAAACCTTATTCAGCCAGGCTGAATAGAAGTTTTCCTACAAAAAACCTTATTCAGCCGGGCTGAATTGCAGATTTCCTATAAATAACCTTATTCAGCTAGGTTGAATTGCAGATTTCCTATGGGAGACCTTATTCAGCTAGGTTGCATTGCAGGTTTCCTATAGAAACCTTAATTCAGCCGGGCTGAATTGAAGATTTCCTATGGGAAAACTTATTCAGCCAAGCTGAATTGAAGATTTCCGCAAGGCTTAATTAATAAAAATTACAACATAGGTAAATATTTGGCACTTTACTTTGCACTTTATTTACATGATTTATTTGGGTAATGGGTAGGTCATGTTATTAATGTCTTATGGTTATTGTTAATGTTATTCTCACCCACACACACACATTTAGGTATACATACATCTCCCCCTCATCGCCATTAAATCATTCATAGTAAAAAATATTCATTTCTTTTTTCTCCCCCTTTCGCCCTGCCATTTGTTGTTGTCGTTTTTGCTTTTTATGGCAAAACCTCAGTATTAACCCCAAAAATCTTAACCTTAAATCGAATCCTTTAAGCACCATGTCTGGCCCTGCCCGACTATGACCGTAACATATACTATGAGGATTACTATGATGACCTGGAGTCGTCGAGTGGTGGGCCGGAGCCTTTAATTGAATTGGAGACGGTGTTTGTGGACCCACCCTACTTTGAGCGGGCGGAAATTGAAATTTCGGCCCAACCAAATGCGGATGTTCTAATGAATTGTGACGTGAAAAACTTTCACGGTGAGTAAGCAACAAAAATAACGACAACGGCCGCCGTTATCGCCAAATGGCAAAAAACGTTTAACTGTTTGCTTTAGCTGATAGCGAAAACGGCTGATAACCCCTACGCGCTATTTTTATTAATTTCCCTTTTAATTTCTTCCACCCCATGTACATGTGTTGGTGTGTCTGTCGGTGTGCGCCTATCTTATCGGAACTATAGCAAACAATGTCGTCATCTGGTATAAGGATCAAACTGTCATCATCAATGGCCAACACTCAATGAACGACCGCTTCGAAGCCCTAAAAAATAATTCGATTGTCTTGCGAAATGCCCAGCCGGATGATGAGGGCAATTATTTTTGCACAGTTCTGCCACAAAATATTACCCAAAATGTTGTGTTGACAATTGAGAAGGCATTTACGATACGCTGTGATGGTCGTGATGTCTTGGATCGCAGCATTGTCTATCGGCAGGGGGAATCGCATGTGTGTGAGTGTAAGGCCAGTGGTGAGGAGAGCAATATTAAATGGTTTTTGAATGTGAGTATATGTAAATTTGGCAATGTAAACCATATTCAGCAAAGCTGAATAGAATATTTCCTATGCGAAACCTTATTCAGCCAGGCGGAATTGACGATATCCTATAGAAACCTTAATTTTGCCAGGCTGAATTGAAGATTTCCTATAGAAACCTTAATTCAGACAGGCTGAATTGAAGATTTCCTATAGAAACATTAATTCAGCCAGGCTGAATTGAAGATTTCCTATAGAAACGTTAATTCAGACAGGCTGAATTGAAGATTTCCTATAGAAACCTTAATTCAGCCAGGCTGAATTGAAGATTTCCTATAGAAACCTTAATTCAGCCAGGCTGAATTGAAGATTTCCTATAGAAACCTTAATTCAGCCAGGCTGAATTGAAGATTTCCTATAGAAACCTTAATTCAGCCAGGGTGAATTGAAGATTTCCTATAGAAACCTTAATTCAGCCAGGCTGAATTGAAGATCTCCTATGGGAAACCTTTTTCAGCTAGGCAAAATTGAAGATTTCCCATGGAAACCTTATTCAGCTAGGCAAAGTATATGTAAGTATATGTAAATTTGGCAATGAAAACCATATTCAGCAAAGCTGAATGGCAAAATTCCGAAGGGAAACCTTATTCAGCCAGGCTGAATTGAAGATTTCCAATGGGAAACCTTATTAAGCAAGGCTGAGTTGAAGATTTCCCATGGGAAATCTTATTCAGCCAGGCTGAATTGAAAATTTCCTATAGAAACCTTAATTCAGACAGGCTGAATTGAAGATTTCCTATAGAAACCTTAATTCAGCCAGGCTGAATTGAAGATTTCCTATAGAAACCTTAATTCAGCCAGGCTGAATTGAAGATTTCCTATAGAAACCTTAATTCAGCCAGGCTGAATTGAAGATTTCCTATAGAAACCTTAACTCAGCCAGGGTGAATTGAAGATTTCCTATAGAAACCTTAATTCAGCCAGGCTGAATTGAAGATCTCCTATGGGAAACCTTATTCAGCTAGGCAAAATTGAAGATTTCCCATGGAAACCTTATTCAGCTAGGCAAAATTGAAGATTTCCTATAGAAACCTCAACTCAGCTGGAGTGAGTTAAACAGAATTGAAGATTTCCTATAGAAACCTTAATTCAGCCAGGCTGAATTGAAGATTTCCTATAGAAACCTTAATTCAGCCAGGCTGAATTGAAGATTTCCTATAGAAACCTTAATTCAGCCAGGCTGAATTGAAGATTTCCTATAGAAACCTTAATTCAGCCAGGCTGAATTGAAGATTTCCTATAGAAACCTTAATTCAGCCAGGCTGAATTGAAGATTTTCCAAAGAAACCCTTATTAAGCCACGCTGATTTGAAGATTTCCTATAGAAACCTTAATTCAGCCAGGCTGAATTGATGATTTCCTATAGAAACCTTAATTCAGCCAGACTGAATTGAAGATTTCCAATGGAAATCGTAATTCAGCCAGACTGAATTGAAGATTTCCTATAGAAACCTTAATTCAGCCGGACTGAATTGAAGATTTCCTATAGAAACCGTAATTCAGCCAGGCTGAATTGAAGATTTCCTATAGAAACCGTAATTCAGCCAGGCTGAATTGAAGATTTCCAATAGAAACCTTAATTCAGCCAGGCTGAATTGAAGATTTCCTATAGAAACCTTAATTCAGCCAGGCTGAATTGAAGATTTCCTATAGAAACCTTAATTCAGCCAGGCTGAATTGAAGATTTCCTATAGAAACCTTAATTCAGCCAGGCTGAATTGAAGATTTCCTATAGAAACCTTAATTCAGCCAGGCTGAATTGAAGATTTCCTATAGAAACCTTAATTCAGCCAGGCTGAATTGAAGATTTCCTATAGAAACTTTAATTCAGCCAGGCTGAATTGAAGATTTCCTATAGAAACCTTAATTCAGCCAGGCTGAATTGAAGATTTCCTATAGAAACCTTAATTCAGACAGGCTGAATTGAAGATTTCCTATAGGAAACCTTAATTCAGCCAAGCTGAATTGAAGATTTCCTATAGGAAACCTTAATTCAGCCAAGCTGAATTGAAGATTTCCTATAGGAAACCTTAATTCAGCCAGGCTGAATTGAAGATTTCCTATAGGAAACCTTAATTCAGCCAGGCTGAATTGAAGATTTCCTATAGGAAACCTTAATTCAGCCAGGCTGAATTGAAGATTTCCTATAGGAAACCTTAATTCAGCCAGGCTGAATTGAAGATTTCCTATAGGAAACCTTAATTCAGCCAGGCTGAATTGAAGATTTCCTATAGGAAACCTTAATTCAGCCAGGCTGAATTGAAGATTTCCTATAGGAAACCTTAATTCAGCCAGGCTGAATTGAAGATTTCCTATAGGAAACCTTAATTCAGCCAGGCTGAATTGAAGATTTCCTATAGGAAACCTTAATTCAGCCAGGCTGAATTGAAGATTTCCTATAGGAAACCTTAATTCAGCCAGGCTGAATTGAAGATTTCCTATAGGAAACCTTAATTCAGCCAGGCTGAATTGAAGATTTCCTATAGAAACCTTAATTCAGACAGGCTGAATTGAAGATTTCCTATAGGAAACCTTAATTCAGACAGGCTGAATTGAAGATTTCCTATAGGAAACCTTAATTCAGCCAGGCTGAATTGAAGATTTCCTATAGGAAACCTTAATTCAGCCAGGCTGAATTAAAGATTTCCTATCGGAAACCTTATTCAGCTGAACTGAATTGAAGATTTCCTATGGGAAACCTTATTCAGCTGAGCTGAATTGAAGATTTCCTACGGGAACCTTATTCATTGTAGCTGAATCAATGATTTCTAAATATAAATTCTTTATTTTTTTTGTTCTCCTCCCTTTAGAATCGCCGCTCCTCCGATGTTGAGCTCGAAGTTGATGAAAATGCCATTTATATTGATCCTGTCGATGAACATCATGCCGGTATCTATCAGTGTATAGATGATGATGGTTCAGCCACTCCCAAACACGGCCGCTTTGAAGTGGTAGTCCATTATGCTCCCAAAGTTTCGACACATCGCCATCATGTGAATACGGACATTGGTAGTACCGCGGAATTGTATTGTGATTATCGAAGTTATCCCATTGCGGTTACCAGATGGTTGAAGAATAATCAATATTTAAGTCTGTCCGAGAAATACATGATGACCTATGCGGCGGAACAACATTTCAATCGCAGCACCCTCACAGTGAGAGATGTAACGACAGATGATCTGGGTGAATATAAATGTCAGGCAGAGGTAAGTCGGGATAGAGAGCCAAGAGATAAGATTTCCCTAATCTGTTTTTTTGCTCCCTTTTAGAACTCCATTGGTTCCAGTGAACTGAAAGTCCATTTGATGTTGGAACCCGAAAGAGGTCAGTTTGAAAGTGTCGAGATCAAAGGCAATGTTGTGACCCTATATTGGCTGGTTCGCAGTCTACAGCCCCTCTCCGAAGCTGTGTTGGATTACAAAATGACCGGGGTATGTATTGACCATTAGAATGCTTCCATTGTGTCCAGCTTCGTTTTATAGCAATACAAATATATCTTTAAAGTTTCATTTATTTTAAGGCCTACACATGGAGTACAACCTCGGTGCTGCATACACATCGTCACGAGGATGGTATTTGGAAGATTACCCATGAAATGGAACTGCTGCCCGGAGAATGGCAGACACGCATGAAAACCAAAAACACAATGGGTTGGTCGAAATTTTCGGCGCCCTATATTTTCACAATCAGAGAGGAGAGTGAAGGTAAGGATCAGCAGAATACATTCAGCCATTGCTGAATAGGGTTCCAATTAGGAAATGTTCAATTCATTCCAGCTGAATATGGATTTCAATCGGAAATATTCTATTCAGCCCAGCTGAATTAAGGATTCTATGGGAAATCTTCAATTCAGCCTGGCTGAATTAAGTTTTCCAGAGGAAATCTTAAATTCAGCCTGACTGAATTAAGGTTTCTATAGGAAATCTTAAATTCAGCCCAGCTGAATTAAGGTTTCTATAGGAAATCTTCAATTCAGCCCGACTGAATTAAGGTTTCTATAGGAAATCTTCAATTCAGCCAAGCTGAATTAAGGTTTCTATACGAAATCTTCAATTCAGTCTGGCTGAATTAAAGTTTCTATGGGAAATCTTCAATTCAGCCCAGCTGAATTAAGGTTTCTGTAGGAAATCTTCAATTCAGCCCAGCTGAATTAAGGTTTCTATAGGAAATCTTCAATTCAGCCCAGCTGAATTAAGGTTTCTATAGGAAATCTTCAATTCAGCCTGGCTGAATTAAGGTTTCCATAGGAAATCTTCAATTCAGCCTGGCTGAATTAAGGTTTCTATTGGAAATCTTCTATAGGAAATCTTCTGGCTGAATTAAGGTTTCTATAGGAAATCTTCAATTCAGTCCGGCTGAATAAAGGTTTCCATGGGAAATCTTCAATTCAGCGTGGCTGAATTAAGGTTTCTATGGGCCTGGCTGAATAGGGTTTTCATTTGGAAATTTGTAATTCAGCATGGCTGAATAAGGTCCCTTTATATATTTTTTTCCTGATTTTTATATATTCTTTCTTGCTTTTTCCAGATGACAATGTCCTGGACATTGTCGATGACAAAGAAAATGTGGTCATTGCTGGTTTTGGCGGTGGAGCCAAGGAACAAAAATCATCAGCTGCTTCAAGGAGTTGCCACCTATCCCTATATGTACTGCTTCTCCTTGTTACAACAACGTTTTATAGGCAAAGGCATGTGGGCCTACGACATTAAGTGAGAGACTTATTCAAAGAGTCTTTTAAGAAAAAGAGAACAAAAAACACAAAAACAACAACAAAATAGACATTTAATAAACCAAATACACAAATAAAGTTAGTGCAAATTTAATTTAACAACAACAAGAAAAGAATGATTGATTGTGAATAGGATTAATGATAATAAACCTAAAATTTAAGAAATAATAATAATAACAACAAAATATAAAAAAAATCCAAACTCGGGTTTTATTGTCAATGTGTTTGCATGCTCTATTGTGTCAAGTTTAGCACTTGAGTGGCAAATTGTCATTCTGTGTCCTCTCCCTTTATTTTTCCCCTCGGAAATCAACACATAATCCCCTCATTTAGGGTTTTTTACAGGCATTTGAATTAAATTTGACAATAGCGTCTAAGTAAATTGGCTTGTGTCTGCCATTCGGAATTTATGTCTTTCTGTCTGACCGCCCTCCTCCTCTCCCGCCTGCATACCTCAAATGACTGCTCAAAAAAAGTACAAAAGTTTACTTTAGGTTTATTTACGCGCGGATTCTATGCACAATTATGATTACAAAACAATTTATTATACACCAATTTAATATGAGATCGTAGTGTGACCTAGCCGCCATTGCTGAGGACGCTGCCGATGAGGAGAACGCATACATGCTTGAGTACAGTGTCTTATCTTTTTCGACGACAATTGAATTTTCCGTAATATCGTTACTTGTTATCTCCATATCTCCGTTGGCGTCATTGGCTAAATCATCATTGCGATCTTCAAGCTCTCCAGCGTCAGTGCCACTGATACCACTATCCGATTCGGTGGAATAATTTGGAAATTCAACTGAAAAATGAAGAGACAATTAGTCACCGACTCATACATAGATAGGTAAATTTTTGTTTGGCAAACATACCTTCACCACCGGTAGCAAAACGTAAAATTTTACTGCTATCACTCCAGCCGTAATGATTACGGGCCAATACCACAACCTGATAAATGCTGGCCGGATACAGGCCATATAATGTGTAGGTGGTGGTGTAAATGGGTCCTTGGAAAAAGAAAATCAGGAAATAAATTAATAAAAATCATATTCAGTTAAGAAAAATCATATTCAGTTAAGAAAAATTATATTCAGCAAAGCTGAATATAAAAATTATTTCAAAAAATTTAAATGTAATCCTGAAGAATTGTGTTTCCTAACAGAAAATCACTATTCAGCTATGCTGAATTGAAATTAATCTACAAAAACCCTAGCTGAATTGTGTTTTATACATGAAAACTGCTATTCCGCATAGCTGAATACCGTTTTATTTACCAAATCTAATCTCAATTGGATTCAGCTAAGCTGAATTGTATAATTCGTATACAACATTTAATTTAATCTACGAAAAGTTTTGCTGAATTATGTTATATACATGAAAACTGCTATTCAGCATAGCTGAATTGAATTTTTACTATGAGAAATACTATTCAGCTAAGCTGAATTGCTTTATTTCAATGAAGTCTACAATTCAGCCAAGCTGAATTGAGTTTTTACTATGAAAAAAAACTATTCAGCTATGCTGAATTATTTTATTTGTGTGAAATCTACTATTCAGCTTAGCTGAATTGATTTATTTCTGTGAAATCTACAATTCAGCTAAGCTGAATTGAGTTTTTGCTATGAAAACTACTATTCAGCTAAGCTGAATTAAGATTTCACTATGAAAAATACTATTCAGCTAAGCTAAATTCATTTATCTCTGTGAAATCAACTATTCAACTAAGCTGAATTGATTTATTTCTGTGAAATCTACAATTCAGCCAAGCTGAATTTAATTATTTCTATTGAAATTCCTATTCAGCTAAGCTGAATTGATTTATTTCAATGAAGTCTACAATTCAGCTAAGCTGAATTTAGTTTTTACTATGAAAAATACTATTCAGCTAAGCTGAATTGATTTATTTCAATGAAATCTACAATTCAACTAAGCTGAAATGAGTTATTTCTATATAAAATACTATTCAGCTAAGCTGAATTACGATTTTTCTACGAAAAATACTATTCAGCTAAGCTGAATTGAGTTATTTCTTTCTAAAACACTATTCAGCTAAGCTGAATTGAGATTCTACTTTGTAAAATACTATTCAGCTAAGCTGAATTAAGATTTCGTTATGAAAAATACTATTCAGCTAAGCTGAATCGAGCTTTCCTTGTGATAACTGTCATTCAGTGAAATTAAGTTGAGTTTTCTGCAAAAAATAGTGTTATTCAGCTAAGTTTTCAACACAAAACCTGTTATTCAGCTAAGTTTTCATCACAAAAACTACTATTCAGCTAAGTTTTAATGAAGTTACGTTCGAAAAAATACTTTAGATACGCTGAATTTCGATACGAAAATTAGTATTCAGCACAATTTCAACCTTTCAATGAGAAATCTTCTATTCAGTCACGCTGAATACGATTTCCCATAAGAAACATTTTATCCACCCCAGCTGAATATGGTTTCCTACCACCATTTGATCTCTTCATAAACTAGTTCGACCCTCGAATACTCTGTATGAGCTGTTCGGACCTCTATTGATCTCTATTAAACTCATTGTTAGCTATTCGAACCTCTTCTAACCTCTTCATACACTTTTACTACATCTTATAACTTATACTGAGCTCCTTATAATATATTCTGACCTGTACTGACGTACCGGAACCTTTACTACGCTTCTTATAACCTGTTTGTACCTCTATTGACCACATCGGAGCACTTCATAACCTATTCGGGCTCTAGAGTTATTCTCATAACCTATTCGGACCTATATTGATCTCGTGTTAACTCCTCATAACTTATTCGAACCTCTAAATGGCTCCTTATAACCTATTCGAACCTCTACTAAGTTCTTCAGAAATTATTACCACATCTTATAACATATTCTGAGCTCGGACTCCTACTTACTTACTTAATCCTCTACGCCTCTGTTGACCACAGTTGTCCTCTGCATAACCTATTCGATCACTGGAGTAATTTTCATAACCTATTCGGACTTATATTGACTTCTACTAAACTCCTCATGACCTATTCCGACCTTCAATATGTTCCTCATTACTTGTTTGAATCTGTATTTATCTCTTCAAAAACTAACAAATTCGGACCTCTTATGGTTAATCGAACCTATACAATAATAGTCATAACCAGCTTGAACGTCTATTGAACACCACTGACCTCTTCATATAACCTATTCGGACCTCTAGTATGCTCCTGGTAACCTGTTTCAACCTGTATCAACCTCTTCAAAAGCTATTTCCATTTTTTATAATATAATCGGAGTTCCACGTAGCATAACGGTACATGATGAGCTACTCGAACCTATATAAATTCTTATAACGTGTTGACCTTTACAAAGGCCATCACAACCTATTCGGACTCCAGAGTTATTCTCATAACATGTTCGGATATCTTTTGATCTCCACTAAACTTCTATTGGGACCTCTACTAGACCCTAGATAACCTGTCAAGACCTATATAGACCTTTGCTATGTTCCATGTAATATATTCGAACATCTGCTAGACGCGTCATAACATCTATTGATCTTTTCTATGCCCTTCATAGCCCATTCGGACCTCTATTTAGCCCAGTTGAATCAGGTTTCCCATAATAAATCCTCAATTCAGCCGAGCGGAATACGATTTTTTCATCTTCGGACCTCTGCTGAGATCCTGGGCCCCCTGCTGAGGTCCTGTGACCTCTGCGGAGATCCTGGGACCTCTACTATGCTCTATTTCGTAGCCTGTTCAGACATCTATTAGTCGCTATAAAACTCCTCGTCACCTATTCGGACCTCTACTAGGCTCCTATTAACCTGTTCGAACCTCTATAGACCTCTGCTAAGCTGAATAAGGTTATTTCTTAATTAGTACAGCTAAATAATAATTTCCAATAGCGCATTCTTAGACTTACCTATTGAAATATCCGATGGTATGGTCAATTCGGTCCATTCTGGTCTGCTGGCCAATGTTGTGAACGAGACTGTAGTTTCTGTAATAAAAACATAACAACAACAACATAATTAATCATTTATGTTTAGTGGGCATATCAAAACACAGTCGCTGGGGGCCGAAATATCAACAGCTCGCACACACACAACCTCACACCCACAATTCAATTAAGTCAATTGAATAATGACCCGAGGTATCGTTCCAACAATGCCAGCTAAACAATTTAAAAAACACACTATGGAGTAACGAGTGAGTGAGCATGATCACTCAGTCACCCACCCAGCCTGACAGCCAGCCAGTCATCTCTGCGCCACATACTCACCAGATGGTACTTGTCGGAATTTCAGTTTAAATTCAATAACCGGCGAAAAACTTTCTGTCTGCCACACCAGGGTGTGGGATGTCGGGCTCTGCATGTCGGGACTTGTTTTAAAGGTACACGGCATTGGACGGAATGTCAGCTCCATATAATTGCTTTGGACGCCATGTGCGTTTTCGGCACGACACTCATACATGCCCATATCGGATTCGCGGACATTTTTCAATATCAGCGAATGTCGCATATCGGAATAGTAACGGTTGTTTTGATTGTTGTTGTTGTGGCTGTTGTAGGTGTAGTTCAGAGGCATTTCAACATCTTGCCGAGTGTAGTAGGGACCCATGGCGATAAGTTTGCCAGCATGATACCAACGTACCTTAGCCAAAGGTGCCGATTCGACATAACAGTCCATTTGAATGCGACCACTCACCTTGGAGTAGTAGATCTTTTGAGGGCTGCGAATTTCTGGTGCGACTGTAAAGAGGGGAAGTGAGAGGAGATTTAGAAGAGATTTTACAGAAATATTCGAGGACCGAATTATATAAAAAACTAAATAGAGGTTCGTAAAAGGTACGAATATGTCAAAAAAGTTTTGAATATGTTATAAAGATGTCTGAATAGCTTATGAGAAACATAATTGAGGTTAGAATAGGTTATGAGAAGCATAATATTCGAACTTGGTGGAGGAGACCTGAATGGAGGTTCCAATAAGTTATGAAGACCTATGTGGAGATAAGAAAAAGTTATGAAGACCTAGGTGGAGGTTAGAAAAAGTTATGCAAAGATTAATAGTAGTCAATATAGGTTAAAAACAGGCTATTATGGGTTTAAAAAAGGTCAGGATATGTTATGGGGAGCTTAGTAGATGCCAATAGAGACGCAAACAGGTTATGATATCTTTAGTAAAAGTCTAAATAATATCCGACAAAGTTAGGAGGAGGTATCTAGAGGTCCGAATAGGTTATAAGGATAATGTTGAAGGTCCAAATATGGTAATATGAGCTTAGTAGAGGTCAATGGAGGCCCGAAGAGTTTGTGAGGAGCATAGTAGAGGTCAGTGGAAGTCTGAAGTGATTATGAAGAGCATATTTCAGGTCATAATAAGTTCTTATATGATTACAAGATGCCTGAATATGAGAGAGAAAAAAGACAAATAAGAGGTAAAAAGAGGTCCGAATAACTTATGAGGAGATTATTGAAGGACCGAATATGATAAGATGAGCATAGTAGAGGTCAATGGAGGTTCGTAGAGGTTATGAGGAGCATAGCAAAGATATTAGGAGTGAAGTAGTCCTCAATGGAATTCTGAGGTAAATGTGAAAATGTCGGCATATATAAAGAAGAGCTTAGTAGAGGTCAATAGAGGTCCGAACAGGTTATGCGGAAATCAGAAAAGGTCAGAATAATGTATGTGAAATTCGGACAAGTCCGACTAAACTAGACGTCCGAATTGGTTATGAAGAGTACATTGAGGGTCCGAACATGATAAGGTGAGCTGTGTAGAGGTCCGGAGAGATTATGAGTGAAGCTTAGTAAATGTTAACGAGGTCCGAACAAGATATGAGGAGATCAGAAACAATCCGAACATTGTCTGTAGAGTTCGGACAAGTCCGACTTAACTAATAGGAGAGAGTTAGAAAACCGAATACGTTACGAGGAGATTATTGAATGTCCGAAAATGACAGGATAGCTTAGTAGAGGTCGATGTAGGTACGGAGAGGTTATGCGATACAGCAGGTTAGAGGTCCAAACATGTTATGTGTAGCTTACTGAGCTATGCTCAGGGTACAATGAGCTATGCGAACTGATTATGTGGTACTTAGTAGAGGTCGTAATATATTATTATCAGTAGAAGTCCGTGTAAGCTATAGGGTGCTCAGTACAGGACCCAAAAAGTATGAGGAGGACAGTTGAGGTCAAAGAAGGTTCGGAAGAGTTCATTAGTAGTTCATATGAGGTATATGGAGGTTAGTAGAAATTCAAACAAAGTTTGAAAAATTCAATGGAGCTCCTATAAATGTATTGGGAGCTCAGAAGAAGAAAGAACCAAATTGGTCATGAAGAGCTCAGTAGAGGTCCGAATAAAGTATAAGACCATCACTAGAGGTATAAACAAAATATGATATGTACAGAAGAGGTCCTAAAATGGCATTGGGAGGTCTGTTGAGATCCGAATAGGCTGGAAAGAGCAAAATTGAGGGTTGAAATGATTACGAAGAGCTCAGTAGAGGTCTGAAAGAAGTATAAAATATATATATAGCTCAACAGAGCTCCGAATAACCGATGAAGAGATCAGTATAAATTCAAATAAAGAATGGGTAGTAGAGATCCGATTATGATAGAAAATGACCTATTTAGGCTTGCTAAATAAGGTTTTCAAATTCGAGAGGTCTTGGGAGGTCAGTTGAGGTTCGAATAGGCTTGAAAGAGCCTAATATTGTGATAAGTTCTGTAGAGCTCAGAATAACGAATGAATATATTAGTCAAAGTTTGAATAATGTATGGGAAGCTGAATATGGTAGAAAACTACTGGTCAGCCTTGCTATATAAAGTTTTCAATTTCGAGAACCAAAAAATTTATTTTGACTTCAGTAGAGTTATGTCTAACTTCTAAGGCATAGGCCGTATTAAGGTCTGAAAAAGGTGTTGTGCCCTCAATAAAAGTCCGAAAAGTTCCTAACAGGGCTACATAGAGGTTCGAATATATCCTATAAAGTCTGAATTATAAATTATAAATATTCAGCTCTGAATTATATATATTCCAGAAGTTACTGAGGAAATATACATGCCATAATATAGCTACTAAGTTTACTTTTAAAGGATCGACTATAATTAGAAGAGTCCCATGTATTACCATAGGGTCTAAATGGTACTGAGACTTCTATAAAGGTGGAAATATTTTCATAGGAGTCCAGCAAAGCTCCATAGAGAAATAAAATGTTAGCTGTTGACTTTCTTAAAGGTACACATTTTTTTAAAGGTTCGATTTCGAATTCCATTAAGAAATTCAAAAATACTTACACAGGACAAGCAACTCTACACCATCCGCCACCGGTTGGCCGACACCATTCTGTGCCACACACTCAATATTACCGGACATATTACGCGATTTGATTTCGACAATATGAGTTTGACGATTGCCGACCAAATAATCCACCACTGTTTCATTGTTATAAGTCCACGATACGGCGGGTTGGGGGACACCTTCAGTTTCACAAATTATCTCCAATACTGCACCAATTGGTAGCTCTAGAAAACCATTTGGCGTTACATACACCTTTGGAGGATACTGTACTTCTATGGCATGTGCCTGTACCGCCTTTTCGGATGGTGTTAACATTTCACAATAATATCGACCCGTATCTTCCGTTTGAACATCCATGACAAGCAGACTGCCATTGCTCAAGAGATGATAACGATTGAGGGATACTTCTTCCATATAGGGAGCTTCCATCAGCAAATCTTCATCCCTTAGCCAGCGAACCGAATGATAAGAAGCTATGGGGGAGGGGAGGGGAGAAGGTGAAAAAAGCGAACACAACAAATCAATTTTCGAAAAACATGAACATCAACATTGCATGTTTGTAAATGAAGATGACACCTGTCACTCACAACCTCACTCACGACAGACGTACTGACACACTGATTGCACTTACATTTGTAATCACAAGGCAAGAGAACGGTATCATTTTCATAGGTTTTCACCGTTGTGGGTACACTGTAAAAATCTCGCGTGTAGGGTTCTTCATTGTTAACGGTTGTTGTGAGGATATTTCCATTGGAATAATTCAAAATTGTTAGCCAAATGGTAAGTGGCGCCCAAGCTTTTTGTAATAACATTTCAGTATAACTGTTCACTATTTTGTTATTTTCTTTTCAAATTTAAAAATTCAAAAATTTTCTTTGACCGTTCCAAGTCAGATTCAAACTTTTTTAATTAGTTCTGATTGAACTTCCTTTTTTCTATTTCTTTGGGTTGCACTACAATTCCGTTTTAGTCTTTTTTGTTGGGTTATTCCGTGTTTATGTGACCGAGACCAGTGTTCAATTAGAACTGCTCTTCAATTTTTGACTACCGTTTCTGTCAGATCTTGATCTTGTCTCTGCGGAATGACCATGTTCTCAAAAACATCCGTAACAATGTGTAAAAATGTTTGTGTGGCTGTGTGTGGTATATTTTTGTGTTTCTTATTGTTGTTTTTTATTGCAAAAGAAACGCATATACCGCCACACACACTCACATGTACAGAGGAAGTCGAAGCGGCACGGAAATCGAAAACATGTTACAGTTGGTGTCATTAGTTGGTACGCGGTTAAAGATAAAGTGATCATAAAATTAAGGATCAACCCAATCCCTACTAGGTTTCACATAACTTCATCGGACATCTTGAGAATGAACGACCTAGGCTAAAAATATTATAAAATTTCGAATATTATAATGGCGCCCAACTTGATAATTGTAATTCTAATGGTTTAGGTATGCAATTTCTTTAAATGGTTAGTGGTATTTGTGAATACGATTTTGTAAAGCATTCTGAGCTCTATATAAACAATATTTAGAACATCTTCGGGATTCTAAAGGATACCTAATGTCCTATTTAAATATCTACTGGATTCTTAAAAAAATTATAACCACATTTGGGTTTTGAGCTCTATATAACCTATACATTCTACTGTGTTCAATATAACCAGTACGAGCGTCTACTGAGCTCTATACAGCCCATACGAGCCTCTACTGAGCTGTTTATAACTTATACGGATCCATACTGAGCTCCTTATTAATTTGTGTACCTATATATGAAGCTCTTAACAGCATATATGGACAGCATATATGGACAGCATATATGGACAGAATATATGCAGAACCTATCCGGACCTCTATATAACCTATACGAACCCCTACTGAGCTCTTTAGAACTCACGCGGACCCCTCCTGAGCTCCTTATAAACATTTTGTATCTTTAATGATCTCCTCATAATCTATATACTGTTCTACTGGGCTTTTCAAAACCTATTCGACTTCACATTTATGCGGGCCTCTAGTTAATTCAGACCTGTACTAGCTACTCATAATTCCAACGTATGTTTAATGTGCTCTATATAATGTATTCGGTCCTCGTCTATGCCTTCTCATAACCTATTGAGACATTTAAGGAGCTCTTCATAGCATATATGGTCCTCTACAGATCTTATTCGGACCTTTGCTGACCTCTAATGAAATCTTTATAACCTATACGAACCTCTACTGAGCTATTTATAACCTACGCGGACGTCAACTGAACTCCTTATAAACTTTTCGTACCCATAATGATCTCCTCACAATTTATTTAGTTGTCTACAGGGCTTTTCATAACCTATTCGACTGCACATTTATGTGGATCTCTAGTTAATTCAGAGCTACTCATAATTCCAACGTATTTTTAGTGAGTAATGTATTTGGTACTCGTCTATACCTTGTTATAAACTATTGAGACATCTAGGAAGCACTTTATAGCCTATATGGACCTCTGCAGATCCTATTCGGACCTCTACTAAGCTCTATATAACCTATACGAACCTGTATAACTTATACGGACCTCTCCTGCGATATGTATTACTGAACGAATCTCTACGGAGCTTCTTATAGCCTATACAAACCTCTTGTATGCTCCTTAATTTCTAACCTATGTGGACCTCTATTGATCTCCAATGAGCTCCTCATAACATATTCGAACCTCAATATAAGCCTCCTTAAGTTATTCAAATTTTACGGAACTTCTCTAAATATATACTGATTCTCGATTACTCAACTACTCGTCCTCATAACCTATTAGGACCTCTAGTATGCATATTATAACCTGTTTAGATGTCTATTGACCTTTACCAAGCTCCTTATAACCTATTAGGACCTCTAGTATGCCCTTTATAACGTGTCCGGACCTCCATTAACCTCTATTACTCTACTACTACTCCTCATAACCTATTAGAGGAGTAGAGGTCCACTAAACAAATCATAAGCTACACGTTCGGACGTCTCTTGGCCTTTATTAAGCTCCGAACAATATATTCGAACCTCTGTTAGGATCTCGATCTAATCTACTAAACTCCTCATAACCTACTAGGGTATCTAGTATGATCATTGAAACCTTATTGGGCGTCTATCGATCTTTACTAAAACCTTCATAACCTGTGTGGACCTCTACCATGATCCTCATAACGTGATCGGATGGCCTCTATTAAGCTCCGAATAACTCATTCGCACCTCTGTTACTACTCCTTATAACTTGTTCGTGCCTCTATTAGTCTCTATCAAGATTCGAGCTACATATTCGAACCTCTTTTAGGATCTTGATCAACTTTACTAAGCTCTACATAATCTATTAGGACCTCTAGCATGCTAATTAAAACCAGTTTCGACGTCTATCAGCCTTTTCTAAACTTCTCATAACCTATGTGGACCTCTGCCATGCTCCTCTTAACGTGTTCGAACCTCTATTGGCCTCTATTAAGTGTCGAACCTCTGTTAGGATCTCGATCTACTCTAACAAACTCCTCAGAACTTACTATTACCTCTACTACGCTCTCTATAACCTGTTCAGACATCTGTCGGATTTTACGGAACTCATCATAACCGACTTTAATAGGCCTCTTTTAAGCTTCTCAAAACCTATTCGAACCTCTGCTCAGATATTACTGAGCTTCTCATTAAATAGGCTGACATCTAAAAAAAATTCATCCTTGTTGCGGAGGGCGATAGACTTCTACCTGAAAATCAAAATTCCTTGTTTTGATATAGGACCCACGTAAAGCTCAAACCCCCTTTTGGTACTTTTTTCAGTTTTTAGTCGCATTTTCCAACCGAAGAGGCTTACATTAGAGATATCGGGTTCTTGATGGTTGATAGTCATCTTTGCAGGAAAATTTCGATATTGGTCTATTTTTTGCCATAACGACCTCTTGTGTGAAAAAAAATCAGTTTTTCTCTTCTGATTTGTTTTGAAGATCTTTTCCAAACTATCACTTTTGACACTTACTGTATAAAAATTGTAATATTTTTTATTCAATCATTGGCTCAACCATTCGCCTGCGCATTTCACTGACATATTGCCGTCAGTCGCCCGCGACCACCGAATGGCTACTCCGGTTATTTGTTATTGTTTATTATTATTCAATTAAAGACGTGCTTTTGTTGCAGATGTGCAGATAATACGCGATCTATTTTGTATCTCTGTCTGTGTGTGCGTCAGTTGCTTCTTGTGGCACAGACATTGCCGGTCAGTTCACAGTTCAGCATTTAATGTGGCAAACAGCAGTAGCGGTAGAGACACTTAATAAGCCTCCAATAACAAATATATCTTAGGTTTTTATATACATATATAGCTGTAAGAATGTTTGTGTGTTGGTGTATGTGTGTGTGAGCTAAGTTACTTTAAATCTAAATGAGAATATTCTATCTGTAGCAATCATTTTTTACGCGATGCATTGCAACAAAATTAAATGACAATACAATAGACGGCTACCACCTAGCCAACAATGTCACCGTCACAATATAGGGGACCCTTCAAAGGGGGAGGGAGAGAAAAAGAAAGAGAGGCTCAGGCTTTCTTATTTGAATTGCCATTCAAATTCGGCAAAAAAAATATGAAGAAGAATACAATGAAGAAGCAGCACCCAGCACCAAAGAGAAGAAAAGAAAAAATGCGCGCACACACACACATCAACAATTAGTTATTTCCTCTTCCACATTGAGGGGGATTATTTATTTTCAAGTTAGGGTGCTAATAACAAAAAAGAAAGCAAGAAAGTTGTTATTATTGCATTTTATTTCCAAACAAAAATCCAAATTCCAATATTAGCATAAAAAAGACACACACACAGGGTCCATAAATAAATTGCCTAACAATAGCAGCTAATCACGTATATTTTTTTCGGACAGTGTACAAAATGTTTTTGTCTTGTCTTGTTTTCATTTTTTTTTTTTTAAAGGAACATGGACATGATGTGATTTAAATAATATCGCTGCAGTTGTGTTGTTAAATAATAATTATTTAGAGGGGAATCCAAAAAAATGTTTTTGAACATACTCAAGGAAATATTATTAGCATAGAAATTATTACAGAAAACTCACACAAGAGATCATTGATCTGCTCAATACAAATTATTATTGTTGTTGTGTATTTGTTTCTATATTTAGTTGAGCCAATGATCTTTTGCAATACATATCATCAATATTAAATTACAACATTACTCATCATTATTTGGCAATTGTTCATCATTCGTATCGTATGTCAATAAGGTCATAGTTAATAGTGGGTTCATCTTCAGAAAATTTAATTTTAAGTTAATGACCCAATTTTTTTTTCGATTATGTGTGATAATTAAAAGGTTAGTGAGTAAAGTAAATTATTTTTTAATATGCTGTGTAAACATTCTATTAGAGGATAGAGAGAAACAGCTCAAGCCCTATTAATAAGGTTATACAGGGAGACCAGCTGGACATCAGCTGCTTCTCAAGCAAACTGGAATTGTGAATTGGCTTCCATTATGAAAAAGTAAATATTTGACTTAGACATGAGTAGAAACAGCTGATATTCGCTTGCCGGATGACATTATTAATAGATCTTGAAAAAGCTGTTCAGTTTCAGAAAATCAATTCTTAAGTTAATGACGCAATTTTTGTTTATTTAATTTTTTTTTCGATTATGTGTGAAAATTAAAAGTTTAGTGAAGAAAGTAAATTATTTTTTTAATATGAAGTGTAAACATTCTATTAGAGGATAACGAGAAACAGCTCAAGGCCAATTAACAACGTCACCCAGGGCGACCAGCTGAACATCAGCTGTTTCTCAAGCAAACATGAATTGTGAATTGACTTCCATTATGAAAACTTAAAGAAAGTCCAAATTTTTGACATTAGACTTGGGGAAAAAACAGCTGAAATTCGTTTTCTGGGTGACTTAAATATTAGATCTTGAAAAAGCTGTTCAGTTTCAGAAAATTAATTCTTAAGTTAATTACCCATTTTTTATTTATTTACATTTTTTGATTATGTGTGAAAATTAAAAGGTTAGTGAGTAAAGTAAATTACTTTTTTATATGGTGTGTAAACATTCTATTAGATGATAAAGAGAAATAGCTCAAGGCCTATTAATAAGGTCATCCAGGGAGACCAGCTGGACATCAACTGTTTCTCAAGCAAACTTAAATTGTGAATTGACTTCCATTATGAAAACATAAACAAAGTCGAAATTTTTGACATTAGACTTGGGAAAAAACAGCTGACATTCGCTTGCTGGATGACATTATTAATAGATCTTGAAAAAACTGTTCAGTTTAAGAAAATTAATTTTTAAGATATTGAATTTATTTATTTATTTATTTTTTTTTTTTTTTTTGATTATGTGTGAAAATTAAAATCTTAGTGAGAAAAGTAAATTATTTTTAATATGGTGTGTCAACATTCTATTAGATGATAAAGAAGAACAGCTCAAGGCCTCTCAATAAGGTCATCCAGGGAAACCAGCTAGACATCAGCTGCTTCTCGAGGAAACTTGATTGAATTGTGAACTGGCTTCCATTATGAAAACGTAAACAAAGTCCACATGTTTGGCATTAGACTCGAGGAAAATCAGCTGACATTCGGTTGCTGGGTGACATTATTAATATAATATGAATTATCTATTCAGTTTTGGGAACCACAAGTATTTTGTGCATTAGTGGTTTATGTACTCCATTAGCACAGCTGACTATCCGTTTAACTGTCAAAGTGTATAGCATGGCACAACGAATAGGTAGCGCAGCTGATGTCTTGATTAACTGTCAAAGTGGGTAATTTCTACTTGAATTCGATGTTCAGTGTTGTCAACCATTTGAAATATTATATGGAAAAATTTGGCAGATAATCGAGACAAAAACAAAGGTTTTTGTTGGTATACATCACCGTATTATGGCATCATGGTGTATAGTTTCTTCTTGAATTTGACGTGCATTGTTGCCAACCATGAGAATTTTTATTACATAAAATTTAATAGATGGTCCAAAATCTATTAATAAAGTCACCCAGATAGCGAAAGATAGCTGTTTTTCTCAAGTCTAATGTCAAAAATGTGGCTTTTGTTTACGTTTTCATAATGGAAGACAATTCACAATAATGGATTTTGACAGCAAACTTTATAGGCCTTGTCATGGTCGTCACCTCCAAATCAGCTGATTCTCAAGTTTTCTGCCTAAATCCATTATTATTAATTGGCTTCACATTTCGAAAACCTAAATAACGTCTAATTTTTGTTTTGTACATTAAAGCTGATGGTTCGATTAACAGTCAAAGTGCGTAATTTCTACTTGTATATGATGTGCAATGTTGCCAACCATGTGAAATATCTTAAGGGAAAATTGTACAGATGGTCGAGACAAAAACAAAGTTTTTTTTTGTGATACATCGCCTTATTATTGTATAATGAGATTTATGAAATTCATTCCTGAAGGCCTATTAATAAAGGTTATCCACAAAAATCAGCTGATTCTAAAGTTTGCTGTCAAAATACATTATTGTGAATTGATGATATAACATTATCAAAACATAAATAAAGTCCAAATTTTTGATAATAATTTTTGAAAAAAATCTGTTTTTTTTTTAATTTTCTAATAGGTCTTGATCCATGTGATTATTGACAGCTAATCAAATGGATCAAGAACTAACTATGGTTCAATTATAAAAGGTAGGGTAGCTTTTGTCAAAAAGGAGAAAATACAACTCTACCTTAGTAGACGTTTAGATTTAGGAAACTCTTTCTATGAGCAGCTGTTTGCCCAAAATTCGGTATTAAAATGTTTTAGTCGCAATATCCAAACGAAAAGTCTGTAATCTGGCATACCGGGTTCTTGGAGGCTGTCATACATCCTCGCCGAAAAATTCTGATTATATGTCCATGTTTTGAAAAAGCCCCCATAAAAAGGTCCCGCCCAAATTTCGGTATTTGTGAGTATTTGACTCTAATTTGACATTTCGGGGGTTGTGGAGTATGGCTGATGCCCTTGTCAACCAGCCAATGACATGTTTCATCGACAGTATTTTCCGTTCTCCATTATCTTCATTGAATAGATATTTTTCCAGAGATTTATTATCCAGCTAATGACATTTTTCTTCAACAGTATCTTCCGTTCTTCATTATCATCGATTTTTTATATTCTTACTTATAAACTGCTGAAGTTAAAACTAAAAATTAAATCTAAATTTTTGAGATTTATTTACAGGGGTTTGACACCATACCAGGTTTTTTTAATATTTTATTTTAATCTCATTTGTGTTGAAATAAATATCACTAATTTCAAAAGAAAAGGAAATTGAATTCACCCGTTCTGAACTAAGATTTCCATAAGAAAACTTAAATTCAGCCAGGATTAAATTAAGATTTTTCAATCTGAGAACTGAGAAACGAATTTTCATTTCTTGCTGCTATTTATTTTATCCCAAATGTTCTGAATCCATACCCTGCATACATATCTAATGTGTGACTGACTGACCATTGTTGATTGTATATTCGACACAAGCAATTTATCATAATAAGCTGCAAAGTGATGATATTAATACCTCTCCTCTTTTCAAAGCAAAATGAACGAAAATAAGAGTGCACGGATTTGTGAAAAACTCTACAAATGGTTTCGCCAGGAAAGTCTATACTACAGGTAAGAATGCGATTTCACTTTATTTTTCAATTATAAAAAATGAGCTCTTAACTCTGCCTTCCTTTCCAGAATATTTTGGGGCATTGTCTTCTGCATATCCGCTTGGAATATTCTTTGGATTTTCGAATTGACAATAAAACGTTATTTTTCCGATTCGATTAGTATTGGCATTGAAACGACATATTTACAATGGAATAACACTTTTCCGGCAGTATCATTTTGTCTTACGAAAAATCGTTCAAGTGGTCGTGTCAGTGAATTTGTCGCGGCGGAAAATATTCCCCATACTGTGTCGCGGGGAATTTATGTGAAAAATTTACACGATTATATGTTCACCAATCCGAATAATTTTCATTTCAAGGAAGATTATTGTGGTGGTTTGAATTCGACATGTGGAGTGGATATATTGCGGCTGAGAAGGGAGGTGAGTCTAAAAACATGTCATATTTATTTAGAACGAATTTACATTTAACGTGTTTTAATAAAACGCCTTATTTATGTTGTCAGTTATCTTTGGAATATGTCAAATAAATGACATAGCTTCGTAAAATGGCATTTACATTATAACCATGGTACAATAAATAGGTAGTCAATTTAGCGCAGCTGATGACTCGATTAACTGTCAAAGTGCATAATGTCTATTTGAATTCGATGTGCAATGTTGCCAACCATGTGAAATATTATAAGGGACAGATGGTCGAGATCATGATGCAATGATAAGGTGATATATCAAAACAAAAAGGTGATATATCAAAACAAAAAGCATTGAATTGTTGACAGTTTGTCAGCTGCGCTAAATGGACTACCTATTATTGTGCCTCGAGACAAACACAAAGGTGACAAATTTCTCCATATAATATTTGAAATGTGCAATGTTGCCAACCATGTGAAATATTATAAGGGACAGATGGTCGAGACAAAAACAAAGGTTTTTGTTTTGATACATTACCTTATTATTGCATCGTGATTATAACTTTTTTACCAGGTTAATCTACGTTATGAGGATTTATTTGACATATAAGCAATGGAATTGACAATTTAAACCCATTGGGTTATCGAATTCCAGTACAATGTAAATGTACTATAACATTTATTTATAATAAAAAACCCCCTTTGATTTTAGCTTTTACCACCCACCTGCAAAGCTTTCATGGCCAATGTCTCATATTTGGGAAAAACTATTGACAATTGTGAGGATATTTTTAAATTTCATCAATTGGAAATGGGTTATTGTTATTTGGCCAATAATATATTGGATTAGTAAGTATAAAATATATGTGCGAAATCGACTCGATCTTAAATGTCAATTCCACAGCGTATACCTCAAATATAATCCACAGCATACGCTATGGAATTGACCATGGCACAATAAATAGGTAGACCATTTAAAGCAGCTGATGTCTTGATTAACTGTCAAAATGGATAATTTCTACTTAAATTCGATGTGCAATGTTGCCAACCATGTGAAATATTTTATGAAAATTTTGACAGAAGATCGAAACAAAAACAAAGGTTTTTGTTGTGATACATCACATTATTATTGCATCATGGAATTGACGTTTAAAATCGATTTAGCAGTCTAAACGCTCTCTAATAATATTTTTAAATACTTTATTTATATATTATTTTATTTACATGACAGCAAATCATTTGACAACTTACCCCTTAAGTTTGGCATATCAAATAGGGAGAGAAATCTCAAAGTCCATTTGAAAGGTGGATTCATATGGAAATATGAGGTAAGACTACGTTTAGAATTACGAATTCACTCGATCTCAAATGTCAATTCTATAGCGTAAACGTCAAATATAATCAACTGGATTTGTGAACATTAATAAAGTGATGTATACGCTATGGAATTAAGATCGAGTGGATTTAGTAGTTTTAACGGGTTCTAAGCCATTAAAACAAATATTTTTCCTCAATAAACACCATGATCTCTTCCTGAAGATGTACATCCATAGTCCCGATGATTTACCCTATTTCAATTCCATAACATATGATGCCTTTTCGGATCCCACAATATATCGTTTCAATGTTGAGGAATATGATAATAATCCTGATGTCAAGGAGGAAGCATTACAGCAGAGATCTTGTAAATTTCCCGAAGAAAAAGACCCAGGATCGCCATGGCATTATAGGTAAGGTGAAAAATCGTTATTTAAAGTTTTTTGTAATTATAATATGATGTATTATATTCTAAGTTTTTCCACATGCATGTCATATTTACGCATCAAATTCGAACTAGATCAATGTAATTGTACCCACTTTACATCACCGGAAGAGTGTAAGTTTAAACAAATTTTATCATACAAAATAAAATCCATTAATTTTTGGGATTACGATTTATCTCCTATATTTAATCGAGATAATTTCAAATACACAATGTTTTTTTTACCAAATAATGCATCAGATTTTCTAAAAGTACCCAAATGGCAAAGCTTTATGTTTGGAGGTTTTTTAATTTAAAATTCCAAATGAGCAGCAGCTGATTTAGAAGTCATAGTCTAAACTCAATTTATCGGTCTTGGACGACTGAGTTTTAAAGCATCCAAAAGAGTTCGGATTACTTTGACAATCAAACCAACAAAAATTTAAAATAATTGTCATTCACAGCTGATAGATATTTCAAAAGGGTCCGGATGACTTTAACAATCAAACCAACAAAAACTGAAATGAATTGTCATTCACAGATGATACTCTGTACACTGCTTAAGCAACTTTAATGACTTTGGCAATCAAGTCAACAAAAATTAAAAAGAATTGACATTCACAGCTGATAGATAGTCCAAAAGAGTCCAGATGACTTTGACAATCAAACCAATAAAAATTGAAAAGAATTGTAATTCACAGATGATAGTCCGTGCGCTGCTTAAATAACTTTTAGCTATACCATGGAACAATAAATAGGTACTCCATTTGTGCAGCTGACTATCCGATAAACTAAATTCGATTAAGTTATATTAAAAAAGACACACTGCAAGAGTAAGTCAACTCTTTTTTTCTCAAGTCCAATGTCAAAAATTTGCACTTTGTTTACATTTTCATAATGGAAGTCAATTCACAATAATGGATTTTGACAGTAAGCTTGAGAGGCAGCTGATATCCATCTGTTTTCCTTGGATGACCTTATAAAAAGGTCTTGGCTATACCATGGCAAAATAAGTAGGTACTCCATTTACCGCAGCTGACTATCCCATTAACTTTCAAAGTGCATAATGAATTTTGACAGCAAGCTTGAGGATGACCTTATTAAAAGACATTGGCTATACCATTGCAATATAAATAGGTCCTCCATTTAGCTCAGCTGATTATTCGATTAGCTGTCAAAGTGCATGTTTTCCATTTGAATTTGACCAAGATCTATTAATAATTAGCTGTCAAAGTGCATGGTTTCCATTTGAATATTAATAAGGTATCCTAGCAAGCGAAATTGAGCTGATTTTTCTCAAGTCTATTGTCAAAAATATTGACGTTATTTACGTTTTCACAATGAAAGTCAAATCACAATAATATAATTTTTCAGCAAACTTGAGAAGCAGCTGGTCCCCCTGTAAGACCTTATTAATAGGCCATGAGCTGATTCTCATTTCTATGACTTACATTTTTATATACTGTTTACATGCACCCATTTTTAATTTCTTTTTAATTATAGATAAACCATATTATTGCGATACAAAAGGTTTACGTTGCATATCCGATGGTAAATATAAAGTACTATTTTCTCTAGGTAAATAATATGTTAAATATTCCTTTTTAGCTCAAATAACAGCGCAAGTCAAAGAATATGTCGTATCGAAAAATGCCTGCTATCCTTCGTGTGTGGAACAGCAAATTACATTAGTTGGGTATGTTTTGTTAAAATATTAAAAACAATTAATTTCCAAACATTTTGACAGTTAAAGTGCGTTTAAATCCACTCGATTTCAAATGTCAAAATGGATTTGTAAGCAGGATTAATGTGACGTATAAGCTATGAAATTGACGTATGAAATCGTGTGGATTTAATAGACCAAACACGCTCTTATTTTAATGTTTATATTTTCTTTCCAGAACTAATCAAATACAAAGTTTGGATATTACCGATACACTATATATTGAAATTAGTATAACAAATTTGCCATCGGTGCGTTATAATCGTGTGGTTACTCAAACCTATTTGGATTTGGTTGGTAAGAATTTTATATAGAATAGGTTTCAAATGTCATTTCCATAGTGTATACGTCATAAATGAACTGAATTTTATTTGACATATAAGCCATGGAATTGGCATTTGAAATCCCTGGATAAATCGAATATATATTTAGTAATAACGTATACTTTTTTCTTTAGTTTCAGTGGGTGGCGTTATTGGTCTTGTTGCTGGAGCATCTGCCTTAAACTTCTTGGAAATTGTTTATGTCTTGTTGCGTAAAAAAATATAAATTTTGCAAAGGAAGAATGAACATTTATAAAGATTGGAGCACAGTATCTTGACATAAATTAATTTTGTTAGAGTACATATTTCTATTTCTTTTTTATATTTCAAAATGTTTGTCAACTTAATAAACTTTATTTATTCTATATTTAATAAAAAAAATATATTTTAAATAATATGTCAATGTCAATGTGTTATATTCCAAGTGAAGTCCAATGTGGGAATTTTTCTCGTCGGAGGGCATTAAGATTAGCTGTGTCTGGTTACTTTTCCAGTAACATTTACTCATTATGTTATATTTTAGAGGGTAAGCCTTTTTTATTCTCTTTTGCTATAAAACTTAAAAACAGACAACATTCAGTAAGATTCTGCAAATAGTCTGCAGATTCGCTAATTTTTTTCCATTTTCTAAATTTTTATACAACGCAATTTAAAATTCCACTTTGGAAATTAAAATGTTTGGATATATTGCACATAAGTTTTGTCGATTAGTCTTAAAATAGCTGATTCAAAAATTGCTGGGATTGCAAAATTTTACTGTATAAAATTCTTTCAGAAAACTGCAGTAAGTTTTTTTTTTTTTTTTTTTTTTGTTGTAGAACTGTTAAACTTGCTCTATCACTTTACTCTCTTTTACCTAATTTTTGCGTAAACAGACAACATTTAGTAACATTTGACAACAATTTTCACCAAATATCGAGTAAACTGACACAAATGCTGTGTATTCTAAATCGTGGTACAAAATCCCATCTGTATTAAAATGATATGAGGCCAGTCAGCTGATATTTGTTTACGTATGCATATCAATTTCTAACTACAAGTAGATGGTCAATATTTTTTTTATTATTCTAATAGAAATTCATCTCCATTACGTGCAAAATACATATAAATATGTGTTGTGTTAAAAATCGTTTAATATTTTTCTTTTAGCATGTAGTATAAACGAGCTTTAATTATATGTATGAGGTGAAGTATTTCAGTTTTATTCAGCGTTTAGACGACTAAATTCACACCTACGACTTTCAAATATTCCATAGCAATCATATTTCCCAAGATTTATTTATTATATAGTTAAAAATTTACTTAAATTTCTCTCCCGCCACTTACCCATAATACTCTCATATACGTTTACGCCATACGCCCTACCCATCTACTAACATGAATGACAACATTCGATTGATAGATCCCTAAACAGCTGTTTTTTGACTTTGCAAAAACAAAAAACAATTCGCGTGTGTTGTGTGTTCGCTGAATGGTTGTGCTTTAAACAAAATTTTTGGGTTTCTATTTTTTTCCAATTAATTCCCAACAAAAAAAAATCGAGAAAATGGTCTTCTATTTTAAAAGCAATGTTGTGGATCCACCGGCTGTGCTGTACATGGGACGTGATAAATATGAGAGTAAGTTTGCACGATTCTACAGAGCAAAGATCTAATGTTGGTTGTATTTTTATGTTTTGGAATTTAAGAGGTAGCTTCATAGGGGGATCCCAGGAATCTATACGGAATGTTGAAATAATTTTTGGCAATGGAGTACTTAAATTTACATTTTTCTTAAATTTACATTTTTCTTTCAGCTGTGATAATTACATTCATTCATGCCGGTAACCTGACGTTACAAAGCGTTCATCAAGAGAAAATTAGCATAGGGTATTTGGCGTACCATTTACATAAACTCGGATTTTATAAAGAAATTTCTTAAGACCAATAAGGGTGGATTTTGTAGAGAAATTTCTTAAGACCAATAGGCGTGGATGTTATAAAGAAATTTCTTAAGACCAATACGCTCCGTTCTTCGCGACTACGAGGTACTTCCTTCAATTCGATTCAGTTATATTGGGGACTATAAAAAACGCAAGCTCAAACATGCTTTTATCTTCAGGACGTATGATCAATATTAATTATGAAAATTACTAATACGAAGCAGTAGTAACATTAAAAACGAAGCATGGGAAACTTTTTGTCTATAGATAAAGAATTATATGCTCTGCTCCAGAATTTGAAAGAATCTGGTACTAATCGAAATTGCTTTTGATTTTCCCGTTATAAATTTGAAAAGTTTTAGTTGTTGTTGTAGCAGCCCTATTTCTTTTACACAATGGGCTGCAAACGGAAAAGTTTTTTAGTCATTTCCGCTGCTTTGTCCGATCATATCGAAGACGATGTTCTGTGAACCGCTTTGACGTTAAAATGAAGGATGCACAATTAAAATAATGACGTGGTTTGGTTTTGATTTTTCTCATTCGATTTGAAATATAATTGATTTCCCCTTTCTACCTCCGTTTACAGATGAAGACCTAATAAAATGGGGCTTTCCGGAAGATGTATGGTTTCATGTACACAATTATTCATCGGCACACGTTTATCTTAGATTAGAAAAGGTAAGCGAATGATAAATCGTGAGTTTCTATTTATTTCTATAACTCATTGCAACCATTTTTTACCCCAGGGACAAACAATTGATACCATACCCGCCGACGTTCTAACCGATGCCGCGCAATTGGTTAAGGCCAACAGTATTCAAGGCAACAAAATAAATAACATTGATGTTGTCTATACCATGTGGGAGAATTTGAAAAAGACACCCGATATGGAACCCGGTCAAGTGGCCTATCACAATGAAAAAGCGGTGAAAATGATTCGAGTTGAAAAGCGGAAAAATGAAATTATAAATCGTTTGAATCGCACCAAGACTGAAGATTATCCTGACTTGAGGGCAGAACGTGAAAAACGTGATGCTCAGGATAGAGCCGAACAAAAAGCCAAATTGAGAGCACAAAAAGAACTGGAAAAGGAAATGGAAAAGAAACGCAAAGAGGAAGAGGAATTGCGTAGTTATACAACGTTGTTGAAAACGGAAAATATGAAAACGAATCAGGATGGTAATGATTCGGATGATTTTTGGTAGACAAATAAAAAAAAACGATTATTATTTTTTATAAATATTTGAATAAAAAAAAGACTTAAAAAACAAAATAATTGTGTGTAGTACTTTTTTAATGGAATTTAAATCAACTTTACATTTTTTTAAAAATAAAAAATATTAAAAATAGGAAATATTACAAAAAAAATAATAATTTAAAAATATTTTTTAAATTAGGTTAGGTTTTAATTGAGACCAACATTTGGCAATTTTATGCCAAATATCTCAAAAAGAAAATTTAAAAATTGCATTTTCAGGTTTCTCACACCCGGTAAACCCAATATTCAAAATTATTGCAAAATCGACCAGAAATTTTGACTCAAAACTTTAAAAAAACTTTTAAAGGGATCTATACTCAAAATTTGGTCTATTTCAGCAAATTTTTCTTAAACAGTTTCTTACACTCGGTAATACCGAATTATAGTAAATTTGGCCGAAAACTGCGAAAAAAATCTTCAAAAACCAAAACCTTTAACCTGTCATAAAATAAGGTTTTCACCAAATATTTTCCGTTACAAAGTTTCTCACCTCTTCTGAATCCTGTATTTTAAATTGTAGCAAAATCTGTTGGAAAATGCGACTAAAAACTACAAAAAAAAAGAAAAATTTTAAAATAACCTCTCAAAGGGACCTTTGTCTAAAATCCGACCTATATGAAGGATTTTTTGTTTCAAAGTTCGTTATGCTCGGTAACACCAATATACCAAATTACAGCGAAATCGATAGAAAACTTTGATCAAAAACTCTAAAAAGGAAATTTTGAAAATATCCGTTCAAAGGGACCTATAACCAAAATTCGATCTATGTCAACACATTTTTGTTTCAATGTTTCTGGCATTGAGATATACCAATATAACAAATTAGAACAAAATCGACTGAAAACTGTACCCAAAAACTCTAAAATGAAAATTTTTTAAATGACCTTTCAAGGCACCTATACCTAAAATTCGATCTATCTCAATAAATTTTTGTTTCAAGGTTTCTGCCGCTATGAAACACCAATATACCAAGCTATAGAAAAATCTATCGGAAACTTTGACCAAAAACTACAAAAAGGAAATTTCCAAAAGTACCCTTTAAGGGGGCCTATACGCCAAAATCGACTAATACCAACAAATTTGTTTTCAAAGGTTTCTTAAATCGAATAACACCCTTCTAACTAATTATGGAAAAGTCTGTTAAAAATTTAGCCAAAAATTACAAAAAAGAAATTAAAAAAAATCATCAAAGGATTCGTTTAATTTTTTTGGTAGTAAATATAAAAATTAGAATAAAAACCGCATGAAAAAGATAAAGTAATTGGTAGTCATCCATTTTTTGATTACTTGATATTTACTTTATTTTTCATTTTTTTGTTTTACTGACACAAATGCTTTTCTTTTTTTTGTTTATTTGTTTTAAGAGTTTTTTTTCATGTTGGTGATTTTTGTTTGTTGTTGTTTTTGTTAGTGTACAGGATTGTTTTAAGGTGTATTATTCATGTTTTGTTGTTGTTTCATAACCACACATTTAATTGGCATTTAAGATTTGTTTGTTTATATATAAATTTGTTTTTTTTTTCTTTTTTTGTTTCAAAGAGAAGCTGCATGTGTACCATATCATCACTATATATGATCATCATAATCATAATAATGTCCAATTGTGTTCATTACTGTTTCCACTATGATATAATCTTTTTTGTTGTTGTTGTTTTTTCGTTTACGCCTTAAAAACTATTGTTAATTCATTTCACTTGGTTTGTTGTTGTGGATTTTTTCTTCTTCTGTTTCTTTTTTGTTTTTCTTATTTAAATGTAAACCTGTTTATGTTTTCTTTTTGTGAGTGAGTCTGATTGTGTGGGTGGGTGGGGATGTGTGTAATTGGTGATGTGGGTGGTGGTTTTCTTTTTTTGTTTGTTTGTGTGTGTGTTGTTTTAAATTAATACTACTAAAAGTTGATGCTAATTCGCACCATTTGCATTCTTCTGCATTGAATTTCCTCCTAATATATACATGGATTTATTGCCATCACGTTCACTGCCATAAATTTTACCGGCCTTTTTCGCCATTGAACCCAACAGCTCCTGTGACACTTTGTGCGCTGAACGTAAAGAGTAGGCCCATTCTTTTAAACCGATTTCATCCTGGAAACAAATAACACAGATTATAATTATGTTATTTATCTAATAAACAAAAAAAAAAATGTGAACTCACGGGATTTGTTAGTAAAATTCGTCCATCTCGGGAACCATCATTGACTCGTATTTGAATACACTGTTCACCTTTGTAAGGTACAAAATCTGAAGAGATATCTTCTATTTGATCCATGAATATCAATTCTGGTTTATTATTACCACTTTCTGAATGTAATTCTAGGCTGTAAAGAAGATGAGATGAGAGAAAAGAGAAAAACGAAAGTGAGGTTATGAAAACAAATTTAAAATAAATTGAAAAAAACTCTAAAAAAAATAAAATTTTTCTTTTTCTTTAAAGAAAAAATTCCGAAAGTGAATTGAAAATAGGAGAAGGAAGGAACATTTAATAAGTACCACTGAAAAGCATCCTGACCTAAAATTCGCCCCTAATTAACAATTGTTTGTTTCATGGTCTCTCCAAAGGGGCCTGAACCAAAAATCCGACCAATCACTAAAATTTTTTGTTTCAAGGTTTTGTACACTCGGTAAACCCAATATATAAATTATAAAAAATCTGCTGGAAAATGTGCCTAAAAATTACAAAAAGGAAGATTAATAAATGAACCCTTCAAATGGACCTTGTCCCAAAATTCATCCTATATTTATAATTTTTTGTTTCAAGGTCCCTTACACTCGGTGAAACTTATACACAAAATTGTAGAAAAATCCGCTTGAAAATGTGTCCAAAAATAACAAAAAGGAAAATTAAAAATGGACCCTTTAAAGGGACCTACACCTAAAATCCGACAAATTAGAAAAAAAAATTGTTTCCAGGTTTTGTACACTCGATAAACCCAATATATCAAATTTTAACAAAATCTCCTGGAAAATGTGTCCAAAAATCACAAAAAGAAAAATTAAAAATGGGCCCTTCAAAGGGTCCTTGTCCTAATATTCGTCAAATATAAAAAATTGTTTGTTTCAAGGTCTCTTACACTCGGTGGCATCTGTATACAAAATTATAGCAGAATCTGTTGGAAAATGTGTCCAAAAATTGCAAAAAGGAAAATAAAAATGAGACCTTCAAAGGGGGACCTACATCTAAAATCCGATACATCACTAAAATTTTTTGTTACAAGGTTCTGTACACTCGGTAGCCCTAATATATCACATTATAGAAAAATCTGTTGGGAAATGTGCCCAAGAACTACAAAAAGGAAAATTAAAAATGAGCCCTTCAAAGGGACCTATACCTAAAATCCAACCTATGGCAATAATTTTTTGTTTCAAGGTTTCATATACTCCGTAATAACAATATACAAAATTAGAGCAAAATCTGTCGGAATATGTGGTCAAAAATTAAAAAAAGGAAAATTTTAGAATGAGGGACCTATACCTAAAATCCGACCTATTTAAACAATTTTTTGTTTCTAGGTATCTTACACTCAGCAACCCCAATATACCAATTTATAGCAAAATCTGCTGGAAAATGTGACCAAAAATTGCAAAAAGGAAAATATAAAATGGACCCTCCAAAGTTACTTATACTTAAAATCCGACCTATATCAACGAATTTTTGTTTGAAGGTCTCATACACTTCGTATTTCCAATATACCAAATTATAGCAAAATCTGACAAAAAATGAGCCCCAAAATTACAAAAAGGAAAATTTAAAATGAACCCTCCAAAGGGACCTCCACCTAAAATCCGATCTATAGTAACTATATTTGGTTACAAGGTTTCTTACACTCGGCGACTCCAATTTTCAAAATTATAGCAAAACCTGATGGAAAATGTCTCCAAAATCTACCAAAAGGAAATTGCAAGGCGAAGCTTGCAAAGGGACCTAAACCTAAAATTTGACTTATAACAAAAATTTTGTTGTTTCAAGGTTTCATAGCCTCAGTAACTCCAATATACCAAATTATAGCAAAATCTGCTAGAAAATACGATCAAAAATTACAAAAAGGACATTTTTCAATTAATCTCTCTAAGGGACTTATACCTAAAAATCAACCTACAACAACAATGTTTTGTTTCAAGGTTTCTTACACTCTCTAACACCTACATACCAAAATATAGCAAAATCTTTTTGAAATTGGGATTAAATCCCAATTTTTGGTTCTTTTTTGCCTGATTTTTTTTTTCAAGTACTTACCGATTAGGATATAATTTGGCATATTTGGTTTGCCACAATGAGGCAAAGGATCCGCCATATTTCTTAATATAACCATGTAAAATACAATCGGATTCCTTTTCATCGGCATCGAAATGTTGCTTTTGTTTGGCTTTTTTCTTCTGTTCGATTTTATCCGTTTCTTGATTAATGGTTTCGTAAACTGTTTCTATCACTTCTTGTTGCCATCTTAAAAGAGAGAGAGAGAAAACAAACGTTACGCATTATTCAAAAAAAGTTGTGTGTTCATTTCCTTACCTTTCTGATATTGTCAGATTGAAATTTTTATACAGTTCCTGATCGGATTCTGTCAATTTAATGCCCTTGGTATCTTCTTCATCAAATGAACCAATATCAAAGGCATCAGCCGCATTGACTTCGCCTCTCGGTGGTATTAATGGTGGTGTGTATTTGTGCATATAGACCTGATGCCAATCGATGCCCGAAAAGAAGGGATGTGATTTCACTTCTTCGGCTCTAAAAACAATAAAAAAATTCAATTAATTTACAACTGTTTTAAGTTGGAAAAATGTGGAGTAATTAAAACGACACTATACCCATTACCCATGCAACCGAGACGTTTGTCAACATCTCTTTGTAGAAGTAAATCTAATAAATCTTTCAGTTCGGGACTAAACGTATCTGGAAGTTCTACGTTCTGCACCGGCACAATTTCAAGTAATAGAGAAGTTGTTGTTGGTGGTGGTGGTGGTATTGTTGGTTAGTGTGGATGTGTTGTGTGTGTTTGGTATATATGAACAAACAGATGAATGGTTTGGTTTTAATACAAAAAATAACAAAATGAGAAAAATATATTTTCAACGGCAGAACTCACCATGGTTAGGGTCATCTTATCAATTTCATGTTTATCTTTGGTTTTGTGCTGTCGAAATGGTGAATGGCCCTTGAGTAGTTTGTAGAGCATGCAACCAAAACTAAACCAATCGGCACATGAATCATAGGCAGTACCCTTTGACAGGACCTCGGGTGCCATATACCCGTGTGTACCCACTGAGGCATGGGGTTTTTTGCGTGAAAAATCACAGGCTAAACCCAAATCGGAAATGCGTATGTGGCCATTTTCGTCGAGGAGTATGTTGGCTGGTTTTAAGTCTCGATAAACAATGAAACGTTTGTGCATGTGTTCCAAACCCAAAATGACCTGCAATAAAAAAAATTTTATTAAATAGTATTTTTTTTAAATTAGAAAGAAAACTGTACTCACCTCAGCAGCATAGAATTTCATTTCGTCCTCATTGAAAACACCATGCTGTGACAAATGATAGTGTAAATCACCACCATTCATTAAATCCAATATGAAACACAATTTGTCTGGTGTATGAAATGCATATGTCATGCAAACAATAAAAGGGCAGTCATTCTGTTTGTAAACAAACCAACAACAATAATAATATTAAAATTGGTATTCAAATGTTTTAATAATTCCTTTAAGAAAAAAAAACCTACCCCAGTGCTGACCACCTGCAGCATGGAACGTTCATTTAATGCCAGCATTTCACCCTGTTTCATTTTGATGCGTTTCTTGTCCAAACATTTCATGGCATACATTTTGCCAGTATCGGCTTTCCGGCAGCCGTATACTTCACCAAAACCACCACGACCAATAATGCGATGTACACTAAAATCGTTCATTGTCAACTGGAAACCAAAAACCAACAAAAAAATATTATTTATTTTAATTAAAAAATAAATAAATTCAAAATTTACCTGTATATTGAGTTCCAAATTTTTCCATTGGCAAAATCTGGTAAACTTATCACTGCAATGGAAAAAATTAATGAAATAAAATTCAATATTTTTATGAAAAGTGAAATGTTTACCTTTCTAAAAACTTTTTAAAAGGTTTGCCCTTTAAATAACTGAAAATTTCTTCAATATATGGCTGTGTGTGTAGGGGAAAGATCAAAAAACCAATTATTAAAAACTAAAAAAATATAATTATAAGCACTTACCTCAAATAAATTTGTGGGTACCTCATTTTTTAATAAATACTTTTGTACGCTTATAACTGCATCTTTGGAATAATCCTGAAAAGGAAATAATTTGACAAAAAATTACAACATGGAAGAAATTAAAAATGACTTCAAAGGGACCTATACGTATAATTCGTTGGTAAATACACAAAAATACAAAATTAAAAAGGAGTTGAAAAAGGAAACCAAAATTAAAAAAAGGAAAATTTAAAACTAGCCCCACAAATGAGTCTTTCTAAAATGCGGCCTATATCAACAAATTTTTGTCCCAAGGTTTATTACACTAAGTAACACCCACATACCAAATTATAGTAAACTACGTTAAAAAATATGACCAAAAATTAGAAAAAGGAAAATTTTGGAAGTGCCCTTCAAAGGGACCTATACCAAAAATTCGATTTATATCAAAAAAAAAAAAATTGTCACAAGGTTTTTTGCACTGAGTAAAACCAATATATCAAATTTATTAAGCTATGTTGAAAAAACATGACCAAAAATTAGAAAATGGAAAATTTTGAAAATACCCATCAAAGGCACTTATACATAAAATTCGACTTATATCAACAAATTTTTGTCACAAGGTATCTTGCACTTAATAACACCAATATACCAAATTATAGCAAACTACGTTGAAAAATATGACCAAAAATTAGAAAAAGGAAAATTTTGAAAGTACCCTTCAAAGGGACCTATACCCAAAACTCGATTTATATCAAAATTTTTTTGTCACAAGGTTTCTTGCCCTAAATAACAACAATATTGAAATGGACCTTTAAAGGGAACACAAATTATAATCCAATGATTATAGGTATCAAACTGATAAAACCCATATACCAAACTAGAACAAAAAAAAATATGACCGTTGAAAAATATGACCAAAAATTAAAAAAGAAAAATTTTAAAAGCACCCTTTAAGAGGACCTGTGCCTAAAACTTGGCCTATATCTACAAATTTTTGTCATAGGCTTTCTCACACCCTGTAATCTCAATATACTAAATTTTTACAAAAATTGCTAGAAATTTTGGTCAAAAATTAGAAAAAGGAAAATTAAAAAATAAACCTTCAAAGGGACACATGCCTAAAATTCGACCTATATCCTTACATTTTTGTCGCAAGGTTTTGTCGATTCAGTAACACCTATTTATTAAATTAGAGCAAATTCTGGTGGAAATTGTAACCGAAAATTACAAAAAGGAAAAATATAATAGAATGTTTCAAAGTGACCTATATTAAAAATCCGACCTATATCCTTAAATTTCTATTTCCAATTTTATGACACAAAATAACGCTATTCTACCAAATTATAACAAAATTTGCTGGAAATAGTGGCTAAAAATCTGAAAAAGGAAAATTAAAAAATAGACCTTCAAAGGGACCTATGCCTAAAATTCGATCTATATCCTCAAATTTTTGTCGCAAGGTTTTGTAGATTCAGTAACACTTATTTACCAAATTTGAACAAATTCCGTTGGAAATTACGACAAAAAAATACAAAAAACAAAATAAAAATAGAACCCTTCAAAGGGACCTGTACCAAAAATCCGACCTATATCGCTAAATATGTATTTACAGGATTCTTACACAAAATAACGCTTATACACCAAATTATAACAAAAAGAAAAATTAAAAAATTGATCTTCAAAAAGAGCAATGCCTAAAATTAGAACCAAATCAAAAAAAATCTTCCTTAAATGGGCTTTTTTGTTTGATAAATACGAAATATTACAAAAGGATAAATTCCTTTTTAATTTTTTTGTTTAAATATTGAAAATTAGTTTGTTTAATCCCTTGAGAATGGATTACAATTCAAAATTAAGATTTTAAATTATCGACACTTACATATGTGTGCGATAACATTTCCTCCATAATAAAATTGTCATAAATTTCACGTGCCATTTTTTTGCGCTCTTCATAGCATTCGGTTTTCTCAAATTGTTTGATCTGGAAAAATTAGTAAATTTTTAACAATTATTAGTTGTTAGTAAAACAAACAAAAAATAATTAAAAAATAAAATTTGTTCATCTAACCTGTTCATAAAATTTGAATTGCTGTATGGGTTCCTCAGAATCGTTTTCGCAAAAATCTTTAAATAGATTGTAACCTAAACAACGAAAACAGCAACAATACAAAAAGAGCAAAAAATATTAATCACAAGAGATATTTTAAAAAAAAGAGTTTTTATTTATTTATTAACTTACCTATAACCTGATTAAATATCTTATGGAATTCCAATTCGTTTTCCTTTTCCAAATATTTATACATAACTGAGCGAACACTAGACATACAGACAGACAAACAAAATATAAAATTTCATTCAAAACATGACCATCCTCCTCCGCCATCATTCCCATGATGTGCTGATTGCCCTAAACATAAAAATTTTTTCACATACCTTGGATCGGGTAATATCAGTTTCTTGCTGGCCCTTGCTGCTGGAGTACATTTACTTTTCTCCATGGCCATCAGGTAACTGACATCCGCCAATACAGCCTCTAGATCAGCCATCTCGAAGTCGTTTTATTATTATTTTTATTGTTATTATTATTATTATTGTGCTCTACAGCAATTTAGGTGTTTGGGTGGTGGGGTGGTTGTAGTTGATGGTGGTGTTGTGCTGATTTCTGCTGCTGTTGTGCCTCCTTTTTTATGGGAAAATTCATTGACCGTAATTTTCTTTAAATACAAAAAATAAACATATTTTACTCATTTTCTCTTTTTACTAATAGATTTCGTAATAGCATATTTAAAAATTGTATTTTTTAATACACTTTCTTAAAAAATATATTAATTTTTTTATTTTAAACTTGAATGTCCAACCAACCATCCATCCTTCCATCCAACTTCATTCTCTTCTTCTACTGTGTAACATTGATTACACACATTCGCACACACACTTGCACACACATATATATCCAATTTTCCTTTTTTCTTGTTCTTCTTCTTTCGGTTCTTCACACACACACGCATACATTCGCGCAACATTCATTCAATCAACACCTCACAAATGCACCAATTCCAAAAAAAAAAAAATTCAGGTATCCATCCATCCACCAAAATTCCAAAAAAACTCTGTTCGCGACGAAGACGACGACGATGTCGTTTGCGAAAACTTACAATTTTTCTCGTTTCTTGTTCGCCAAAAAATAAAATAAAAACTTCTTCCGCACGTTTGTAGACTAGTTATTTGCTGTTGTTTTCTATTTTTTGTATATATCTCAGGGTGTTTCTTCTTTTTTATATTTCGTATTCATAATTAGAACATTTCACATCGTTTTTTTATATATTAATTTATTTTTCCTTCTTTCTTTTTTTGATATCTCTATACTAACATCAATGAATAATAATACACTCCAGTGTCAGTGCTTTAGGGCGTTGTAGTTCGACAATCGATAACATCGATTAATCGTCTTTGACACATAACAGTCAGAAAGGTGATATGTGTGAACCTCATTTGTGTGTGTGTGAGTACTGGGTGGGGGTGGTTATATGCAACATTGTAATTTTGGTTGGAAATCCGTTAGATTTGAAAATTGAAATGGGTAAATATTAGAATTTGAAACAAGGAAAAATGCATAATAATTATTATTGTATTCGGCCTTTTGCAACGTTCTTCCACCTTGAAATACCATGTTCGGAAATTTTGTTTTCCACTTGATCTTTCCATCTGATTCCTGGCCTTCTCCTTTCTGCGTGAAACAACAGCTGACTCCAATTTATATGGCTTTTGAGCTGGGACAACTTCATTCATTTTCACAACATGGCCTTCTGTCACCACTAGCAAAGGTTTTGGAGCCCCTCCTGCTGCCATCCATGACGGATGGCAAAGCTGTAAGGTGCACCTAACCACATACAAAGCTGTAAGCAGGTCTGTCCTGCCCCAGTTTGGACTTCGTCCACCAGAGATTCGCAATGGAGAATGCTTCAAACCACACAGAATAATTCCCTACCTAACGGATGTGTTCAGAGGACGAGTGTGGATCATCTGCATCAGGAGGTAAGGATACTGTCAGTGCAGCAACATAATGTGTTGTTCACCAGAAAGTTCCTGCTGGCATGCCATCTGCCCAAGCATCCCAACCACCATATAGGGGTTCAGGATCCATCCCGTCGACACATTCGGAAGAACATCAAGCGATACTGCAACGACATCCAGGAAGTCATTCCATTTTACATCGATCACTAGTCACTAGCTGCATCGCTGAGAACTGTTCACATTCAGGAAGTGAGAAAACAAAAAATGCGGGAATAAAGCTAATAATACACCACTACAGACTTTCCACGAGAACCATGGTAGCTATGGGAACAGTAGCAGCTTATTTTTCAAACTCGCCTGTAAACTCTGCTCATACTAGAAATCGATAAATAAAATATGAGCTTTTATTTTATCGATAATCTGTCACCACTTGATATTTCACAGAAATCGCGTTTAGTTTTGAAACTTCATGTTAAATTTGTGAAAACATATTTTGTGTTTTTTATTAATAAAATTGGTGTTTTTTAATTAATTAAAATTAAATTGGCGATTTCACAATACCCTCGGGCCCAGCTGGATTGATTCGAATGTAAGTAAATTGAAATAAATACTAAAAAACATATCATTTGATTGTAAAGTTATCTGCCAGTTAAGAGAGCATGAAGCGAATCATGCCCAATCATGTTTTTTTTGTAATATGTTCCATCCACGACAGGGCTGCTAAAGCAACAGGGCTGCTACAAATATCAAATGCGTCAGTGCCATGAAGAGATCTCTGACAAAAAATACCGGAGAGATGTTAACCTTGTGCAAACGGTTTATCGGACGGGACAGAGAATTTCTTCTAATTAAGAGGAATCTCAAATTCATTCGGATGTTCTCTCGGGGGACTCGTGTAAATTCAATCACAGTTCTCCCTCCAAAGGAGGAGAAAATTGAGAGTAGTCTGAACACAAAGAAGACGATAATGACTGTGACTTCTTATTACTTAATACCCTCCAAGAGATATCTGAGTGTTGAAAAGGATCTGACACCATTCTCCACTGCAAAGATGGGCCTAGGTAGTGTCGAAGTCGGCCCAAAGAACATGCCGTATAAACGATCTATTTTTCTTCAATATAGGAGACTTATTGTCTCTCAATAAGAAACGATCTATTTTTCTTTAATATAGGAGACTTATTGTCTCTCAATTTAGGCGGTCCATTGTCACAAAGAGGACAATGATGTACATAATAAATTGAGAGGAAGTGAGCGTAACTGAGAATTCATCACTAAAAATGATTGACGAAAAGAGAAAAAAGAGAACATGTGTTAACCACGTTTCTTAAAGTAGGCTTTTCGGCAGTTTTGGACATCTATGCTCAATGCCCTCCAAGGGATCTCTGAGTGTTGAAAAGGACCTGACACCATCCTTCACTGCGAAGGAGGCCCAAGACAATCTATGCTCAATACCCTCCAAGGGATCTCTGAGTGTTGAAAAGGACTTGACACAATCCTTCTCTGCTAAGAAGGACCAAGGTAGTGTCGATGTCGGCCCGAACGACAGCCCATAGAAACGATCTATTTTTCTTCAATATAGGAGACTTATTGTCCCTCAATTTAGACGGCCTATTGTCACATAGAGGACGATGATGACTGGGACTTTGGACCAATCAGTACACTCCAAGGGATCTGTGAGTGTTGAAAAGGCTGCACTGCGAAGGGAGAGCCAAGGTAGTGTCGATGTCGGAGAAACTCATTGTCCATCAATTTGGACGCCCTATTGTCTCTCAATAAAAACGATAAATTTTTACTTTATAAAAATGGCCTATTGGCCGAACAAAAAAGGTGACATTGTAGTCCTCTTTAAAGGCGACTTTTTAGGACTATATTAAGGTGACCTATTGTAAGGCGAACAGTTTTTAAAAAATGAAAATAGATGACAAAAAGAAAAAAGTATATTTTTTAAAAAAATATGTATAAAATCAGATAAAAAGTCCGAAGCGAATAATCTTAGGATATTTATATAAGGAACAAAGCAGATATGTTGAGCTATGTCTACTATGTTTTCCAAGGATATTTTGCCAACCATAGGCTACAAAGAATAGTAAATTACTATCGCTTTTGAAGGAATATTTCGGTAAAATATAAAAAAAATGAAAAGATGGATTTCTTTATATTAGGAAAACATAGAATTCATAATATCAAATAATAGCCAATTAGGTTGCAAAACGTGTCCAGAACCCGTGAAAATATCAAAATTTTTTAATTAATTTAATTAATTTTAATAATTAATAAATTTTTAAGAGAAATTTATTCATTTAGAACTCAACATATAAAATAACAGATAATGTGTCCAAATATCCTGAAAATACCGAAAATGTGGGTAGTTATATGGTTTTTCCTGCTAAGATTCGGACCCCTTTTAGGAATATTTCACTGAAATTTTGATAAAATTTATTCATTAATTTGTTTTAATTTACAAAAATAAAAAAAGGTTTTAGAAATATATGTATATGATAATGATGACAGATTATAGAAAAATATGACATATAAAGGACATACATTTTATAGATGACACCCAGTTAAAATATATGATCGTCATCGAAAAAAGAGGACGTATAGTCGTCACCCCTTACCTACCGTCTCTTAATCAGCCTTATTCTGGATATTTGCTAGGGAGATATCTCGCATGTAAAAAATTTTCGCTTTCACATTCTCGCCTTATTCTGAATGAATAGGGAGATGCCAAGGTAGATATACAAGGTAGCCGCATCGGCGAATTTCTACAACAAACATCGGTTGTTGTATTTTGATATGTCAAAAATATTTTGCCAAAACAAACAGATTGACATGATTTTTTTACACAAATTCTTGTAGAAAATGTTAAAAAGTATTAAAAAGCTCTTCGAAATTCGGAGATTTTCATTTATAATTTTGTTTTTTAATTTTTTGGTTCAACATTAGACAACATTTTTAAAAATTTGTCCAACAGCTGGGCCGATGGGGCTACCTTATTAAATATACCTTGGGAGATGCAAAAATGCGAGATGCAGATTCGAGTTTTCGAAAATGGTGGTTGAAAAAAAGATTCGTGTTGCCATATCGTAAATTAAGTTGCAATGTGTGTGGCCATATTCTAATTTAAGTTGCAATGTGTGTTGCCCCATTGTAATTTAATTGTGTAACATTTTTCAATATATTTTTTATTGATTTTTGTTATTAAAAATTGTTACTTTTTATTGTTATTTAAACTATATAGAAATACAAATGTGAAATATCAAGAATCCGCTGTATAAATGCTTTGTAATTAAAAGAAAATAAATTAAAGTTTGAAAATATGGCAACCTACAATATGGCATGTGAAACAGCTGTTCATTGTTTGATGCAGTTTGGTGCAACAACTACAATAGATTACAAATAAAAGAACATTTTTTTATGATGGCAAAAACACAACGAATAATAGGAAGAAATCTGCGATTTCATTATTTATTTAACAGTTTATTATTTCACTACATAATTGTGTGCCTTTTTATTTAATTTATTATCTCCCCAAATTCTTAAAGTGGACTGTTATGTTATGATTTGCTTAAAAAAAATTAGTTCTTTCATAATTTTTATTTAAGTTTTTCACTGTTAAGCGGCTCATCAGGCAAATTTGGGTTTTCCATAATTTTTAAAAATTTTTTTTTTCTTGAGAGACAGAACCTCACCCAAAGTGTCTGTATTTCGCCTCCAAAATGCATCAAACTCCACTTAAATATTCCTTATTACCTCCATACATTCCTTGGTAATACTTGGTTCAGCATGCATCGTTATCAATAGGATTTCCAATGGCATTTTACTGGTTGTTTTCCAGTTTAAAATTAGCTTACTATCATTTATAATATTCTAAATCGTCATAGAATAAGTATTGTGAAAATATTTTTCAAAACATAGTTATTACTTATGTTTTTGTAGTCAACTTCCTTTAAATTTATTAGCGAAAAATTTCGCACAAAATTTCATCTCATTCTCCTACTCCCTGTAATTCAGAATACCTAATTTTTCCCCAATGCGGATTTTTTCGCTTTCGAACTTCATTCAGAATAAGGCGAAAGCGAGAATGCGAAAAAAATTCACAGGAAAATGTTGTTCAGAATAAGCCGAAGGGGAAGAGCGAGTAAATTCACATGGAATTGACATCCAGAATAAGGCTGAATAATGACAATTGGCCATTGTCTCTTAATAATAACGATTGGGCGTCTGTATAGATGAATTATTGTCCTCTATACAGTTGTACGGTAGATTGTAAAGACCTCTCTCTCATTGACGGGAAATAAAATCGACCTATTGATCATGTAAATTATTCTTTACTATTTTTTAAATATATCCCTTCCTCAATTGCATTAAAATAAAACTCCCATATTTTTTATTTTTGTAATAAATACTTTTCGTTATTATTTTTTGTTGTTGTTGTTTCATTCTAAATTCCAATTAAGAATATGTCTACATTTTATTTGTTTTCGTCTCTCGTTTCGTTAATTTTATTGTTATGTTCGGAATCTTTTAAAAACACTTTTTGTTTTTTGTTTTGTAACGCAATTTTATCAAAATTATAAACAAAAACAAAAAAAGACTATATAATTTTATGATTTTTCTATTTTGATTTCGAATATTTATTTTTTGGGGGTTGTGTTGGGGCGGGGACGATAGATGATATTTTAGTTTGTATGTATGTGGTTTTGTGGCGTAGTAGTAGTTTTGTTGATAGTTAAGATTTGTTTTAGTTGTTGTCTATGTTTTTATTGTTTGTTTATATTTATTTTATGTGTATTTTTATTTTCCTTTTGTATGTGGATGCATTTTTTTGAAGGTATAAAAAAAGTTTTTTAGGTTATGCAAAAAATAAAAAAAATTTTATATAAAAAAATAAAAATAAACATATATAAAAAATAAGTATAACCAACTCAATATATTACAAAAACGTATTTTTTATATATATATAGATACTGTATATTAATTTTTTATGTATAAATATATTTTTTGTTTTGCTTTTTTATCGTTTGTTATAGCATAATTTGCAAAAAAATATTCGTTATATATAATATTAATAATAATAATTAAATAACCGTAATATATAATATTATTAATGTATAAGTATTCGATTTGTTTTTATATGCATGTATATAAATATGTATGTAGTTCAGTGTTTATTTTTTTGGATAGCAAACTCTTATTCGATCCGTCTTCTTCTTCTTTTGTTGTAATGTAATCTCCTCAAATTTTCTGTCTGGTGTTGTCCAAGAGAGTTAGGAGAGCCAGCGAGCGAGATGAGATCAATGTTTTGCAATGTCTCCAAATGATTATGAAATGTGAAAAATGTTGTGTGGGTGGCCAGATGACAGACATACCGACAGGACAGTAGGAAGAAATTGCATGATCTGTTTTTGTCTCAACACACATGTCTCACATTTTCTCTTTTTCACACGGAAAAATCTCACGCAAGCAAGCACACCATTCTCACAGGCCCATACACACACACACGCATACTATTGCACAAAATCTCTTAGTCGGTTTCTTCCACCACATGGTTCGTTCTTCGTCTGTTTTGTTCTTGTTTTTTAGGTATGCTGCTCCGAAAATATGGACAATATTGATCGTAATGAATGTCACTGTTGATTTCCCTCGTTCATAAGTTGAGCACTGAATGATAATTCATCCTAAAATTAGATTACATGTTACAATATTATACAACAAATAGCTATAACACACACACATAGAAATATATTTTTTTTAAATATAGAAATTATTTACAAAAATTAGAGAGAGAAATGCAAATATGTATATAAAAAATTTATGAATACAGTTTGATTTTTCTTTTTGGGTTTATTGAGATCTTACATCGAACATGTCTTTAAATGAAGATGATTCATTGCCAAATGGACTGGGTGAACGAGATTCTGAATAATTTAGTTCCGATTGCTGGTCATGCATTGTGCTTTTCTGCATTACTCCTATAAGAGCAATAATAATATGAATTAATAAAAAACAAAGAAAAAAGGCATTTAGAGGACAAAAAACAAAAGCAAGAAATTTAAAAAAATCCCTTTTGACTGTCCAACTTACCATTATTGTGACCTATTTTTAATTGGCGGAATTGTTTCAAGGATGCCATATCCGGTTGTATCATACTTAACAATTGACTACGAGATTCATTAGGACTCTCAATGGAGGTTGGCAGATCTAATAGGCGTTGATTTTGTATACCATCGCCGGGACCCATGTGCGATATATGATTAAAGTTGGTGGGCGCTGAAATCATTTTTGATCTTCTGTCCGTACTAGAAGAAGATGATGGGGAAAAAGGGAGAGAGAAAAATACATATTAGAAATTTCAAATGTTATTATAAAAGAAAGAAATATATAGGGGAGTTAGATAAATGCAGCAGAAGGAGGAGACAGTTTTTAATAATTTTCCCGCAGATGAAGGTTAATAGGTTCTGCATAAAAAAAAACAATATATTAATTGTTTATACCCTTCTCCACAAAAGGAAACAAGATAGACCCATGGTTCATTTTGAGAATATGTATAGAATCACTTTCTGAGTCGATTTATGCATGTCCGTCCGTCCGCCTGTCCATCTGTTGATGTTAAATTGTAAACAAACAAAGTACAGGTCGTATTTATCATCCGATTTGGATGAAATTAACACAGCTCATTTATTTGTCCCTATATATCTTTCGATATGCACGAAATTTGGTACAGCGCATTAAATTAAGTCTAGAATGATGTGTGCTAAGTTTCGTGAAAATCGGTTCACATTTAAATATAGATCCCATATATATATTATGTTTCAGTCCGATTTGCACGAAATTTTAGCTGAATTGAGTTGGTTCAGATTTAAATATAGATCCCATATATATTTTCGTCCGATTTAATGTAAATGGTGCACCAAAGACCAAAGTCTTTCGATTTGCACGAAATTTTAGCTGAATTGAGTTTTTCTACAAACATTTGCAAAAATGTAATTTTCTACTAATAAATTGAATATTTTTGTTAGAAAAAAAAATTAGCTGAATTGAGAAAATTTTAGCTGAATTATGTTTTCCTTACAAAAGTTTAGCTGAATTGAGTTATTCAACAAAAAATTGCTGAATTGTGTTTTTCTTAATTGTTTTCCTAATAAATCAAGTTTTTTTGTTACAAAAAAATTAGCGGAATTGTGAAAATTGTACCGGAATTAGGTTTTTTTCTTACAAACCTTATCTGAATTGAGTTTTTTCTACAAAAAATTTCGCTGAATTGTGTTTTTCTTAATTCTAATTGAGCATTTTTGTTAGAAAAAAATAGTTGAATGGAGAACATTTTAGCTGAATTAGGTTTTTTCTAACAACACCTTAGCTGAATTGAGTTTTTATACAAAAAAATTGGCTAATTGTGTTTTTTTACAGAAAAAAGTTTGCTGAATAAAGTTATTCTTTATGGAACGCATGCTGAATTGAGTTTTTCATTAGAAAAGAAAGATAGCTGAATCGAGATTTTCTACAGAAAAAAATTAGCTGAATTGAATTTTTCTTCAATAAATTTTCAACTAAATTGCATTTTCTTTAGAAAAAATTTGCTATAAAAATTTTATTTTCTACAGAAAAAAAATTGAATTTTCTACTAAAGAAACAGAAAAAATTAGCTGAATTAATTGCTAAATGTTGTTTTCCTACAGGAAAAAGTTTGCTGAATAAAGTTTTTCTTTATTGAAGTAAGCTGAATTGAGTTTTTCGTTTGAAAAACTTGGTTTATTTTGGGGGTTCTAAAGAAAAACTTAGCTGAATCGAGATTTTCTATCAGAAAAAAAGTTGAGATTTTTTTTAGAAATGTTCAACTAAATTGCATTTCTTTGGAAAAGGTTTGCCTAATTGAATTTTTCTCTATGAAAATTTTACTAAATTGAATTTTCTACAGAAACATTTAGCTGAAGATTTTTTTGTGAATAAAGTTTTTCTTTTTTTATAACGAATTTTATATTTTGAGTCACGATCAGATGTGATCAATATCATATTGTATTATGTTTACCGTTAGAGAATTTTTATAGGAATAAAAAAAAAAATATTTTTACAAATGTGAAACATGTAAATTACAAAGCATATATTGTTATTTTTTTAATATTTCGAAACACAGTAGTAATTTGTTCAACATATCGATCCTCAACCACAAATTTTAAAAGAAAAAAAACTGTACTTACTTTTTAATAGTTTTATTGATTTCTCTCATGGAAAATCGACGCTTGGTATTGACACCACTAATCCGTTTGAGATTCTTTGACTGGAAGAGACCCTCTGCAAAAATTACAAAATATTTAATTTACAACAATAATAACAACACTAACATCAAAATTCCTCTCTTCCAACTCACTTGTGTGTATATTAGCCAAATATACCACATAGGGTGTATCATTTATGTGAGTCAACACAATATTACCCTGTTGACTGAGAGGCGAAGAACGTTTCAAACCCAACGACTGTACCCATTCAGCTGTTTGGGTATTGAATATATCTAAATGGGTTTCGGAAAATACCAATAAATGGCCATCGGAATATGCTGTAAAAAATATGAAAGAAACCATTAATATCTTCCTATAGAAATTTCCATAAATTACACATTTGCATTACTCACTTATATGCGTTGGCAGGGCTGGATACATAATTTCACGATCTCGTGATTTACGTCCCTGTAAATCAACATATATGGCCAGTGTTTGAAACACCAGCAAATATTCACCGTAACCACCACCGGCACATTGAATTTCAATGACACGTATTGCATCCACACCAGAATAATTGAGAAAGGCACACAACTGATTTTCAGGATGTATTAGAGCTACAAAACAAAGAAATAAAATATGAAAAAATATCTATATATGTATAACATGCTTCAAAGGTTTCCCTCTCTCCCTCTCTCATACTTACACATTGCTGTTGCTTCTCCCTGCAGCAAATATGCCGTAAAACCACTTTGATGACCAATCACCAAACGCATATCCGACAATATTTGAACACACTGTACCGTATAGGCCACGGTAAATTCACACATTTTCTGATGACGCAGGCGATTACGATTAATCTCGTAGACTATGATCTGTGTCTGATTTGTGGGTCGCTTTAGGGCCACCACAAAACAATATACCACCGCCGGTATACGTTTTATAATACCCGTACATGCGGCAACACAATTTTTCGAATCGACCACCTTTATCCATTCGACATCGCTACACTCGAGCGCACGTATCGGCAATAGACGTATGTGTCGCTGTTTACCGCACAACAATACCAATATATGTTCCTCTTCGATATACCAGATTTGTAAGATTTTTTTACTATCACCAATACGTGCGATTTCATATTGTTCGAAATTAATACAATAAAGGCCATCATCGGTGCCGAGTAACAATTGATCGGGGTAGACAATTAGGGCGCTGAGAGCATTACGCATCAGCGCCAAAGAACTATCGAGAATTTCATTGACCTTATAGATGGCGGTATTGGGTAAATTGTTACGCTTCAAGATGCGATGCAGTTCACTTAGGGCCACAACCCATTTGGTTTTTTCCGATTCATTATCGGCCAGCATAAGGGTGTTTAGGCATGGACCACCTTCAATGAGAGAGGTTTTTATCTGAAAATAAAAAAAAATAAATGTACACAAATTAATATCTGTTAAATAATAAAAATACAACTTAGGGACTTTGGTGGACGATTTACATTAAATCGGACGAAAATATATATGGGAGCTAGATCTACATCTGAACCGATTTTCACGAAGCTTGACACACATCATCCTAGACTTAGTTTAGTACGCTTTGCCAAATTTCGTGCAAATCGAAACATATATAGAGACTTTGGTACATCATTTACATTAAATCGGACGAAAATATATATAGGAGCTATATTTAAATGTGAACCCATTTTCAAGAAATTTGACACACATTATTGTAGACTCAAGTAAGTACGCTATGCCAAATTTCGTGGAAATCGAAAGATAGGGATAGGGACTTTGGTGGACCATTTACCTTTAATCGGTCGAACATATATATGGGAGCTATATCTAAATCTGAACCGATTTTCAAGAACATTTTCACACATCATTCTAGACTCAATTCAGTACGCTGTGCCAAATTTCGTGCGAATCGAAAGATATATAGGGACTTTGGTACACAATTTACATTAATTCGGACGAAAATATATATGGGAGCTATATCTAAATCTGAACCGATTTTAACCAATTTTGAAAATAAATATTTTTCGTGGTTAGTTTTTTTAAAGCTTACCTTGAAAATACATGGCACATCTTTTTTGGCTGCATGAATGACATCACTTTCCCTCACGCTGGTCACGGCAAACTCCGTGTCTCTCATATCCAATACCTGCGACACATTAACACATGGCAGGGCACTGCGATCCGCCGATATGTCATACAAGAACAGCTTAAAGTCACACACCACCACAAATTGTCGCACCCAACCGCGTTTGACAACACCCTGTTTGGGCACCTTAACATAACCCTCATAGGCTGTGCCAATGCCACGTGTTGGATCGATACCCAGTGGCCGTTTGGTTTGATCATTTGGTACTGGACATATAGTAGGAACCTTTTGACAACAATTTGTGTGGCAGGCAAAACCGCAAATCTCACACACCACCCCTTGGCGGGTGAGACCAACCATTAGGGATGTGCAGTGATTACATTTGGTAGGACTGCTAAAGGTACGAACCAGAAATTGATGGATTTTTTGTTTATGCATGCTTGGGGTTTGTTGCTGCGATTGCTGCTGCTGAAGATGATGGGTGTCTGTTGATTTACAACTCAAATTACTTTTGGAACTGGCATTTCGTATAAGCATTTTGTTACCCTCATCTGGTCCGCCATAGGATAGATTGTGTTCGGGTGACAAGTTCATGGGATAGCTGCCGCCATAGGCCATTTGACCGCCACTTTGACGTTGATCGGAGGCTGAGGCGGCTGCTGTTGATGAGCCGGCCGCTGCCGCTGAATCATCCGAAAAGAATATGTTCGAGGAGGAGTTCATCTAAGACGAGAGAGAGAGACGAATTATTATTTTTATAAAACTCAAAATAAATTAACAAAAAATAATAATAACTTACCACAGTATCACCCATTGATAGGCCACATATATTGGGATCTGATTCCTTGAACATAGCTGCCGCTTCTTTATTGAAATAATTATATGATACCTGTGAATTGGATCTTTCCAGAACTGCATTTGGAGGAGGATTTGCATTTTGATTTGATTGATTTTTTTTTTGGTATGCGGATGGATGGATAGCCGTTGATGTTTTGCAAAGAAATGCACACACGCACACACACACACACGTATTGTTATGTTGTTTTGTGCAAGCAGATGATGAATTTTTTTGGGTGTGATTGGGTGAGGGATTGTTTGGATGAAACGGTTGGATGGGTGGATGAATGAATGGACGAGTTTACCAAACAAACGGGGGTGGGTGGGTGTTTGATATAAAAAAATTCAAATAAATGAAAAAAGAACAAAAATACAAATATATTTAGTTACATAAAAACAACAAGAACATTTGAACAATGGACAAAATATTTGATGTGATTGGGAAAAAATGTTTTCTATTTTTTTGAAAGCAGAAAAATTTCCACAAGTTTTATTTATTTGCTTTTTCTCTTTTTGTTTTTGTTTTAATCCCAATGAAGAAGAGTGTAATGTGTTGTGTAAAAACTGCAATGATTAAAAAATCTTTTATTTTGCATTCCAGGGGATTTTTGGGGTAGAGAATTATTAGCCTAAAATTGCAATGCTGTTTTGTGGGGGGTCATATTTTATTGTACCAATTTATCTAAAATATGGTAGTAAAGACGAACATTTATTTTTTGTCACATACAATTTCAGAATGGATTTGGATTTCCTGTTCAAATGGCCAGAAATTATTTTTTTTAGTTTTTCGATTGCATTCATAAAATATTGAGACGTTTTTTTGTCATAAAAAGTTTAATTATTGGTTCCGATGATAAGATGATAATGAATTACTCTCTTCTCTGCACTCTCTTTTACTTTTAGATTTTTTGAGGTTATGTAGATGTTAAATTGTAAAAAAAGTACAGGTCGCATTTATGATCCGATTTGGATGAAATTTGCCACAGCTCACTTCTTTGGCCCAAGGACGAACCCTATTGAAATTAAAAAAAAAATCGGTTCAGATTTGGATATAGCTCCCATATATATTTAGTCCGATTTAAGGTGAATGGTGCGCCAAAGTCCCTAAATATCTCTCAGATTTAAATATGGCTAACGGCTCCAAAGTCCATGTTCTTTTGAAAAGGCGACGTGTGTTAGGAGACTATGTATGTACCTTAACTGATGAAGGGTATTTCCTTACTTGTTTTTTTTTCATGTTCTTTTGAAAAGGCGACGTGTGTTAGGAGACTATGTATGTACCTTAACTGATGAAGGGTATTTCCTTACTTGTTTTTTTTTTTTAATTTGTGAGGTTAGGTCAATTGTTTTATGCCTATCTGCGACGAATTCAGCAAACATTTTGATTTCTTTTTTTTTTTTTGTTGAGGTTATGTTCAAAAGATTGTCTTTTTGTGAGGTTAGGTTAATCTTTCTATTAATAAAAACGAAAAAAATCTGCGAAGAAATCAGTAAATATTTTGAATTTTTGTCAAGAAACTAGTAAAAATAATTTTTTTAATCTTTCTATCATTAAAATTGGAAAAAAATGCAAAAAATTCAGCAAACATTTATTTCTTGTCAAGGAACTAATAAAACCATTTTTTTTGAGGTTATGTCCAAAAATAATTTTTTTAAGATTAGTTTGAAAAAAAATGTAAAAATTCGGAAGGAAAAATTTTGATTTCATGTCAAGAAACTAGTAAAAATATAATTTTAAGGTTTGATTTTTTTTTTGTGGTTAAATATTTTTAATTTTTTTAATTTATAAGGTTCAATATGTAGACTTTTTAACTTTGTGAGGTTAGGTTGATCCTTCTATCATTAAAATTCGAAAAAATGCGATGAATTCAGCAAAAATTTTGATTTCAAGAAACTAATAAAAATATTTTTTTTTATTGAGGTTATGTCCAAAATAAATATTTTCTTCTTTTGATGATTATGTCCAAAATTATTTATATATTATTATTATTATTTTTTTAGGCTATGTCCAAAATCATTTTCTGGTAAAACTGGTAAAAAAATACTGTTTTAGTTTGCTATTTTTGAGGTTATGTTTAAAATGTTTATTTTTGTGAGGTTAAGTTAATCCTTTTAACATTGACAATGAAAACAAACAAAATTCTGCAAAGAACTCAGCAAACATTTTGACATAATGTCAAAAAGCCAATTCAAGTGATTCAGTCTCACCAATATTTGGTTTATATTTTATGTGAGGTTAGGTTGAAAATATTTAAAATTTTCGATATTTTCATTTAAAAAAGGTTAAAAATTAAACTTAAAGAGCTTAATGGCATGATTGATTGTGGCCATGATCTGCAGGGTGGTACTGTGATGAATGTTATGCTTTCAGCAATTATCAGCAGCTGGGTCAGGATTTCTGCTGCTTTTTGTCTTTGAAGGATTTCACAAAGAGGATATAAAAAACACTTAACAAAGGAGCAAAAAGCAAAAGAACACAATACAATACAAAACGAAACATTTTTTTTAAGGTTTTGTGGAAAGCGTTAGGTTTTTTGTGGCTTACGCTCATGCTGTAAGGGATGAGGCAAGAGGGGCGGTGGTTCCAATTCCTAGGCTCCCAAAACAAACAAAAAAATACATTACCAGCTTTAAGGACATTTTGGTTTTGTCTTTTGGTCTAAAAAAAAAACTCTTCAAGACATTTTTGAACGAGACCTAACCGTCAAGGATGAGAAGAGGATGTGCAAAAATGCATACAAAACCTACCTAGGTTTTTTTTGTGGCCGACGCTCATGCTCATGGTGAAAAGAAAATAGCTCGAGCTGAGGTTGCAATGATGAAATAATGTGTTGAGAGATAGAGGCAAAAAAGGGTGAAAGACAAATTTCCAAGAAAGCAGAATGACTTGCTTCAAAGCTGAAAGAAGAGGGTAAGCCGCGTAAATGAATGATGATGATTTCTGTTGCCGATCAAAGTGAACCATGTTAAGGAACATGGTGCAGTCTTGAAGATTAAGCCGACAGTGGGCAAAGGCGTTGCGCGAAGCCGAAGGTCTGAATATGTTATCAGCCGTTTTATAAGCAGTCAATTGAGGATGGTTCTGGCAGACAAAGGTGCTACCTTTGGGCAGTTTTCTTTTTAACGGTCCGGTCGTTCGTTCGTTTTGTCATATTTTTGAGCAAAGAAACACTTAAGACATTTTTGATGCTTTTTTTCAATGAAAATGAAGTTTTTAGTTTTTTTTTTTGTGATATAATTTGAAAAGTTTTTTTTTTTTTTGTTAACAACAAATAACAACGGTATATAAATAGTTTTTTTTTATAGATAGATAATACAATTCAATGGGAGAAGAGAGAGAGGGCGGATGGATACTATTGTACTTAAGTGCTTGCTTTCATGGGCTCCAAAAATTGTTTCTATTATTAATATTATTACGATAATGATTATTATTTTTTATTGTTATTAGTATTATTATTGTATTGTATTATTGCGCAAGAAGAGATACAACATGCCAAGAAAACATGAAGTAAATCCAACCCAGGTGTAGACTTTATTATTTTGTGTTTTTATTGCTTCTTTCATAGATTGTTTTTTGTTGTTGTTTGATGCAGTTGCTGTTGCACAAATAATAGGTGGTGATGCAGAACAAGAAGAAGAACAAGAGGTTGGAAGAATATTGACATCACCACTTGGACTTGGGCTGATTGGTGGAGTGCTGGTGGTATTGCTAGCCGGTAAAGATGTGGCATTTAAAAGTAGTAAATCGTTTCTGTTGTCATCATCATCGTTAAGGTCGTTGTTGTGGTCGTTGTTCATCGTCATCACATGTCGTTGCCTAATTACATTCGCTGATTCAACTTCTGACATGGGCTGTTGTTGGTTCATAATGCTAATATCAGCAGAAGAAGAGTAACTGAGAGGAGGAGGCTCACTGTTGTTGTTGTCCCCGATTTTTGTATTACTACTATTATTACTAGAATTTAGAAATTGTTCCTGGGTACGCGTATACTGATTACACCTGGCACACACATTAAATTTTGAACGATTTGGTTTTCTATCGTTAGGATTATTGGTATTCGTCGTATTTCTTTCCAAATTCTCATCGACATTAGCCTCAACTACGATGGGGGCTTTATTGGTTTATTTTTAATTGTTTGTATTTATGTTTCGTATTTTTTTTGTTGGTAATGAGAGAAAGAAAATAAATCAAAATAAAAAAATCAAAATTTAATTTTTTTGTTTTCAAAAAATGAAACAAAAATCATAGCATGTGAGGAGGCCAAACTCATGGTGTGAGTGAACGATTTTCAAAAAAACGAAACATTTTTTTCATGCACTTCATTCATAGCCAGCTTAGAGAGTGTCAGAGTAGGAGTAGTATTAGAGAGCATCGCATCAACAAGCAAACAGTTTTTAATTGGCATTTTTAGCTTTCAATTGTCATGGTATTGCCAACAATAACAACAACATAGGTGATATTTTTTCTTCATTGGGGGGTTAAGACAAAACTTTTTCCAAAAAAAAACACATTTTGTGAGTCTAACACAATAATTCATCAAAAATAGTTTTTTTTTAATAAAACAAATTAATGCAGCTTTTTTGTTGGTCGTGTATATAAAAAAATATTAAATTATTTTTGTACTTACATCCCTTGGAAGACTCCAAACCTTTCTGCAGTTCTCTTAATTGATTTTCCTTAAAATGTAACTCATACATGGCCGATTCACAACGTTTGCGATAATCATTCAAATCTCTGCAAGAAGAAGAACAAGGAAATTAATAGATTTGATTTTAATAGGATGTGAATTTAGATTTTTTTTATTATTTAATATTTAAATAAATATATATATAAATATATTAAGGTCCCACATAAGGCGGGGATTTTTTAAAAATATTTGTTAAGCTCCTACATAAGGCGTGGGGGTGGCGTAGGGGTTGATAGATACCAAGCAACGGCTCTGATTGGCTTTAACATGGCGAAGTCCAGGCTTATCTTAGTCCCTCTTTCATCTCAATTGTGGACACTTTTCATCAAATAAACTCAAGCAGATTCAACGTAACTATTCGGCGACCTATCAGGAATTAGTATACTGAAATGTATGCCGAAGTTATACCATAAACTTTACGTTAAGGAAACTCAATAAAATTCAACGACCCTATTCGGTGACCTACCAAGAATTTGAATACGGAAAAGTATGCAGATGTTATACCATTACCTTTAAGTCAAAGAAACTCAATCTAATTGAACGTAACTATTTGGCGACTTACCAAGTATTAGAATGCAGTAAAATATGCGGAATTTATACCATTGTTTTTATGTCGAAGAAACTCAATCAAAGAAAAAAATGTCAAAGCTCCAAAAACTTCATTCAAAACTGGTGGCCAGATGCTGGTAAGCAGCATGCACCAGCTGATTAGTACAATTTGGCTAGAGGAATGCATGTCCAATGATTGGAACCTCAGCATCATGTGTACCGTGTACAAGACGTTATGTACCAACTATAGAGGAATAAGTCTCCTTCCCATCGCATATAAAGTGCTATCTAGCGTACTGTGTGAACGACTGAAGCCAATGGTCAATGACATTATTGGACCACACCAATGCGGCTTCGGGCCTGGCAAATCCACCATTAACCAGATTTTCACTCTGCGCCAAATCCTGGAAAAACTCCACGAAAAACACATCGACACATTCCACCTATTCGTCGACTATAATGCCGCATTCGACAGCCCTATCCGTTCAGAAGTGTGTAAAGCCATGTCTGCGTTTGGTATTCCTGAAAAATTAATACGCCTATGCAGGAAAACTTTAACTGGCACCAGATCAGCAGTTAAAGTCGAATGACATCAGTTTTGAAATTCGGAGAAGGAAATGGTTGGCCAACAGATGCGCTACTATGGACTGAGCAAACAACTCAAAAGCAAGGCCACCTCCCGGCAGACCAAACTCACACTCTACAAGACGCTGATACTACCCGTGCTGTTATATGAATCTGAAGCATGGGTACTTGCGCAAACAGATGAGGCAGCTCTTGGAGTGTTTGAGAGAAAAATTCCCCGAAAGATCTATGGGCCGATCTGCGTTGATGATGAATATCGTCGTCGAATGAACAATGGGTTGTACCAGCTATTCTCGGTTATTGGCATTGTTAGACGTATCGAGCTGCAGCGACTACGTTGGATAGGTCTTGTTGTGAGAGCGGATGAAGATGCATAAAAGCGAACCAGCTGATTGTTCACGCAGAAGGGGAAGACCACGAATAAGATGGAAAGTTCTAGTGGAAGACAACATTGCCGAATATGGTCTTTCAATTGCGCAAAAGATATTAATATTAAGGTCCTACATAAGTCGTGGATTTTTTAAAACATGACTGGGATTGCCGAAAGGCTTCATTTTTGTATTTGTCTTTCTACTTACTTTTGTGTGGCCATTAGTTCAGCACGAGTTTTACTCAATTCATCAGATATAGCTGCCTTTGCTTGTATCTCAGATTGCAAAGAGGACTGCAAATTAAGCAATTCCATTTTATCCAATTTTTGGGATCGACGATTACGCCAATTTTTATTATTATCGTTGTTCTTTTTATAGAATGGTCCTGAAAGAAGAAATGAAACAACAACAAAATTAAAAAATTAATTGTAAAGACATTTTAAACAAACCGAAATTAAAAATCAATTTTATGAGAGCTACATACATATATATAAATCGGAATCAATTTAACTCAAATTTGATACACGTTCTTCAAAAACTTAATTCGAAACGCTATGCAAAATAAAAATAACCCATACCAGAATGTTTTAGATATTCCAATTCTTCGGTCATTTTTGTGGCCAAGGCTTGTAGATAACTGCGGGCATCCTTTTCATCCGATACCCATTGGATAATTTCCGACATTTGTTTTTCCCATTGGCAAATGGCTTGACGTTTCGATCTGCAACAAAGAATCCACAATTATATTACAAAAAAAAAAAAGAGAAAACCCAAAAATATAAAACCTACTTCAGTTCCTCAATATTATCCTCATATTCACTGTGCTTAGCCTGCATTTGTAAACTCTTTTGATTTTGTATTTCCATTTCCATGAGCAGCCGTTGTTTTTCCTCTATCCACATATTACGATCCTTGTCATAATCCTCCTTCAGCTCACTAATCGTATCGGTTGTATCGCTCAGCGTTTCCATTTTACTATTTTCGTATTTTTCACGTGACTGCTGCAGTTCGTTGAGCAGTGTCTCTTGATATTTTTCCGCCTCTTTCAGCTGTTCGCGCAATGCCGATATTTCGAGATTATATCGTGCCTGTTGTTGATTTAACTTTTCGGTACATTGAATTTCAATACGTTCAATTTCGTAACGTGTTGCATCCGAATTGAAATTGTTAGCTGCAACACTACTGGCCGATGATGAATACGCCGAGGAGGCATCGGAATTTTTCTTTTTGTTCAATTCCTCCTGCAGTTGGCGACAAAATTCTTCTGTGCGTTCGCGTTGTTTCTTTTCCGTGGCAATGTCGGTGAGGGCATCTTCCATGCGCATTTCCAATTCACGGCGACTTTTATCGGATTTTCTCAAATCCTGGCGCAATTGATCGATTTTTTTCATTACTGTTTCCAGTTCTTCTTCTTTGTCACGCACCTACACAAAAATTGTTCATTATTATTATTGGGTTTTGTAATATTTTAATTTTTTTCAATTTACATACCTGCCGTGATAACTTCTGTTTTTGACTCCGCAATTCCGATAACTTATCCGTGACCTCTGAATATTCCATCATGGCCAGATTTCTTTGGCTTATTGCATCTTTAAGTTCGGCATCCTGTTGTTTTATTCGATCCAAGGCATCATTGTATTCCTTGATGATTTCCAATTTTTCGCGTTTCAATTCGTTTAGCTCCTTATCCAGCTCTTGCAGCCGTGCCTTGGACACACCGCTGTCCATCTCTTTATCACCTGAGGAGTTAGTGCTATTACTATCTAATTCTTGTTTCTTTTTGGTAAATATTTTCAATTCGTTGAGAATTTGGCGTGTACATTCGGGAGAGAGATTCTTTTCGTTAAGTAATTCCTGTTTGAGGGTATTATAGAATGACCGATCAAATCCATCTATACTGTCCTCCTTGTTCGACGACGTCGTCGTTGTGTTTGATGTTAGGCTGCTGATGTCCAATTTACCCAAATCGGACATGCAACTGTTCTGGGTAAAGGTGAAACCAACAAAGGGTAAATGAAATCCCGAAAAGGCAGGATTGGCGGCAGGCGGTACTGAGTCACTGTGACGTATTGTATTGTCGTCCACATCGAAATTGGAAGTATCTGTGGGACTGTCCACATCGGGGACATAGGGTGCCGGTCCCAAACGAATATTGTCCCAATCCAAACCCTCAAACCAGGGATGGGCTTTGAAATCCTCAATGCCATTGCGGCCCAAACGAAATTCGGGAGCACATATTAAACGCCGTATTAAATCTTTGGCTGCATCTGATACCTTTGTTATGCCATCCTCCGGCGGGAAATCAAAACAATTTTGATGATTCATAATTTTGCCATAGGTCTCGACCAGACTTTCCGCATAAAATGGTGTCTCGCCATACAACATTTCGTACATACACACACCCAGCGACCACCAATCGCATTCGGCACCATATCGCCCCTGGCCATCTTCCATGGCCCTTAATATTTCGGGCGAGATATAATCCGGTGTACCAACTGCCACATTCGATTGGACTTTGCCATCGGCACCCAAACGTAGACAAGAACCAAAATCGGCCAAACGTATATGGCCATTGACATCAATGACCAAGTTGTCGGGTTTTATGTCACGATGGACATAACGCAACTGATGTATACTATGGATGGCCAATATTATTTCGGCTATATAAAACTTAGCCATATCTTCGGGTAGGCGATCTTCGAATTTGCTTAGCAAGGTTAAGAGATCGCCACCGCAATAATAATCCATAACTAAATACTGTAAGGAACAGAAAAAAAAACAACAAAAAGGAATTTAAATCAATTTCCAATTTGGAGGAGTTCAAGGCAAATCTACTTACCAAATTGGTGTCATCTTGAAAGGCATAGTGTAAATTTGTTATCCACTGGCGATCACCATAGACCAAGACATCACGTTCCTCTCGAAAGCAGGCTGTTTCGGCCCGCTTCAACATTTCCCATTTATTCAGAATTTTCATGGCATATATTTTCTGGGTACTTATCATGCGTACCACACACACTTCGCCAAAAGCACCGCGTCCAATGATTTTAATAATTTCAAAATCATCGCGGGATAAACGTAACTTCTTAACCAAAGAAACCACGGGTTTAGCTGCAAACCAAAACAAAAAATGCGCACTTGTTAGAATAGAAAATCTACAGGGGTGACAAATTTACAGCATTTTCCAAAAAGAGGTGTTATTTTAGTATTCAAGAAAAAAATTGTAAAAGATCCAATCAGCAAAGACACGATGTTGTTGATGACTTCTATAAGACGAAGAAGGCCTCCAGCTCTTCTATAGGAGGAATATCGCATGTGTAAACAGTTCCGGAGACGTCACTCTATCATTGGGGACTCCCTGTTTTACTCTATTGGTCTTTGGCTTCTTGTTTTTGAATTTCACGTCCGACTGACTCCTGATCTTATCTCAGATAGCTTTGGATCGTGCGAGGACAGTGGGGACTATCGAATATAATATTGGTATAATAAGTGGCCAGAATTATGGGCCTTCACATTCAAAGGTAATTATTTGCGCAGTTTTTCAAATTTAGAAGACCATATTCGGCAATGTTGTCTTCCACTTGATCCATCTTATTCGTGGCCTTCCCATTCTGCGTGAACCATCAGCTGGTTCGCTTTTTTATGACTTTTGGGCTGGAGCATCTTCATCCATTCTCACAACATGACCTAGCCAACGTAGTCACTGCAGCTCAATACGTCTAACAATGCCGATGTCCGAGAAGAGATGATACAACTCATGATTTATTCGACGGCGATATTAACTGTCAACCCAGATCGTCCCATAGATTTTTCGGAGAATTTTTCTCTGAAACACTCCAAGAACTACCCATGCTTCGGACTCAGACCATAGTAGCATCTGTTGGCCAACACTATCCTTCTCCGAATTTTGAAAACTGATGTCTTTCGTTTTGTTTATGGCGGTACCAAAGTATATAAAATATTTGACTACCTCGAAGATGTAGTTCACAGTTGGTCCGAGTCTTGGTCATCAACTTGGCCTTCTCGCCGTTTACTGCCAGACCCACTTTGGCAGACTCCTTCTCAATTTATTCAAAGGTGGCTGTTACCGCTCTTAATGTTCGACCTTTCGAGCCTTAGTTACCGGGGACAAAATCGCCCTCTAAGATACACCTTGGCAGGCGTTTTTTAATTGGCTTCATCGGGTAATATTAAGGTAGCTAACGGCAAATTGGGGACCTTGTATAGATGCTTTAGTTCTATTGGTTCATCCAGTTGCTTTGACATCAAAAAAAAAAAAAAAAACCATTAGGACCAAGGGCCTTGGATGATTTTACGCTGGCAGCTTTGAATGACTTCAGTAGCGGAACTAACCTGCGACTTTTCTTAGCATTGGGTAATATTAAGGTAGCTAACGGCAAATTGGGGACGCTTTAGTCCTAGTGGTTCATCCAGTTGCTTAAACATCCCCAAAGCGCCATGGATGATTCTTTTACGCTTCTACATGCTTGTGTATTTCAATGGGTCGCTTCAGGGGTTATCCTCCCATTCCAAATTTCAAGAAAAAGAATATCTTCAAAACTGACAACAACGCCGAAATACCGGCCTAATTCAAAATAACACACAGTTCTTGGAAAATGTCCTGTAAAAACAACAACAACAAAAAAATGACGTTGGTGTCATGACGGAACTTACCAATTTTTATAAAATCTGATACAGTCTTCTCTCTTCTAAGCGATGAATTAGAACATTCATCGTAGAGCAACAGTAAGGCATCCAAGAGGGTCTCCACCGATATTGCTTTGCCATGGGGGAAATTTTCCTCATCGCTGATAATACCACCGCCATTATCCCTATCCTTATTGTCGTCGGCCACAACTTGTGACATGCCATGTTCCAATATAACCGATTCGAGTATTTTCAATCGCCTTGTACATGACGATTCTTCAAGAGATTCTAGAGAGCAGGTGGAGAAGGAGGAGGAAAAACACACACAAAATATAAATAAATTAATACCAAATAAAATACACTACATTAAATATGTATATTAATTTTGTGTTGTGTTGTTTTTTTTTTTTTTTCATTGGTTCACAGTAGACAAAAATGGTGTCGTCGTTTTCGTTGTCTTGTCTTTTTTTCATAGTTGGGATGGATATGTCTAAATATACATATATAGCTGTTGTGTGTACATATATATATGTACGTGTTTTTTTTTTCTTTTTTGGGGACAAACATCACACACTCATATTGTGTCTTTTTGGATATACCAAGGGAGTTCCTCCATCAATATTAGATTTTACAATGTTGCAGTTTATGGGTTTATGTGGCTGTCAATGTGCCTCTGACCCCAATCTATATATGTATATATTTTGTATGCATTCCCCCAAAACGGTGGAATTCATTTTCATATTTTTTTTTCACTTTTTTTCATTTTGTTCATTCATTCATTGTTTCTTCATCGATGTCGTCGTCGTTGTCGCGGCTGCAAGCACAGCAGGCGTCAAGGGGGTGAATTTTCTTTCATGCCAATAATATTTTGCTATTATGTAGGCGTGTGTAAACTCGCAAACACTCTCAAAATGCAGTTTTTCAACACATTCACTGTTTCGTTTTGTTAATTCTTTTATTTCGAGTATTTTCGCATAATATTTACCACAAAATTCTGACATTTTTTTATTTCACATTTGACGTTCTTTCTTTATATACATTAATTTGTTCTTTCTTTTGATGAGATTAGGTCTATGATCTAAATCTATAGTCAAATCGATTTTCGTGTCAACTATCGAATCGATTAATCGTGGAGGAAGACTTCTTTTTTTCAATTCGTTCGGCAACAATCGATTATTGTGGTAGTAGTAATCGATTGATTTGCTGTCAAATGTGTTATTGATGAATCGGGTGTAGCAAGAGACGGCAACATTGATATTGAAGAATTTCATAAGTGGCATGGCGACTCATCAATTTAACAAACTAATAAAACAAATGGTCTGTTCCCGTACTGCAAGAATCTACCAAATTTTATTATTGTCTTCGATATCATAAAGGAAAAATTGTTGTCGTAGTAAAAAATGGCAGATTCTTGTAGTACGGGATCAGAACAAAATTGTTTCATTATTATGTAAAGCGACCAGTGGGTCGATTCAGTAACTTATAACGATCCGACAATCGACAATTTTGTCTACACATAAAATCGTTTGCAGTAACGAAAATGTTATTCTGTAAAAATGTAGACAAATTGCCGATAAACTTTCAAAAAGCTTTTAATTTTGAACATTTTAAAAACAAAATACATACAAATTCAGAACAAAACAAGGCATGTTCAATATTGAAAAATATTTGTCGATAATTTAACTTCGAATATTTTGGTGTTGTTTATTAACAAAATTTTTAACAATTGTTGTTAAAAACTGTTATAGAATTGAAATATTGTTTATTTTGTCTTTATAATATTTTATCGATTTGAGAATTGTTTAAATTTGATAGTGAATCGACCCACTGGTTTTGAAAATGAAAATAGATGACAAAAAGAAAAAATAAATTTTTAATAAAAATAATAATAGTTCCGTTCCGTTCCAGAACCTAAAAGAATCTACTCATTTTACATGTTTTGCAATTTTTTTTCTCGAAAACAGTTTCTCAACCCACAAAACTGGTAAAACATTGAATCAAATTTAAGAGAGCACAAGACAAAATGGCTTTCTCTTTGTAAACTATTTACTCGAGAAATTTGGCCGAGTAAAAATGGCAAACAGGAATGCCTACTTCTGATTGGCTGTTGTGTTGATTTTGAAGTATTGCCATCTAACTTTGGCATATTTACTAGATTTGTGTTCCCGAACATTTCAAATTATTTTTTACTCTGAGAGCAACTTTGAAATGTTTCCCTTTTACTAGATTTACTATTAAAAAAGTACTGGAACAGACCAATTGTGTGTATAAAACGTACATTTAGATTTACTTATAAATATACAAAATGAGTTAAAAAGTCGTTTAGTACGACCGGGCCAAAATTTTTGATCCGAAGCGAATAATCTTTGGGTCTTTATATAAGAAACATAGAAGAAATTGACCTATGCTGACTATGTTTTCCAAGGATTTTTTGCCACCCATAGGCCACAAGGACTAGTAAATTACATCTACTTTTTAAAGCAATTTTTCGTAAAATTAAAAAAAAATTAAAAAGAGGATTTCTTTATATTAAGAACACCTAGCAATATAGAGCCCACAATATCAAGCAGCCAATTCGTACAAAACTTGTCCAGAAACTCTAAAAATACGAACATTCAATAATTAAAAATTTTTGTAGGGAAATTTGTTACCCAGTTAGACCTCAAAATATGAAATTGCACATAATTCGGTAAATGTGTCTAAAAATACCGAAATGAAGATTTTAAAAATAAAGACGACAATGATGACAGATTACAGAAATAGATGACAGATAGAGGACATACATTTTATAGACGCAGCCAGCTAACATTTGTTTACTTTTCATTCATCATTTTCAATTTTACTGAAAAAGTTTGAAAATTTTATAAATGTTTTCATGCTGTCAAAATTAATTGATCAATTGTTAGCGATGGGACAAATTTCTTGGTTATTCAGAGATTGATTCGAATTGAACAATGTACAAAAGTCGGTGTTCGCTCAGACAATTTTTATGGGGAACTAAGTAATTACTTCATAATTAAAGGTCGAACTACGAAAGAGAGAGCGAACAACGCCCTTCTGTACATGGCATTAGACATTTTTGTATGTTTTCATGGCATGTTTTATTTACTTAATAGTCTTATTTTTTTGCATCGAATTTAAATTCTTTCATATTCTGAGACCATTGCTCATCCTAACCATGGTACAATTATACATGGTACGGTAGCTTTTGGAGAAGGGGGAAAATACACCTGTACCTTATGGGCAATAATGTCAGAATTAATGAAAACAAATGCAGCATGTTCTGATCATTTAAAAATATATCAGGGTTTATACCATACATTTCGATGTCATTATCATATACAGGAGAGATTTTGTCATATCTGTACATTTTGGTGAACTATATTCCGGAGAAAATGCTTAATCAATCACCTGCCTGCCAAACAATGTATGCCTTTTGCTACGAAGTATTTTACGTAGGCTAACTTAACGAAATTAACAAAAACTGTTGTCTACTGCAATGTCTTATCAGAAGGTATCATTAACCCAACTCTTTTTATTGTGCCATGGAACGTCTTTAACTTAACATCAAATAGAAGTCTGAAGCTATGCTAAAGCGATATATTTTTAATACAACCCTCCTCAATGTATGCTATAAAATACATTAAAATAGTTGTCTACCAATAATATGGAAACGGATGAAAAATATAAAACTATTTTTAATTTATAATGAATATTACTAAATTTTAAAACAACAAATGTTTTTATGCATTTTTGACCTATCAAAATGATGATAGGTCAAAATGATGAAGATAATGATTGAAACTTCACAGAAATTATGAAACTAGTGAACCCTGCTATTGCACCAAAGCATAGTCTAAACGCGCTTTAACATAACTTCAAATGCAATCCTGCGTTTGTATCAAAAATAATAATTTTTCCTAAAAATATGCTACAAAATACATTAAAATGACATCTGCTAAAAAAATGTTTTTTTTTTTTTAATTTTTAATAGATATTAATGTATTTAAAAAAACAGCTGACAAAGCAATTTTATATCATTTTAATACTAATCTAAACAGCATGAACACTAGAACTTTTTACCGAGTTAACCTACTTTATGAGAATTTTTTTGACTTATATACAATGGAATTGACAATTTAAACCCACTGGGAAACTAAATCCGGTTCAATGTAAACGTACAATTGGTATCTCGATTTACAAATCGAGTCGTTTCGAGGCATAGGCTACGTTTAGACTACTAAATCCACTCAATCTCAAATGTCAACAAATTTTGGCATTCTTTTGCCACATTTTGTAATTATTTTATTATACTAAAATAAAATTTAATAAATAAAACTAAATAAAAAATCATTAAAATAGCCCTGTTCACATTTCCACTGCATCTGCTAAAGTGTTTTGCCACAAGCGTCACCGACGCCCAGCGTCACAGTTGTGCACAAACACTTGAGTTTTCATTTGCAATAGCGTTCGAAGTAGCAAGACAGTCGTTTGGCAACCGTCGGAGCACGTCGTCGCATTTTTCATTTTTATATCGACCGTAACACACGCTGCTGAACGTCGACGCATTTTTTATTTTAAATATATCGTCGGTCTACTACACAACACACCCTAAATTATCTTAAAGAAAAATGGTAAGAGAAATTTGCAAAATAATAAAGCTGGTGAAAATTAGCAAACAAAAAAAACTTGATTAATTATGCCTACTCCTTCAAAAAAAATATTGTACAAAAAGCAACAAAAGAAGAGAAGAAAAAAAACGTTAAATGACCGGTGAAAAAAGTGCTGAGAAATCCGCATATTAGCAATAAAGAAAAAAAATGGCAAATGTAGACGGCAAACACCGCACACACACATACATTTACAAGCAACTCTCGGCGCACACACACAATATAGTTATACATACAAGCAAACCAAAAAATTAAAGCGAATGGTGGGGAGTAAGAAAAATGAGACATTTTCTTTAACGGAAGAAGGCAGGCAAAACGACGTCGACAACGAACGAACGACCCCCTCAAAGCAATTTAATCAAATAATTTTGTCCATTCGAATTGGTTTCATAGTTTTATATATTTCATTCGCATTTTGGAGGTTATAATATCTAAAAATATATATATTTGGTACACCATATGTATATAGATATATGAATTTCATAAATTCAACGACCACACGCCGTTTAAAAATAGCCTTATAAGGTCAGAAATATATCATAGTCGTCGTCGTTGTTGTACCAAAAAAAAAATCAGAGAGCAGAGAGAGAGTGGTATGTACGTACAACAACGACGCCTCTCACAATTTTTGCAAGAATAAAAATGGCGAAATTATCATTATATTCACGGCTTTTGCAAAAACAAAAAAGAGCCGTTTTTCTTGATTAGATATTTTTTTTTTTTTGCGAAACTGAAAATTTTATTGGAAAAAATAGCAACTTTGATTTATGTGCTTGGAAAAACTGCCGCCTGCTTGCCATTTGTGTGTGTGTGCGTGTGTTTGCTTGCAATAAGGAAATGATGATGATGAGTTTTGATGCAGCCGCGCCAGAGTTGGTGCTGTGGTGTGCTGCTCATTTTTTTTTCTTTCGTCTTTTTGACAATTGTGATCTGGCAAAACGACAAACATCTACCAACCCGGTCTTTTAGGGGGTGTTGCAAATCGTAGTAAATATGTATGTATATATACATGTAATCGTATATATATGTATGTATTTACATATATATATATATATGCTTGCGTACATAATGGAGGATGTTTTTGGGCGTGGTTAGAACTCATATGTTGATGATTACTTCTTATTCATGATTTGTTTTGTATTTTCTTTCTTTGTTGTTATTACCCCCCACCATCACCACCTACAGGCTTCAGGAGTCACCGTGTCAGATGTCTGCAAAACGACCTATGAAGAAATCAAGAAGGACAAGAAGCATAGATATGTCATCTTCTACATTCGAGATGAGAAACAAATCGATGTAGAAACAGTTGGTGAACGCAATGCCGAATACGATCAATTCTTGGAGGATATCCAAAAATGTGGTCCCGGTGAATGCCGGTAAGTGTAGTCTCTACTTATACATACAACAAACAATATATTAGTATATAACATAGAGAGCGCTTAGCATTATGTTCTTGTTCTTCTTTACAACACACTATTGTTTGTTTCTCGATGCGCCACCGCACCACCAACCAACAAACCAACCCATAAAAAATGAAAAACCCTCCCTTTTAATATGCTTCATTGTTGTTGTTTTTTTTTCTTTCTTCCTTTTATTTGTTTTTCTGTAGTTATGGTCTTTTTGACTTTGAGTACATGCACCAATGTCAAGGTACCTCCGAAAGTTCCAAAAAACAGAAACTTTTCCTTATGTCCTGGTGCCCCGATACCGCCAAAGTAAGTCTTGAAATTATGTTCAAACATTTAAAAAGTCTTAAATTAATTGTTGTATTGCAATGGAAAAAATATTAATTCCTTTTTTCTTTCTATACTCCAATTAGGTAAAGAAGAAGATGTTGTACTCCAGCTCCTTTGATGCCTTGAAGAAATCGCTGGTTGGTGTACAAAAATACATACAAGCCACTGATCTTTCTGAAGCTTCCCGTGAGGCTGTTGAAGAGAAATTGCGCGCCACTGACCGTCAGTAAGATAAAAAAAACATCAGATGAATGAATGAATTTTTGTTCTTCAATCAATCAACATCATCAGCAACAACAACAAAAACAAAAAACACCACCACTCTACCCAGAATCCAATTACATCAAAAAACAACAACAACAAAACACAAAACAACATCAACAACAACAATATTTGTATTTTGAAGCAGAAATATGAAGAAAATAAGAAGAAAAAAACCTATTTAATTTCAGCTTTTTATAAATAATAATAATTTAATAATAAAAAGAAAAACATAAAAAAAGGAAATAACTTGATTTTTCCATTGCAAAAAAACACGAAGAATAGAAGAGAGAGAGCACGACCAGTTGTGACTCACATACTACATGGTTGCTGGTGATGAGTCACTCACTTATTTTGCTTCTTTCTTTTTTACCCCATTATTATTATCAGAAGACAACACACCACAAAAATTAGTCACTTTTGAGTTTTGAGTTAAAAACAAAAATGAGAGCCAACAACCAATCATTGCGAATTTTGTTGTTGGGTTGTGCTGTTTGCTTGTTTTTGCCTGACTGACTTATTTCGTTTTATTGATTGTAATTATCTTTATATATTTTTGGAATAGATATCAGGAGTTTTTTTTTAATTTTCTGGAGTGCATTGAAAAATCATGAACAATAATGATTAAGCTAGCAGCAGTAGTCATGGGTGTGGGGTGGGTTTTGTTTTATAACTCTTTAATGGCGAAGTAATAATTTAAAAACAAAAATCCCCATTTATTTTCTATTAAAGATAGAGAATTAAAAAAATAATAATTGACACATTTTTAATGGGAAAAATGACTGAAAGTTTTTGATATGGTTACAGGAACAATTAAAAAATCATTCTTTCGAATTTATTTATAAAAAAAAGAATAAAAAAAATAATTTCATAGAATTTTTATTTATAATACTTTAATTATAAATAAAAAAAATTCCATGGAAGCGAAATGTTACGAACAACAGAAAAAATTATGCAAACAACTGAAAAAAATTCAAAAAATCTGAATTTTTGGACAAAAAGCATATTGGAACATGTGATGCAATAATTAGCTCTTGTTAGACGTTTAATATTTTACAAAAGTTGAAGGTGGCTGCCTACGAAATGAATAGTGACATTTTTATTAATTTTTAAAATTAAAGTAAAAACGCAGACGATGCAAGATTAGTTAGAGAATTCTAAAAAATATCCGGATAAATCAGCTACGAGGGTGGTAGAAAATCTCAACTTAAGTATAAGCAGTCGAACCGTACAAAGAAGAGCATGTGCTGCTGGACTTAAAAGTTATCGGGAATAAAATAGAAAAGCTCGAATTAAATTTGCCGAAGAACACATCAGTTGGTCTATACAGAAGTGGAACACACTTTTATTTTCGGATGAATCAAAATTTAATTTAAAATGTTCTGATGGAATGAAGAGAGTACGGAGACCAATAAATAAGAGGTTAGATCCACGATATTGCCAAGGCACAGTAAAATATAGGGGGAGGTAATGTGATGTTGCATTTTGGAAATGGACTAGGACCCATACACAACATAAATGGGATTATGGGTAGATTCAGTGTTATGCTTCCCCATTCAGAATGGAATATGCCACTGGTATGGCAATTTCAGCAGGACAATGATCCGAAACACACCTCAAGACATGTAAAATATTGGTTTGAAAAAAAAATATTCAAGTAATGAAGTGGCCAGCACAATTCAATCCGATTGAAAATTTATGGGAAATAGTTAATAAAAAGATAAATAGAGAAGGTGTGGGAGGAGATAAGAAAAAAACTGTTTTGAAGCCTTGGAAGATGCTTGGATTGCTATAGACAAAACTTCCATGCCCAGAAGCCGTCCTCAACAAGGGATTTTCCACAAAATATTGATTGCATTGTTTGGTTCAATATGTTTTTTTCGCGTGAATTTTTGACATACATATTTTAGTTTTTTTTCAAAACAAAGGTTGAATTTTTTTTATAAAATGTAGAATAAATCCTATTGGTTTTTAAAAATAAAAGTTATGTTCAATGCATATTTGTTTATAAACATGAATAATTTTATATGTTTTGTCCGATACTGTAAGTCCCAAATTAAATGATAGAAAAAAAACAATAATCTCAATTTAGAAACAAACTACAAAAAATATATTCCATTTCCTTTAAAGCAAATTTTTAAATGATAACAATATTGAAAATTAATAAACGTTTTTGACTATATTTCAACAAATCCAGGTATCAACAAACTTGAAATTTTAAAAGAACAACCCATAGAGTAGTATAAGTTATGTTATTTTGTGTAACTTAAATGACCTATTTGGCTTTGTTACTATGCTTAATAAATGAAATGGAATAAAGATATAAATATATTTAAATAAGTATTTCATAAAATCACAAAGCTTTATCCAAATTGTATTAAAACTAAATTTAAATTTCAAAAACCTTCAAAAATCTACTATTTTCAATTTATTTCTTAATAAATAATAAAAAATAATAGATTTGTTATTCCCTTTTTAATTAAATCCGAAATTGAATGTCTTCATTTTATAAAAAAAAAACAATTCTACATTTTTAATTTTTCGACCACACACATGAAATGAGCCAAAACAGTTTTTAGTTCCCACACTCTGTCTGTGTAGCTCTTCTTCTGGCACATGTGTGCCCCTTTTATATACATACTCTCTTTTCCTGGATGCTAGCTAGCTAGTTAACACATGTGTTGGTCCAACAAAAAAATACTAAACATACTCTATTGGGGGGGAGGTAGGGGGGATGGATATAAAAATGCCTTTAATTGTTTATTTTAATTTTTTTGAACAAAAAAAATCTTGTATAATTTTGGGAGAAAATTGTTTGTTGTTATTTCGTTTTCTGTCTGTTGTAATACAAACCGATCTGGGTAATTAAACGGAAATTGTGTAGGGCTCTTGACATCGCATTATGTAGGTATGTATGTACAACATACTAAACATGTAGAAATTAAATCATTAGTCAATGAATGATAGCTACACCATCACTACCAGCCAGCGTCCGCCTAGGGTGAATGAAATGTTTGTTATTGTTGTTAGTATTTTATAGATTTTGTTTTTTTTTCTTTAACTTGTGGGGGAGGCAGAATTTTTGTTTCTATTTCAATGTGTTTGTTGTCTTCTAAAAATATCTTTCATTCAACGAAACAAAAACCACTTTAAAATTTCTTCTTGCTCGTGGCAAAAATAATAATTTGTATTTTGGATTTTTTTTGGGGTAATAAAAATTAAATTGTAATCATTTTATTGATTATAGGAAAATTTAAAAGGCGTTGTTTTATAAAATAAATCGAAATACATTTTTAAGTGATAAAAATAAATAAAAATGCGTTATAGCTTTGGAAATTATATAAGAGAAAATTCTGATATTTTTCTAAAGAAATATTGTTTAAAAATTCAAGCGTATATAATCTGATATTTTTCTAAAAAATGTTTCTAAAATATTTGCTTAAAAAATCTACACTTGTAATTTTAACATTTATCTAAAAAAAATTTGATTTTAAATTTAAAATTTTTTTAATCAAATTCTAAAAAATTTTATCAAAAATGTATTTATTTATAAAGGTTTTCATTACATATATTATCAAATTTTATTGTTTTAACCAAAAAATATATTTTACTGCTTAAAATAATTTACCGAGCCCTTTTTAATGCACTTAAACGGTCTCATGCGTATACGTTTTGAAAATGATTTGATAAAACTTTTTTCCTTAGTATATTCCAATGGCTGATACAGAGGCCCTTCAGTTTCCAAGAATATATCAAAACTATACATTGTGCGTAACAGCTGGGAAGCCAATAGATTTGCTTGTTTGCAATCCTTAATCGAATTTGTATAATGTTCCATGACCTAAAAAACGAGACAAAATTAATTATGTAAAATAAAAAAATTAAAAATAGCATTGCCGACTACCTTTATGGCGGAATTATTCAATGCAGTATGATGACCATTCCAATGAACGGTGATCGACCACAGCGGTATATTCAGCGGATATTTATTTGACAAACTAATGAGACATTCCATTTTTGCCGAACCCAAGACAATGACAGCCCTAAAGAATCCACAATATTCATCGACAATTTTTTGCACCACAAATGGTTGGGTGGTCGGTGCACTTTCATATTCCTCCCATGATACAGCTGACCATTGTACCAAGGCACAGTTGGGTTTTAGCTGATTTATTTTATCACCCCCACCAATATATTCATCAATATTCTTATTCATAAATGCTCGAATTTGGGTAATTAATTGATGACGTATTTGAAAGTAGTTGCGTATACGTTTAACACATTCCAATGTGTAGTCTTTTAGTTTTTGTGTTTGCATATCATTGCATTTGGTGTTGTTGAACGTCGAGTTTCCAATCATTTTTTGCAACCACTGATAGGGTAAACCCAGATTGTGTTTGCAGAGATTTTGTTTGAAATCTTCCAATTTGATGTTGTGTTTTTGAAGCTATGGGGAAAGTAAATAGAATTAAAAAAAAAATTCCAAAAAGAAAAACAAATTTTCAACAGCTTACATTTAAACTTGTTTCGGAATAAGGCAAATTTTCGCCCAAATCATCTTCATTTATAAACTTAAGGAAATCTTGTAATAAATTTGTCTCAATCAAATTGGAATTGTTCTCACTTAGACGTATCTCACAATGGGCAGTGGCAATCATTAGTAAGGGCAAATAATAAATGTCCACCATGACAAAATCCTCTGAGCATTCTTCATGGCTAAGCTGTAATACAAAAATAATATTATTCCAATTTCTTTCTTAGGTAAAACAAAAAACCTCATACCTTTATTTGCAATGACAAAGGATGTGGCTTTAACAGGAATGACTGTTCCAATTCTTCGGATGATTTCAATTTCATTTTAGCTTCATATTCTTTTACCTCATCTTCTTGGCCATTTACGGTGACCTTTATGCCACCCTCTAGCATTTCAATTGCTCTCAAATTAACATAGGTCATATAAAGATTTTGTTGCAGCATATGCACCTTATTTTCCAATGTCCATTTCTGTTCAATGGGCAGTTGTAGAGCTTCTTGTAGGGGTCGTGTTGCCTTTAACAATGTCTTTAGCGAAGGGGCAAATGTTGATAGATTTTCCATTTTATTAATAATTTCATGGAATACTTTTGTCTTATCATTGAGTAAATTTTTACAATCATTGGATAATTGTTTACGTAAATTCAACTCCCTTTCAAGGCGGCTGATACGTTCCTTATGCGTCAAATTGGAATCGGCTGTCAAAGCCTTACTTCCCGGTGGTTCATAGATATCAATATCTTCATCTTGACTTTTAAATTTGTAACATTGTTTAATTTCCCTCTTTAGATAATTGACTTCGTAGAGTAGATTCTGCAAATGTAAACGATTGGCATCCACCAATGTTTTTTGGGCTTGCAGTTCTTCACGGCCAGACCGTACCTTGTACTTAACAAGGCGATTGACTTTTTTAATCAACACAAATAATAGTGAACCGCTTTTGATTTTCTCCTCTAAATCAATGCGCTGTAAATAAAATTAAATAAATTACTTTTCCCCCAAAATGATCCACCGGCAATCGTAGTGACTTACCGAGTCCTTTGGGTTGTTTTTGGCCTGTAGACATTCGGTAAACAATACCTTGAGCAGATCAAAGTTTTCATTTAGAATGTTGGCCATTCTAAATGTTTATTTTTTATTAATTTTAATTAAATTCCCTAATTTTATTTAATAAAATGGTTTTTTTGAGATATTTTGTCGGCAACAAATTAGTTCAAAAAGAAATATTCACAGAATGGAACTATAAGAACCAGTTGTGCATCATTCATTTGTCATAACTAGTTTCAATTGATCCATTTGGTGAATGAGGTTCATATTGCATGACCGTTATTACACCGCAATGTGTAGAGTAGTAGTTGTTCAAAGAAAAATATATATTGCATGGAACGTTTGGCATATTTCTATAACTTTCAGTACATCCTTCCATTGAAGGAGACCTTGTGTGACCAGTGTAATACACGTAGATGTAAATTTATCATTGTTTTATTATATTGGCATAATTGTTGTACATCATTGTCTATGGTCGTTGTTACAAAGCAACCACAAAGTGCTGTTCGTTCAACAAAAAATATTCACTGTGTGGAACTATGGATGCATTTCAACTAGTTCTAATGAATCCCTTTAGTGAACGAATTTGACTTTGTTTGGCCGTTGTCATCATGTAACGCATATAGAAGCTAAAGTTCCCGCCTATTTTAATTAAAAAATGTGTGAAATAAAAATTCAATATATTTATCTTTAAAACAAATCTATTTCTGAATATAATTTTAGTGAAGGCTACGTATAATCGCTAAAATATAAAATAACCCCTCATTTTATGCATTGACATCACTGTTTGCTTGTAACTAACAGCTGGTAAACAGAGCCAAAAGTAACCACTCCGTCCTGGTTATGATTAGCTGAATAATCGGACAAACAAACATAAAAAAATCAAACGAAAAAAAACAACAGATTTTCTTCCAATTGTTAATGCAGTGAGAATTGTTGTTACTTAGGCTAAACGCAGGCACACAAGCTAAGGCTACTAAGCAGGGCAAGTGTGTGTGGTGCGTTCTGAATTCTCTAAATTCTATTAAAATGTTGTTGTATATACAATAACAATACTATTTATTGCCTGCGTGTAATTTTTTTCGAGTGGAATTATTCAATTAAAACATTTCGTCCCAAAACGATTTGGTGGTCCTATCAATAAACAAAATCTGGCTGGTGAAATACAGTTCATCGTTTTTAAAGTGATATAGCAAATTTCGGTAATATTTGTAAATTTATTATTATCATTACATAATAAAAATTGTATATTGTTTATAACTTGACCAACAGCCAGACAGTCAGTACGCCAGTCTGTTGGTGATAAGGCAACGTTAAGATAAACACCAATAATAAACTATCACCTTGCCTTAAACGAATGAACGAACTACTATCAATTGTCTTTAAAATAAATAAAACAACAATGTGGAGTATTTCACTATTGTTGTTGTAATCGTCATTTGTCGTGTTTGTTTGATCATTAAGATTATTAAAAACACAAACCATATTGAAAAAATAGCTGAATCACGTTAACGTAGCATTTGATTTGTAACCAACCATTTAACCTAAGGGAATAATTTATTCTGCTCCTCACTGCTTTTAGAATAGTCAACGTGTTCAAAATGAATCTAAAGGCTTGGTCAGCTGTACTGGGTGTATTTATTGGATGCTGTAGTAATGTCATATTTCTGGAGCTTCTAGTTAAGTGAGTATACAAATCTGATGTCATAGTAACGAAAAATAATAATGAATTTCTTTTCTTTCAGATATGACTCGGGTTCCGGCAATCTTATTACATTTTCCCAATTCTTATTCATTGCCATTGAGGGTTTTATATTTACATCGAAATTTGGTAAAGTTAAGCCGGTAATTGGTTTTAAGGATTATGCCATATTGGTGTTGATGTTTTTCGTTACAAGCGTTTGTAATAATTATGCCTTTGATTTTAATATACCCATGCCATTGCATATGATTTTCCGAGCGGTATGTATATGTGAATGATTTTGTTTGCTGTATTCGGATAGTAAATGTGTGTTTATTTTGTTTGAATTTTTAGGGATCCCTGATGGCCAACATGATCATGGGTATTTTAATATTGAAAAAGAAATATTGCATTTCCAAATATATTTCGGTGATATTGATTACAATCGGTATTATAACCTGTACCATGGTATCGGCATCGAAAGTGGTAAGTGTAAAGAAGAGCCAAGGGTATCCTAAAGGTATTCGTAATAGGTTAAATAAGGATCACAATGACATTTTAAAGATGTTGTGATATTCTTCCTTAAGAAGACCACAAACTTACTCCAAAAGAAGACCAAAATAACTTTCTTTAGAAAATTAAAGCAACTTTCTTTGAAAATCGAAAAATTATTCCTATAGGAGACTTTTACTATAGAAAAAAGGGTTTCCTATAGAAAACCACAAAAGCTTCATATAAAATATAGAAAAATTAAAATGGTCTCCACATAGAATATGAAATAGGTCTTCCTTTATAAGACCTTAATGATTCGTATAGAATACGAAAATGTCTTTTATATGATCTAACCATAGAAGAACATATCGTGTTCCTATCATACATCTAAATCTGCCACATAGTTCTTTCTGATTAAATTTTCTTTTATTTTCTATTCTTATAGGAAGACACCAGTAATCCCAAATTGCGCAAAGAAACTCCGTCCGAGGAAAATACCTATTCCGTTGTATTTTGGTGGTGTGTTGGTATTGGCATTTTAACTGTAGCCCTATTGATATCAGCCTGTATGGGTATATATCAGGAGGTCCTATACAAAAAACATGGCAAACGTTCCCGAGAGGCTTTATACTATACGGTAAGTTGTGATTTGTATTGTGATAATAACTAAAATAAAATAAATATTTTTTTCTACTTCTTCCCCCTCAGCATTTATTACCCCTACCCGGTTTCCTCTTGATGGGTTCAAATATATGGCAACATTTGGTGATTAGTGCCACAAGTGAACCATTGATGGTGATGGGTGTAAATACATTTGTACCCGAACAAATTATCTATTTAATCTGCAATATGATTACACAGTATGTCTGCATAAGTTCGGTATACGTTTTAACAGCTGAATGTAGTTCCTTGACCGTTACTTTAGTGGTAACGCTGCGTAAATTTGTATCATTAGTCTTTTCAATATTGTATTTTAAAAATTCCTTTACTTTGTATCATTGGATTGGTACAATTTTGGTGTTTGCCGGTACCATGATATTCACCGAATCCTATCCAAAATCATTGTTTAAGACAAAAGAACAACAAAAACCAGAGGCTACTAAAAAAGTCAAGGCATCTTAGATATGAATCATGTGGCGGGGTTGCTTTTCGTTTACGATTTTTGTTTTGTTATTGATATTATAGTAATATATAAATATATAGCTCGCTCAACTAATAACAAATAACATTTGTATATATATAAAAAAAACTAAATGAAAAATTGTAATTTGTCCGTTTTATAAGAATTTATATTTAACAAAAAATTAAGTAACCGGACATTTTTATAGCTAGCAATTTTGTTGCGTTATATTCACTTTTTAAATTATTTACCACACAAAAAGAAAAAAAAAATATTTTTTTTTTTTTGTTTGAAGACAATAATAAAACCAAAATTTATTTTTTGTTTTTAAAATAAATTTACAACCAAAAATATTTTTTTATTGGTTTTAATAAATTTTCAATGAAAATAATTTTAGCCATGCAATATTGTATATTTATAAGTAAACAAAAAATGAAGTTTTTTTTTTAAATAAAAAAAAATATATATATAAAAAATATAACTACTTCATGTTGTTTTTTCTTTTAAAATTAAATAATAAATCATTCTTACCATAAGCTTTTAAAAAAAAATCTTTACAAACTCCAAAATATTTCTACTAAAAACGTGTTGTTGGTTTTTGTTGTTTGTTTAAATATATTTTTTATAATACAGGAATTCAAATATTAAAAAAATAATAATTTCTTCACATATTGAAAGGATATTAAGTTTTTTTGTTGTTTTGTTTTTTATTATTATTAAATTATATTTTAAAAAGAAAATCAAATTTCCTTAATGGTATAAATTATATAATTAATATATATGTTTGTATGTATGTGTTGGGAGTTTTTTTTTTTTTTTTTTTTGTAAATTTCATTCTTTGTATAATATAAATGCTGAATATGAGCATTTCTTCTTCATCTTCTGCTTAATTTCTCTTTTTGTTGTTGTTATTTTTGTTTTTATTTTTTTACAATTAGTACATTCTCATTTTTTTTTGTTTGTTTATTTTTTACTCTTCTTTTTCTTCTTCTTGTCCGATTTGGCTTTCTTTTTGCTGGATCGTTTGCTATCACTGTCTGGCGATTCGGAACGTTTACGTGATTTTTTATCGGTCTTGGCATGTTTACGTTTACGTTCCACATCACTGTCATCAGAGTCGGAGGATAACGAGGAGGGGCTACGCTTCCTTGACGAAACCGTTGGCGGCGTTGAGTGATGATGCCTTCTCCTCTCCTCATTATCACCGCCACGTTGTGGCTGATGTTGTTCTTTATCAGACTTTTCTTTAGTTTTACAGTCTTTGTTACGTTGTTCTTTGTCGTAATCATGATGATTGCGTTCACGATCACGATCCCTGTCTCGTTCCCTTTCACGATCTCGGCCACTGTCACGTTGCTTTAGGCGTTCTCTTTCTTTGTTGCGATCCTTTTCCCGCTCTTTTTCCTTCTCTCTTTCACGTTCACGGTCTCGCTCACGTTCCTTTTCCCGCTCCCTCTCTCGTTCTCTTTCACGATCTCTATCCTTTTCTCGTTCGCGTTCACGCTCACGTTCTCTTTCTCTTCGGTCACGTTCTCTATCAGCTCCTCCCGCCGTCGTCCCCCTTTCACGATCACGGCTATTTTTCTCTCTCTCCCCTCCTCCTCTTTTGCCACTGGAACTTTTGCTCTCGCTCACCCCTCTTCGAGAGGAGTGATGGCGTTCACTATGATCCGGCTGATTGACTTTACTGCCTAATCTATCCTTTATGGATTTTTTCTTCTCACCCTCCCGCACCTCAACGGAACGTTCATTGCTAATGTTCACAGGCAATGTTATTTTAATATTTCGCATATTATGATCATGATGATCATCGGGATAATTTTTCGCCGATGAAGACCGCTCCTTCGAGGAAGATTTCTTGTGTAATTCAATGGGCCGAATGGCATTAATGGCTCGAGCAAATATAGCCTTTTCCGCCCGTACAATAACATCATTGGTTACCTTATTGTCACTGTTGTTGTTGTTATGACCCAAGTGGTCGTAATCATCATCGTTTTTATTCTCTCCCGGCATACGATCACCACCACCCATCATTGTATTAAGATTGTCATCTAATTCCCATTTGGATGTTTCCGGTGCGACCACCAATTTATTATTATGACTGGTGCCAGCAACATTGTCCTGAAGTTTAAAACTATCATCGAAATCCGTTTCGTATTCGTGTATATCTAGAACGGCATCAAAGCACTTAATATCTGACGAGGGTGGTGTTTTGTCGGCCGAGCCGTAATCACATGACGACTTTGTTGTTGTTTGTTTGTTGGGTGGTGTTGTAATACCAATTTCCATTCGAGGCGGTGATGATGAATTATTTTTAGGAGTCGAGTTGGGTTGCAATTCCTTTTCCACACTGCGATATTCTCCCTCCTCTTCCAGATCGTCGTACAGCTGAAATTCCTTTTCTGTCGTTGATTTCAATTCTTCATGACTGCTGGTATTCTTGTTGTCATCGTCGTGTAAAGTCTCGTCCGAACGATCATGTTCTTGTTGCTTCTGATCATCATCATGTTCGTCACGGTCTTCTTGGTCACGTTGATGTTCTCGTCGTCGTTCCCGTTCGTTATGCAATTCATCATCACCATCTTGCCGCTCGTCCTCATCATCGTCATCATTATGCCTGCTGTCTATCGATTTATTGCGATGCTTTTCCTTTTTCGATTTCTTTTCTTTTTTGACTTTTTTCTTTTCACTTTTATCTTTGCGTTTCTTTTTCTTACTTTCTTTGAGTTTCTTTTCCGATTTCTTTTCGGATTTCTCGTCGGGCGATGAGGGATGATGATCACTCATAGATTTATGACGATGATGATGATCATTGGCATCCTTTAGGGGTTCCTTTTGCTGTCTAGGCGGGGTCATGCTACGTCTTTTCGTATCAAAATCATGATGATGATGATCGTCACGATCACGTTCGCGTTCACGATCGTGATGCTGTTCCTTGTCCTTTTGTGTGTGACGATCCACACTTTTATGTTTGTTGTGATGTGATGATCCCTTATCCGACGATGATCCCTTATCCTTGTCCTTTTTGTGATGATGATGTTCAGTCGCTGAAGGTTTACCTTTGGGCGTTGTACTCCTTTGCATTTTACGACGTTTCTCGGCCGTGCGAACACTTGAACGAGATCGAGATCTTGATCTAGAACGTGTCCTAGACGAACGTAAATCTCTTTCTGAATTTCGATTACCACCACCAGTAGCAGCAGTGGTGGTATTGCTGGTGTACAATTTATTCTCCTCCAAATCCTGGGAGACACATTTCTCATATAAATCTGGTGTGGGATTTCGGCGAATTTCTCTTAGATTAGTTGAGGGCGATGCCGTACTATTACTATGGAATGGATTACGTGAGTTGGTGGTGGTTTGTAATTCAAATCCTGGTGGAGGCGGTTCAGAATTTTCATCATTCATGTTATAGTGTTTCCTGCAGTGCAGAATAAGATTTTTGAAGTTTAATTTCAAATTTTATATTTTCAAACTTACCTCATATCTCCTCCTGGCATTCGGTCGTCATTGTTCATGACCTTGCTATCAAATGGTTTTGAATTGTGACGACCACGACTACCTTCACGTTTGTGTCTGTTTTGAAGAAAAAAAGAAATATGAGAAAAAAATTATAATTTAAAATATTGAAATGAAAAAGTCTCGTATTTTAATTTTGAGAATTGAGATTCTCAAAAGTGAATTCTTACCTATTACTGTGCATTGTATCCTCATGATCCTCCGCTCTAGATTTTGGATGATAATGATGCGGATGCCTTTAAATGGAATATATATTTAAAAAAAGTTTTTCATTAGCAATAATAAATACTTACTTATCCTGATTGCCACCACCATGACCTTTGTGATTCGATGGTGAACGATAGCGTTTATTCAAAGGTGAATGAGATCTCGATCTGAAAAATTAGAAACGTTAAAAAAAATCAATTCCTTTTTTTGGAAACCCTTTTGTTGTACCAACCTTGAATTTCTTTCCATAGACTTAGAACGTCGATTATTCCTATAGCCATGATCTTTGCCACGATCACGTTCCCTTTCTCTGTCCCTTTCACGGTCCCTGTCCCGTTCTTTATCGCCGCTGGGTTTTTCATAACGCGGCCAACGACGGTCATTATCACGAGAACGGCCTCTTTTGTCGTGGTAGCTGCCGCCGCCACCACCACTGTTATTGCCGCCACCACCTCCAGGACCGCCATGATCCTTAGAATTGCGATTATTATATGGTGATGTACGAAAATTACCTCTTATATGACGATCTTTGGACCGGCGACGTGAACCACGATCTGGGGAACGCCGCTCTTCGGTTTTCTTTTTCTCTTTTTCTTTCATAATGCGATTAAAGGCCTCCAAGGGATCATCAATGATGCTGTGGAACCAAAAAAAAAAAAAAAGGAAAATAAATTTTATTTGAATTTTTTTCTTTTTTTTTTTTTTGAAATAAAACTTACCCTGATCCCACTTTGGCCTGGACCACCTCATACACTGATGCTATATTATTATAGGGTCTCATTTGATTTTGACTTTCATGCTCTCGGCTCATCGGATAATTGAAACGATTGGGCATATTTGGTGCTGGGGGAAATCGTTGATATCTGTGAAATAAAAAAGCACATCTAATTTGGTACAAAAACAATTTTGTGAAACTGGGCGGCAAATGGAGTAGAGAGGAGGAGTTGGAGGCAGCAGTAGTAGTCTGAAGCACACGCACAACGTATAAACCGCACCAAATGCATTTTAGTGCAACATGGGATCCGCAAAACACCTCATCAAAATCGGCGACTGCTTTACAAGTATCAAAAGTAAAATGGAACAAAAAACCTGGAAACACTTACCCCTCTCCGAAAATGTTAATTACAACAACAACAATCAATAAAAAAGGATGGTCTCATAAAATATGTGGACAGACAGGCAGGCAGATGTGTGTGTGTGTGAGGAGAGGAACAACAACGTCAACTGTTTGGAGGCTTGCTATGTAAAACCATTTGCTGGTGGTGGGAGCCACAAACTGACTGACTTCCTTCACATTGATGCTGCATAGTCGTCCAGGGTGGTAGGAGATTGAATCCATCCTTCACTTTGTTTTGGGGAGGGTATCCACAAATCCAGATTACAACTATTGTGGAGAACTAATCCTCTACTTTTTTGGAGTTAGGGGGTTGATTCGATTTCACATAACTTTCTTTAGTGACTTTTTTATTTTTCGATATATCAATAACAAATAATTACGAGTTCAATCAGTCTTTTTTATTGCTTTCAAAATCAAGACATGGATAAACAATTTATAAAAAAACAAATGCAATCATCATCAGAGCAATCCTTAAATAACTTTGGTATCTTTTTTCGTTTTGTTTTGTTGTTTGTTATGTTTTGCTTATAGCTTAACTACAATTCTAGGATTTTTTAAATATATTTTAACTTACATATATTTTATTTAACTGCAATCTACAACAAAAGTGTTTAGTTATGAGATCATAATTTTCATAATCATCATCAGTTGATTTTGATTGATTTTTGTTATCACATTTGTTTGTTGTTTCTTCTTACAAAATAATATGTGTGTGAGTTCTTGAGATTTATGATAAAATTATTTTATCACAGAATAATAAAAAAAACAATTTACAACAACTTAGCAATATAACAACAATATGATTAGGCATATAGATAAATTATCATCTTTACATAAACAAGTTAAATAATGTAAAGTTAAGTTTCTTTGGTTTTCTGGCTAAATTAACAACTCTTTTTGGTACTCCCGCCGTTTGATTTGTTCAACAAATACTGAAGAAAAAGTAGAAGTAAAAAACACCTGCTGCTGCACTTCCTTGTTTTGTTTTTTAGGCACTTAGGAAAAATAACATTTTATTTTATGTGGCAGCAAATAATTCAATGTGAGTGTGTGGTATAAGTATAGCGGTTTTTCTTGACCCCGAAAATTTTTGCTTGAGAAATACGTCTAAGAAATATGACAAACTGTACTACAATGTGTCTCACACTTACCCTGGTACCACGACATTGCCCATGGGATTGTAGGGTTGTTGGTCATATGAACCCATTGCTGCAATTGGCATACGTAGCTGTGGCGGCCCAACTTGTGGATGCGGATGTGGCGGCATATTCGGATGCGGCGGATACATCGGTGGACGTGGATGCATGTGATTGTGATAGCCGCCATGCATATTCATGGGCCGGATGGGGCGTTGTTGCATTTCATAGCCGCCTTGTGACGGATGTGGAGGATATAAGGGTGGTACTTGTACCGCCGAGCCGGGTGGTGGTGCTCCAGGAGGTGGACAATTCTCCAAGGGAGGTTTCGAGGATGAAATTGATCGACTATTTTTATCATAGCCACCACCATAATGATCAGATGATGATGGTGTATCATGATCACGTGGTGATCGTTCCCAATCTTTAGAACTTGGCCGATCGTGGGAACGATGTGAATTACTTTCCTGTTGATGATACTGGTGGATTAGTACAAATAAGTAAAAATAATAATTAAAAAAGTGTAAAAAAAAAATTAAAATTAAAACCAGGAAAGTGGCTATACCCTATACTGATTCAATTTAACGTAGAATGGGATGATTTTCTAATGGAAACTGTTATAAAAAGGAATAAGGAGGAAGTTCATAAAAACATGTCCTTTAATACAAGACCTTCATGAAGCTTAAAATTAATTTGAAACTGTAGTTAATATTTATAGAAACATAGGAGGGATTCTTTATAGATATAAATCTGAAGGGAGTTTTAATAGATGGCCTCTGAAGGGATTATTTACGAACTTTGGAGATAGTCTTTATGGACGATATCTGAAGGACAGCCTAATGGAAAGCTTTATACCCGGGTTTTTTAGAGGTCTTAAAGGAAGTCTCAATATCGTTTGTATAGTTCCTGTAGAATTTCCGGATAAATTTGATTGAAAGGAACTCCTCTTGATTAAAAGGAACTCCTTTCCCGTGATGGAGTCGCTGTCCCGTCCGACGTATCGGTTGCAGTAGTTAAGTGCTCTCTGGTACAGTACCAGTATCCGTTTCGACAGCAAACTGCCTGGGCAGATCTTAAATATCGCCAGGGTTTATTTCCCTAGTCAACAACTGGGAGTGGAACAAGAGGCAAAAGATAGGTCCAGGGGGGTAGCTTGGGTCGTTAACACTTGAGGGGGTTCATTGAGGTCTGGCCTTGTAAATTTCGAGACTGAGGGTGCCAAGGGAGCCAGTCGAAATATCGCATACTAATTTTATTTTTGGGGGGTGGGTGTGTGGTTTCTTAAAATTCTGCTCCATAGAAAGTGTGAGGGATTGAGGTCGACCATGGCAAAGCCTCTTACTATGGCAAGGACTTGGCAGCTAGGCCTAAATAAGCTTGTTGAGGCGCCCAGGTATCAATAAGGCTCCGTTTTAATACAGTCGAGACTTTGACAGCAAACCATAGAAGGCTGATGAGCATGAGGTCGCATGACACCCCAGCGTTAGAGAGAGCACTTTAAAAAGGTAGTGACCCAGACCTTTTGAAATGGTTATATAGGGGCGCCATTCTCGCCTCGTCGGCCCAGGGATCATAGACACTCAGTCATTTCCTCCGAGAGTCTCCCCCTAAGGCCGCTGATTGTCCGCGACTGTTTATTTGTTATTCACAGATACCCAATGAATAGTATTGGGCTATCCGCAACCTATGGAGGCGTCCGTTAGCATTAAGTCAGTGACTTAATAAGAGTCTTTATAGGCAATTTAAATGAAGACTTTGAGAAAAACATTAGGCAGAAATAATGGGAGGTTTTTTTAAGAGCTTTATAGATAACTTCAAGGATTCCTATTGAATGTAATTTGTTGTACGATAATTAAATCAGTATAGAGTATATATAATACTACCAAAATAAAAAAATGTTTCGTTTTAAAAACCAACTCAAGAAGCAAAAAATTACATTGCGTTGAAAATAAAGTCTTGTTATAGAGTTTTTAAAACGATTTTTCGAAAAAAATTGTATATAAAAAATGTCTTACCTGTGGTTTACTTTTTGGTGAATGTGGTTCTAGTCCTGGTGGTTTTGGATGCGACGATGAAGCATGGCGGCGACTCAAATACTTTTCAGTACGAGTATCTGATGCTGATGGTACTTTAACCACAATATTATCCTCATAATCCGAATCTTCATGAGCCGGACTGGGATGACTGACATCATGATGATGATGATGATGGTGGTGGTGATGTTCTTCTTTTGGTTTTACCTCTGTTGTGGTGGTGGTGCTTGGCACATCATCTGTGTGTTCTTTAGCTTTAGATGTCACCAATAAACCTGTATCCTTTGATTCGTTGTCAGTATCCGTTTTGGTTACGGCTGTTGTTGTTGTTGCTGCTGAAATTTCATTATTGTCCTCCTCCCGTTTTTCAATTTCCTCCGTTGGTTTGTCGTGGTGAGCCTCTTCGTGTGGTTCTTGTTTTTTAATTGCATCCAATTGGGGCTTTTCTTCCTCAACAGCAGCATCATTGCCGGGTGGTGCTGGTGGAGGGGGATCCTTTTTGACTTCTAGTGATGAAGAATTTTTTGAAACAAATAAGATTTTTATAAAAAATATTAAAATGAATAGCACTCAATTTACCTTTTTTGGTTTGACTGCTAGCCTTGTAGCCAGTGCGATTTTTAAACGCATTAACAGAATTCCTTAGAAAACGGTTGGGTATCAATGAACCTGGAGAACTGCCTTTTTCCTTGCAATCCGGACATTCATTATCTTCGGACTCTAATAAAGCCGTACGCACACCTGTTTAAATATAGAAATTTTGTTTGTGATAAGAATATAATGCTTTAGTTGTTAACATAGTTGTTTTTCTACTTACAGTCATCACAAAAAGAACTACCACAACAGGGTATCATAACGGCATCCACAAAGAGATCATTACAAATGCCACATACCAAATCCTCGGGGATTTCTTGTTTCTTTTCCTCCTCCACCAAGGGTTCTTGGCTTTCAATCATCATGGCTCTGTATATAATGAACAAAAACATATATTATTTTTTGGCATTTAAAATTGCACATATTATTTAGTCTAACCTTTCCTCCTTGTCAATAAAAGACTTGGGTATTCCTGTTGTCCTCTTAACTTCGGTATGTTCCTTGCTTATATTAAATGGACAGTTTTTAATCCAATGGCCACCTTTCTTGCATTTGTTACAGCGATAGGTTGGTGGCACCTCTCCCGTTTGTGAATAACCACGTATTTTCTGATAACTTTGTTTTCGAACAAAAAACAACAATAACTTAATCAAACTGTAGGTATTAATAGATTTATTTCCCCTTACCTTTTGGGGTCATATTCGGCTGTACTTTGCATCATCATGGCCTGGATTTTTTCTTCTTCACTACCCTCCATTTTCGATAAATCAAAGTCGGTCTTTTCCACCGGCTTGGGAACAATACGTGGCTGTATGGGCTTGTTTGCGGCATCCCATGATTTTTTCGCCTGATTTGTTAACGGCACACGAGATATAATCAGTGAGGTATTTTTCGGTATGAGACTGGTATCATGTGGATATTCTAAAAACGAAAGAAAAAAAGTTAAATCCCTTTTACCAAACAAGAACACACACGCACAAACACAATAATTTAATTTCATTTGTTATACCTTCTTTCGTTTGTGCATTTATAATTTGCAAATCGAAATCTGTTATTTTGCTCAGTCGCTTTTGTTGAAGTATGGCCTTCTTGAGATCCGCCACGGATATATGCAGCCCATCAAATGTGATAGTATCATAATCCAGGGTACTTTTAAATTTATAGTGTATCGACATGATGATGTACACTGCAATAAATTGCTTGCGCTTTCCTTACCAACTTGCCCAATAATATTATTAGCTTTTTTTGAACAAAATATCTCAACAATTTAGAAGTGAAAACCTTTTCCTGCTGCTGCTGACATTGTGTAAAAAACTACAAATCTAGTGATGTGAAGAAAAATTAAAATGATGTATTTAGTAATCACAAACAACACATATCAATTTCGTTTGCGGCGGCCGCATGCGTTTCCAGTTATTGTTGTAGTTGTTTGTTAGTGCGTGAAAAAAGGAAAGGAATTGAAATTACCAATAAACCGCTTAAATCTATGGAAATACACAGGTTGTTAATGAAAAAGTAATATTTTATTTGTGGAGAAAATGCTTCTGCTAAACACAAATCCTTATAATGAGTGGTTACTTTGTCAGAGTTAAACGAGTATTGCCATATTGTACAAATAAATTGTTGCCATTAGTCAAATAAATGACAACAGTATCACCCTGTTGTGTACACCAAAACCATTGTGAATGATTGTACAATGATTGTGAATGATTGTTTTGTACATCATGACTATTGTGAATGATTTGTGTTATAATAACACAAGGCGATTCATGACCATTTATAAATAAAGACATTAATCTTTATTATTATTTATTTGTTTATATGTAAAGAATTGTATATACTATATAAAGCAAATAAAGATTGAGAAAGGACTTTAGTGTTGTCACTTGTGTAGGGACATAGGGTGATTCATGAAACAATTTATATTAAAAATGTAGTGCTGTCACTTGCGTACTGACATAGGGTGATTCGTTAGACAATTAATAAATATATATTTTCTATTAATTAAAATAATTAAAATGAACACTTTATAATCAACAGAATAGTGCTTTTTTTAATTTAGATTTAAAATATTTGTACGTGGAAACGTCAATGTCGGTCTAGGTTCAGTTTTAAATATATATCTATGTATGCGACTGGAATGTTTATATTTTGATATTGACATTCTGATTATTAGCAAAATTTCTGTCTGATTGCACATTTTCCTAATAAAAATAACGTCGAAATCGTTTATAACGACACATATCGCATACAGCGACCAATTTCGATGGCCCCTGGTTGTCGTTATAAGCGATTTCAACTGTATTGATCCCTTTATTGATCCCTGCTTATGAAAAGTCTCAGAAACCGAATTTTCAATATATTGGAAGATTTGAATAAATTTTTAAGCAAATTGAATGCAATCCGCTATTTTGGACTCTGATCCAACTTAGGTATAGCCCCATGCTATGGTACCCCTTATTTTCACTGATTTGGATGAGGATGTATAACAGTATTAACTATAATTTAATATTTTAGATTCTTAAATCCCTAAATATCCGGCATTTGGAGATTTTAAGCATTCCTGGTTTGCATTGGTTTAAAAAATATTCTGAAGTCATGAGAATTGCTTTTGAATGTTCGGCAGGTTGTGTCGATTACATATATATATATAGGAAGAAACTCCATACCTTCGTGGGAAAATGCTTGGAAAGTTCTCCTTTAAAAATACACTTATTTTTTTGTATTTTTGTTGTAATTCCAAAATCAGTCAGCATTTTAACACTTAATGAACATTTATATAAAGCCTTGATGGTTTCAAATAACAGTTCAATAACCTTGTCTGCTATTCGAATTTTGCATATGTGATTCGCTTGAAAGATAATAAATTTAGATTGCTTCTAAAAGCGAAGAATTTGTTATAAAAATACTACATGAAATTTTCTGAAATCTAGAAAATCTAATCCAAAGGGACAAGAGCGATTCAAAATCCAAATATTTTGAATAAGTGATTGTCTTTTTCAGTAAAAAGCTAGGAATACGCCTGACTACTTTGCAATAAAGAAATACACACAAATGATATCCCAAATAAACCCGCCAATGCTACAGATATATTTTGAATTTTTATATAATAATATATTAATAATTTTATATATTTTAGTTTGTTTTAGTAAAGTTTTAAAAAGATTCTCTAATAATTTTTTTTAAATGTCATGTTTTCTATGAAAAATTGAAATTCCAATTGTAGCCCAATTTTCGAACGCCGTTTAATTAGTTTTTTTTTAACTTTCTGGTCTTTATATTAGATTACAAAGCCAAATATAATTATGTCACGCTTTAGGAAAGTATTTTATTTAAATAAAATATTTCCTTTGTCGAAATTTTCACCGGCAGTTTTAAATCCCCCGACGAATGTCGATATTTTTAACAAAAATTAACGTTGTGTTAAACAAATCTGATTCCAGTTTGTAACCTACTATTTCAATTAAGCCCTACTTTTTGGCATCCAAGAAATTCAAATTTTTTTTTGTTTTATCCCACAGCATCCAAAAATATACTTTCTTGACCCAGCCTCAATTTTCATCCAATTAGAACACATTTGCAAATTTTTTTTAATTAAAAAGTTTTATTCAATGCTTTTCAACAGCATTTATTTACTTTCTTGGTTGATTACGAGCCATATCCTTGGGGAAGGTTCTTACTGGTGGAGTACGAATGCGACGAGCTTCCTTGGATCTGTTTCTTACGACCTTGGAGTGAATAGCGCATGATACGCAGTAGTGCAATTTAGCGTATAATTTGGGCAAAGTGTAAGCTGGAATATTAGAGAAAACAAACAAATAATTAGTATATCTCGGGTTTGGATGCAAGAAACACAACACTTCAAACAAAACTTACAATCCCAGATGGAGGCTTCAGAAATATCACGAACAGCAGCAGCTTCGACGATATTACGGATAACGAACTTCTTGATGGCCTTATCCTTGGGCACACAGCGGGCACAGTTGGTGCAACGCACAGCCTTTACATGGCCTCTATTGTGCTTGCAGCGACCTCCGTTACGACGCTTCTTAGTCTGGAAATATTTTGTATTGGGAGATAAAACACACACATTAATAACACATCAACACCATTCACAATATCTTTTGCTTTATAGTATCTTCTGTTATTGTTTTATCAATAAATATGTTTACATGTTTTCATTTTGGTTATTTGATCACATTTTTTCCATATTTATTTTTCATTAAATTGATAATTGTTAACACACGCACCATTTTGTCAGTCTCCTATGGCCGGAAGAAAGAAAAAGAAAGAAATCTACGGAGTTAAGTTAGTTGTAGTTGGTCACATTTTGACAGCAGCTTTTGTAATAGATTTGCATGTGGTTATTCGTTAGTATTGTAAATGATTATGGGTAGATGATAAACTTGGCAGCATTTTTAATGGGATAACTTTAGAAAGTGTATTTTCTTAATAAATAAAAGATTAATTCTTTCAAAGATTTAATTAAAATGAAAATAATTGAGAAATTTGTTATTAAATAATCAATGATTAATATAAACATGAAGAACATGACACAATGAAAAGGTTTAAAGGAAAATATGAAAAATACAGCTCTGTAGTGGCATTTTTTTACGACAAACTATTAATTGGTCTGTTCCCGTGCTGCAATAATCTACTAGTTTTTGTTATTTATTGGTCAGTTCCTGTACTGCAAGAATCTGCTACTTTTTACTAGGATGACGAATTTTCCTTTATGATATCGAAGAAAATAGTAAAATCTAGTTGCAATTTTTTTATGTAAAAGAATAAAGGTGATGGTCGTTTATAAATTGTTATTGAATATATGGGCAAATAGGGAACTAGTTTAATGAGCTATCTAGTAGCTTAAACAGCTAGAATTTTGTATCTCGATTTAGAAATCGAGTTGGTTTGAAATCAGCTGTTTGAAAGATATATGAAAACACTTAAGGTTTTGTTTTGTTTATAGGTTATGTCGTACGAAAAATATATGTGCAGTTATGAATGCAAAAACTAAAAGTCTTGTCTGCTAATTTTGACACCAGTTTTTTTTAATAGTAAAGCTAGTAAAAGGGAAACATTTCAAAATAAAATCTCTCAGATTACAAAATAATTTGAAAAGATTTGAGTAAAGACCTAATTTTTACCAAGATCAATTGTGCGTTTGTGGTTAAGAAGGTATCACCTGATTTTTACCGGCTTAAAGCGGATTTACATATAACAACTAATCATGATTAAAGGCTGAATCAGGTTTTATTTTCTAAATCAGGCTGAATTTACCATGATTTATAATACGAATTTAAATCATCGTGCGGCAGGGTTTATTTTAAATCATGATCGAAATCATGATACTACTGAGATGCAACTCGGTTTTTATACGAAGAAATACACCTCTCTCACAATGTACCAAAATTTGCAACTGTTTCCACATGTTGTTTGTTTTTAAATTTAACGGTTGGCAAATACAAAAATGGAAGATCAAAGAAAAATAAAACTTATTTACAGAATTTTTGTGTATTTAGGCGTTTTTTTACTTTCCAAACGATCAAAGTATTGCAAAACTGTTTTGATCTTCATTTCATTTTCAAATTGCAAACAAATATTTTTGGCATTTAGATCATGATTTAATGCATGTGTAAACAATTGGGTTGTATTTCTGGATTTCGTTAATCGAGTCGATTTAAAGTCGTATATGTAAATGTACTTTTAACCTTCTCTATCAAGATTTATATGACATAGGTGTAATTGAAGGGATTTATTAAATTCAGTACTATGTAAATGTATTATAAATATCCTTAATTTATTTTCAGGATTTCGTAAATCCATAAATCATAAAAAAGTGTGTATGTAAATGCGCTATAACAAAACCATTTGGCTTTTTAAATCAAAATAAATAACAATAAATAGCAAATCGAAAAAGTTGTTCTGTTTTTTATTTAATGTTTTAAATATTTGTAAAATTTTTCAAAACATTATACACATCCACAAATTTTGTATATGGGTTCGACATAACAAGCCACAATTTCAAAATAAATTATAATTTGTATGTAGCTATAGCCTATGTCAGCTGTTTATTTCAAGTTCAAATTGCAAACAAATATTTTTTCGGCGCAAATTAATAATTTTGTATGTCTACTAACAAACATCAGCTGATCGGCATTTAGATCATGATTAAAGGTAAGTGTAAACAATTAGGGTGTATTTCAGGATTTCGTTAATCGAGTCGATTTAAAATCGTATATGTAAATGTACTTTAAGTCTCATTATAAATTAAAAACAAATTTTAATTGTTCATCAGCTGTCAATTTATCTTCAGTAGGCAGCTATTTTGAATCGTAATGTATTTTGTAGCATACTTTAGGGAAAATGTAATTATTTTGGGTACAAAAGCAGGGTTGTATTTGAAAATATCTCAAATCGAGACATTGAGTGCGTTTAATTTTGTATGGTTTGTACTGAAAAATACATCTCTATCAAAAATAGAAAGAAGAAAATAGAAAAATATTAATAGAATTATTGTGTTGTGATCGCATTTTGTATTTTCCAATTTCAATTGTTGTAATTTTTCTTTCCATTTTCAATTTGAAAACAAATATTTTGTTTGGCGCAGCTGATGTTTTGTTGTTTGTTTGTATGTAAAAATCAGCTGATTTATTTCATGATTATATGTAAGTTTAAACTGTTTGTATTAATCGAGTTGATTTAAAATCGTACATATAAATGTACTTTAAGTTGAATAAGAAAAATCAACTCTTTATTTAGAGTCTAGCTACCCTAATTATACGTAAGACCAGTGATGTATTTTAGTAAATAGCAGAATTCAATTTGTTTGTAAGTGTAAATAGTGTGTAATTCTGGATTTCGTTAATCGAGTTGTATATATAAATACGAATTTTAATCGACTTTAAGAAGTTTAAGCCGTCAATAAGAAAAATCAATTCTATACGTCAGTTATAGTACGTTTACATTTAACCGGATTTCGTTAAACCAGTGGGTTTCAATTGCCAATTTCTTTGCATATATGTCAAATAAATCCTCATTAAGTGGGTTAACCTGCTAAAAAGTTCTAATGTATATGCCTTTTGAGGACACATTGATGTATGTAAATATACCATTAGCATATGTTTACACCAAATATGAATTGTTTTTTCCATTGTCGAGCTAATGTCAAAATGTGTGATTTAAATTGTCAGCTACCTTAATTTTACGTAAAACTAGTGATATATTTTAGTAAACTGGGGAATTCAATTTATTGCTTTCTTTTTTAATTTTGACTTAATGTACAACTCAATTTTTTTAATCTCATTTTCAAATTCCTCCCGCCATTCCCTTTAATTTAGGGGTTGTTTCCAATTGGATATTTTTTTCCTTTCGTTCGCATATGTGCATGGTATTTGACATATGGGAAACAACCATGTCCCTATTTTACGTTATGTTTTTGTTATTGTTGTTGTTTGTCGTTGTTGCTCTTTGGTTTGTCACAGACAATATCCTGCTATACGGTGGAGTATTTGCGTAAATTTGGTTATAGATAATGCGTTGACTGTTCAAATCAGAAGAGTATAACAATGTCATGTAAGAAAAAGTCTGGTTACTTTCAGCATCAAACTGCTTTCTTTAAAATTTTATTACTCTTGGTTCAATTGAATTGTTTTTTTCCTAATTTAATTTTGGTGGTGTCCCTTGTCTTTGGCACAAAATAATAAATTTCTGTGTGCGTGTGTGTGCGAGGAATAAATCGAATCTAAAATAAAGAAATAACAACGAATTGGAATTTTAGAGCAAAGCTGGCCATTGGAGCCAGAAGCAAAAAAAAAAGGACACAGAAAAAAAAATAACCAAGTAAACACAAAGTGTTGTGTGCTGGTTGGCCATTATGTGAGGAGCACAAGACAGATAGACGAACGAACGAAAGAAAATAAAAAAAATAAATAAACTGAGATTTGAGATTACAACGACGAAGAAGACGGTGTGGTAGTCCAACCAAAGAACAATTTGTACTCCCCAACAATAACAAACGAAACGAGAATTAGTAGCAAAACTGCTGGTGGCTTATCAACAAAATCGTAAAAATTTGCCACCTCAGAGTTCAGCATATGAAATGGCATTAACTAAACGTATAAAATGTTTCAAATATATGGTATACTGTTATATTGTCCTATTAGCGGTAAGTATTTACAAACAAAATAAATAAATTGCATATTACACACACACACTCACACATACATGCCATCACAGCAATATCCTTGCACATTTGTATGTCTGTCTTTCTGTCTCATTAAAAAGTCCTGTAGTGAAAATATGATGATGATGATGATTGCGCAACTTTGACACATATCTACATATGTTTATGTTTTTCCAACAAAAGGCAAGTGCATGCACACACATGTATGTATACGTTTGTGTATGTGTGTCAGTGTTGCGTATTTATCCTTAGAAATGTAAATAAAAACATCAGACAAACAATGAGTGCTACTCTATGCTCTATGTTAACACAATTTCTTATGACTGTTTTTTGTTATTGTTGTTGTTTCTTTGTTCTCATTTTCCCCTTTTCTCTCCCTCTTCCATCTCTAGGTCACTGGCTGTGCACAAATATTTTTGGGCACATCCCTGCTGTGGGGTCATTCCGGCCACTATGGCGTTGTACAAAATAGGCTATGGGCCCCAGCTGCCTTGCTCCTGTGTTTGGGTCCGGGTACATTTATTTTATGCTGGATTGGCTGTCAGGCCACCAATCAAAAGAAAAAATGTCTTTTGGGTCTGGTAAGTTGTAAAAATTTCTTTGCTCCCAATAATAGCCATTCATTTGATTTATCTTTTCTTTGTTTATTTTCATTCACAAGTTTGCCACCTTTCTGGTCATCAATATTCTAATACAATTCCTGTTGTGCGGCTGGTCCTTGGCTATGCGTGAACATTTGCCATCATCGGTGGAGATATATATCGATGATTCATTTGTCGAATTTTTGGATAAATTCTCCAGGACCAAGGTTGATAACCTACATTTATGGAATAGGATGCAATCACAGGTAACCTTGACACACACACACACACATACATACACAGGCACAGTTGCCAGCAATCATAATAATAACAAAAACAACAACACATTGAACTATGCTGTGCGTGTTATACATGCACACACACACTCACAAAGAAATTGTCATTGAGTCGAGTGTATACATAATTATTTGCTTGTGTGTGTGTATGCAACTTTGTGTGTACATTAGGTTGTAACGCATACTGAAAAACACCCAACATCCAAGGTCTACCAAATTGGGGTTAACCAATTTGTTATTGTTGTTGTTATTGCAATTTGTAAAACAACAAAAAGTTGAAGGTTTTCTCTTTTTTTGGTTGCATTGAAAGGGAAAGTGTTTACTTGCTTTCAAAAGGGGTTTGATGAATATTGAAATTATCTATTAATTAAAAAAAAACATTAATTTGTTTTGGAAAATGCTACTGATTTTATTTATCAATTCCTAATTCAATGAAATGCAATGTAAACCGCAACATTCAATGAAATGTAAAAACGCCCTTAAACATATGATATGAATGATATATGATACAAACAGCTGATGCTTCTTCGTACTTCCACATTAAATAATAAAAACTGTGAAATACAAAAAAAAATTAAATGTATTTGAATTTTGCCTTAAACATATGATATATTCAACAGTAATTTTAAGTGATTATTTATACATTTTATAGCAAAACCTGTGAAGTTTTGCAATGAAAAGGAAAGCCATTAAAATATATTTTTTTTTATAATTATTAAATTGATATGTGGTCTGTTCCAGCACTTTTTTTAATAGTAAATCTAGTAAAAGGGAAACATTTCAAAATCGTTCTCAGTGTACCAAAGAATTTAATAATTTAAGAATTTAAACACGGCCTTAAACAGATGATATGAATTATGCATGATACAAACAGCTGATATTTCTTCGTTATTCCGCATAATAAAAAATAATGGCATGGCATAATGAATAGGTAGTCCATTTAGCGCAGCTGATGTCTTGATTAACTGTTAAAGTGGGTAATTTCTAGCTGAATTCAATGTGCATTGTTGCCAACCATGTGAAATATTATATGGAAAAATTTGACAGATGGTTTTTTGTTTTGATACATCACCTTATTTTTGCATCATGAATAAAGCCATATAATATAAGGTCCGTTCCAGCACCTATTATACCATAAATAATAAATAAATAATATACCATATATAATAAACACAATAGGCGTTAATATGTTTCAACGAAAGAGTTTCGCCAAACATATTTATGTAAATCTACCTTTAGCTTAGCGAAATTAAATGTAAACATGGCTTTAAACATATGATATGAGTGATATATGATACAAACAGCTGATATTTCTTCGTACTTCCACATTTAATAATAAAACTAGTGAAATTAAATGTAAACACGGCCTCTAACATGATAGAAACAGCTGAACTTTTTCGTACTTTCACATTTAAGATTAAAACCAGTGAAGGACGAAAATTTTTCATTAAAATATTTTTTTTAGAATTACCAACTTGATATAGTGTTTTCATATAATATAAAATCCGTTCCAGAACCTATCATACCATGGAACAAGGTGTTAATTTGTTCCAACGAAATAGTTTCGCAAAACGTATTTTATGTAAATGTACCATTAGCTTAGCTTAGCGAAATTAAATGTAAACACGCCCTTAAACATGTGATATGAATTATTCATGATACAAACAGCTGATATTTCATCGTATTTGCACATTTATTAAAAAAGTAGTGAAAGGGAATAATTGTCCACTTTACTATGAGAGTAAAAGGCAATGCATACAAAGGTCTCCCAAATCCGGGTTAACCAATTGTAAAACAACACAAAAAGTTGAAGGTTACTTTTGCAGAGTATTTGGAAATATTTATTAGTTTTCGAGGGAGGTTTATTGAATATTGAAGTGAACAGAAATATTTATTACTTTTCGAGGGCGGTTTATTGAATATTGAAGTGGAAAAAATTGGATAGTTGTTTTATTGTATATTTTTATTTAAACATTAATATTTGATTTATACTACTAGCATAATCAAATAAGTGACCAGTAAATGCAAAAAAATTATTTCCTTTCCAAAAAATGTAAGAATATTCAATTTTTTTATAATTTTTCCATTAGTACTGGAACTGACCAATTACTTTTGTTTATGAAATATTTAATAGAATTAACTGTAAACACGACCTTATATTTGTTAAACATTATTCACAACTGACTTATGAGGTGTTCTCGAAGAGAACAAAGAATATAAATAGAGCTTCTAAATGTCTTGGGGTTAGCCATTTTTGTTGTTGCCATTGTAAAACAACAAAAAGTTTAAGGCTCTTTTTGCATATGTAATTAAATACAAACACTGAATTAAATGTATATACGCCCTTATCATTTCATAAAAATTAAACATAAAACAAACAGCTGATTTACTGAGTTCCCGTGTTTTTTAAATAGTAAAAATAATAAAAGGGAAAATGTCAAAATAACCTTGAGAATGCAAGTAAAGCATACAGAGGTCTCCCAAATTGGCGTCAACCAATTGTTTTTCCTGTCATTGTAAGAAGTTGAGAAAAATTATTTCAGTGAAAGTGACAGTATTTATTAGTCTACAAGGATCTTAAACATTTCAGTTTTCATTTAAAATACATATTTATTTAAAAATGTTTCTTGGAAACGTAGCAAAGAATACATCCAGCTAATATGTAATCATGATGCAATAATAAGGTGATGTATCAAAACAAAAACCTTTGTTTTTGTCTCGATTATCTGTCAAATTTTTCCATATAATATTTCAAATTGTTGGCAACACTGCACATCGAATTCAAGTAGAAATTACCCACTTTGACAGTTAATCAAGACATCAGCTGCGCTAAATGGACTACCTATTCATTGTGCCATGTATGTAATGTATGAAAACACTACTTTTATTTAGCTAACGGTGCGTTTAGACTATGCCTTCTAAATCGAGGCTCAATATCCTAACTGTTTAGACTAGTTTTAAAAACATTTATTTAAAGATGACAGTCAACTGTTATTTGTTTACTTATGCTGCTATATTTTTGATAAATTTTTTGTGTAAAGGCAGGGTTGTATTTGAAGTTATCTCGAATTATTGTAGGATTTCGAGCAAATCGAAATATTGAATATATAGAATAAATCCAGCTAATATCTATTGTATGAAAATGCTACTTATATTTAGCTAAATGTGCTTTTTGACTATGCCTTCTAAATCGGGGTACAAAATCCTAGCTGTTTAGAATAGTTTTAAAATTATATAAAGTTGATGATCGGCTGTTATTTGTTTACGTATGCTGCTATTTATTTATAACGTTTGAACGTTTGAATAATCTGAAGCGTAAAGCGTTGCCATTTTGGTACTATTAGAATAAATGATGCATTTTTTGTGTAAAAATCAGGGTTGTATTTCAAATTATTTTGATTTAGGATATGATTTCGAGCAAATAAAGATGTTGAGCGGATTTAATTTTTTTTTGTTTTTGGAAAATTCTGCTTTATTTATTCTTTAGTTATGAAAGCACTACTTTTATTTAACAAAATTTTAATGATCATGGCCTAAATAATTGATACCAATTGTAAATGTAAATGTTGAAAAATATTTCGATAAATAGTAGATTTTTGCAAGAACGGGAACGGAACATATGTAAACATCTATTTTTCTGGTGGTATGTGGATTTATTTGACATATATGCAATGGAATTGACAATTTAAGTCCACTGGATTTACTGAATCTAGTACAATGTAAATTCAGTCTTAAAACAGATTTACATATAACATATAATTATGATTAAAGGCTGGATCAGGGTTTATTTTCTTTATCAGACTGGATTTACATTGTTTATCATACACATTAAAATCATTTGCGGCGGGGTACTACTGAAATGCAACGCACTTTTCTTCAAATTGCAAACAAATATTTTTGGCGCAAATTGATAATTTTGTATGCATACTAACAAACATCAGCTGATCGGCATTTAGATCACGATTAAAGGTATGTGTAAACAATTAGGGTACATTTCTGGATTTCGTTAATCGAGTCTATATAAAGAAAAATATCGATTAATAGAAATTATTGCAGATTCATGAACAGAGCAACAATTTGTGAGAGAGTTGAACGATTTCCACTACCTCAACCCTCACAACTACCAACTACAAAAATGAAGCAATTAAACTTGTCTAGTGTGAATCAAGTTTGTACAATACAATGTTCCACATTGCAATAATATAATAACATGGTTTTATGTAAATGTAAACATAAAATATTTTATTCATGAGAAGAAATATATAATAAATATTGAATACGTTTCTTAAACGTCATTTACATTAGAACTTTTTACCGGTTTAACCTACTTCATGAGGATTTATTTACAATGGAACTGACAACTTAAACCTACTGGGTTAACGAAATCTGGTAAAATGTAAACGTAACATTGAGGTTTTTATGTATTGTTTTCCGGGACATTAAAAAAAAAAACATTAATTTTGTTTGCCCTATGTAAACGTAGTGTATAATTTTCTTAAGTTAGCAAATTCTGATACATCTTATAATTAACAATACTTTTTCTCACCTTAGCTACAATGCTGTGGCGTTGATGGACCACTTGATTATCGCCGTTTATCATTACCCTGGTCCTGCTGCTCGCGACCTGAAACCGCTTATGAATCAGCCTGCGATACTCATTATAAACGAGGCTGTTTAGCCGTTGTCTCCGAACAAATTAAATATACACTACTGATAACTGCATTTGGTGCTGCCATTATAGCCATATTCCAGGTGAGTTTCGATATATCCTGCAGAAGACCACAACAACAACATAAATTAAAAAATATCTTTTTTTAAATTTTCACAGAGTTTGGGCCTATTTTGTGTTGTTCATTTGGCCATACTCTATGGTAAAAACGACAATGGCTATGATAATAATAAACTTAGCAAGAAACGCCAGCAACAGTTTCTGCCACTCTCCATACAGGATAAACGCCAGGATATACCATCACCATTGAGTTTGTCACCCACGGCACCAGGGCATCGTGTGCTAAAAACTTCTGCACCCGGTGGTAAAAAATGACAGACGATTAGCTTTTAAGTGTTCAATTGAATTAAAACTATTAAAAAAAAACAAAACAAAAAAAAAATCATAAAAAACTACAAAAAAATTAACAAAAAAAATCAACCAAAAAAAAAAACAAAAAATGAAATGTTTTAGATTACTCTAATATCTCTCAAAACAGATATACAAAAACAAAAATACGAAATGAACAACCAACAACAACAACAACTACTAAATAACTAAACAACTAACACACAAACACATTCACACCTATTCTATAATTTGAGATGGAAATTAATAAATGTGGCCCTCAATTTATGTTTGTTGTTATTTTGTCATGTTCAATGTACAAAAACAAAACTAAAAGAAAAAAACGTAAAAAGTAAAAAACCAAAACATGCAAAAGCAAATAAGAGAATTATTGAAACAAATCTAACAAAATTTAACTAAAAATTGAAAAAAAAAATGAATGAAAACCAATAAGAAAAACTCAATTAAGAAAAATAAACTCAAACCAAATGAAAAAACAACCGCATAGAATTAGATTTCAATTTCATCAAATTTCGAAAAAGTAACAAAAACCAAGAAAAAAAAATTAAATTTGTAGTTTATCTTTCTTTGGAAGATCGTTAATTGGGAGATCGATTGTTGGGTATTTCTGTGTGTGTGTGTGCGAGTGGGGGGAAATGCAGCAAATGAGTATTTGTGTTTTTTTCTTAAATACAACTCTGTTAGAGGGAATGTTTGGGATGTTGCTTATGCTATATTTACATTGATCTTGTCTTGTCAGAGTTGATTTTTTACATGGGGATATTTTTGGTACTTAATATAATTTATAGGGGTTAAACAAGTCGAAGAAGAACCTGAATGTGAAAACAAGCAAGGAAATTGCAAATAAATTTTAAATTGAGAAAATTAGTATTTGGCTTTTTGGAATACAACTCTGTTAGAGAGAATGTTTGGGCTGTTGCTTATGCTATATTTACATTGATCATGGCTTGTCAGAGTTTGATTTTTTGCCATATTTTAGGTAAAAATTAAAGTGATTTACCAAATTTCGATGAGAATTTATATCAAAACATATGGCAGTGCTGTTGAACAAAAAAACAAATATATTTCAAGGTTTACATGAACGTTTGTTCATTGGAAATTGCATATAAATATGAAATGGTGCAAATGAGTACTGTTTTTTTTTTTGAACATTTGAAGTACTTAAAATATTACATGGTGAAGTTTATATAATTTACATGAAAACAAGCAAATATTATGCAACATTTACATTGAACGTGTTCTATGGAAATTGCAAATGAAATTTGAAATGGAGCATATTGAGTATTTGTGGTTTTCAAATACAACTCTGTTAGAGGGAATGTTTGGGTTGGTTATGCTACATTTACATTGATCTTGTCTTGTCAGAGTTGGTTTTTTTTAGGAACATATGAGCTACTGAAAATATTGCATGGGGAGTTTTCTGGAGATTAATCGTAATGTGTAGATAAGACCCTGATCATCAAAACAAGCTAATTTAATGCAACATTTACATCGAACGTGTTCTATGGAAATTGCATATAAATTTGAAATGTAGCAAATGAGTATTTGTAGTTTTTACATTCACATCGATCTTGCTCTGTCTGAATTGTTTTTATTTTTTTGAACATTTGAAGTACATAATTTATGCTGGCAAACAAGACGAAGAAGGAAATTTCATATAAATTTGAAATTGACCAAATGAGTATTTGTTTTTTCAAATACAACTCTGGGAATGTTTGGACTATTGCTTATGCTACATTTACATTGATCTTGTATTGTCAGAGTTGTTTTTTAGGGACATATGAAGTACTGAAAATATTACATGGGGAATTTTATGGGGATTTTATATAATTTAACAGACAGTTCAAACTTTTTGCTGTTGTAATCAGCTGTATTGGTTTTATACATGGCCTATAAATACGGTGACCCAGGGAGACCAGCTGGATATCTGCGTCACTCAAGTTTGTTATCAAAATGCATTATTGTGAATTGACTCCCATTATGAAAACGTAAACAAAGTCGAAACTTTTGACATTAGACTTGAGAAAAAACAGCTGTTTTGCGATTTCGATTGCAACCTGGGTGACCTTATTAATAGATCTTGATTTTATACTTATATTAAGTTGACAATCAGCTGTTATTTGTTTACATATGCCGCTATATTTATGTAAGACAGTGATGCACACGGTGTAAGACTAGTACATTAAGCTAAAACGGCTCATACACGTCAAACATGTGCTTTCAATCGGTGTGAATGAAATTAAAAAAAAAAGTTCAGTATTTCTTAAGTCGTCACTATCGTTGTTCATCTTCAATCTTTAAAAAATTCGAAGTGAAATTTTGTCGATTCGTTTGTGGCCTAGGAGCTTCACACCGATCAAACGTACATGTTTGACGTGTGTGGTCTCAACGACGACAAAAAAAAAAAAAAAATAAGCGTAAGAATCCATGTTAGTTGAGCCGACCGCTAGAGTGCAAATATTAAATAAATATATGAACCGTGATCTATTTAGAATCATTGTTCTGATGAAATGCAACACTGGCATATAATTGCAATGGTTGATTATACAGAGTTTACAAGAGGAGGAATAGGAGTAGACATTTTCGGTGCAACGCTAATATTTGACAGTAAATGTAGATGCAGGAAAAACTTTTCAAATTTTTAAAGGAAAATAAATATTGAAGAGCAGGTTCTGAAGAAGAACATAAATAAACATTATAGTAGGTTTACATTGTACTAAATTAACCAGTGGGCTTAAATTGTCAATTCCATTGCATATGTGTCAAATAAATCCTAAAAAAGTTCTAATGCCCATGGCACAATGAATAGGTAGTCCATTTTGTGCAGTGTTGCCAACCATTTGAAATATTATATGGAAAAATTTGACAGACAATCGAGACAAAAACAAAGGTTGTTGTTGTGATACATCACCTTATTATTGCATCATGTAGATGCCCATGGGCCAATTATAAGGTCGTCCGATAAGGCCAAATGATTTTCACCCGAGCTTACAAAATGCTTTCAATGTAGACTTATTCGTATGAAAACGTAAACAACAAATTTTACAGTATGGAGGATTTTCATCTAAAATTGCCGATAATATTCCCGTCTTGCACGACCTGTTTAATGGGCCTTGGTAGAAGCCGTTTTAATGTAAACAAAAATCAGCTGATGGGCTGTTATATTATTTCAATATCAAGATGTGTGTATATGTAAACAAACATCAGCTGACTGTCACCATTTCGATAACCTTCGATCATTTAATTGTATTTTTTTAGGTGTTATTAATATGTTCTATGCATTTTCTATTACATATTTGTAAATGATAATGAAATAAATAAATATTTTGCTGTAGGAAATATTTTGGTGAAATATATACAACTAATTTATACTAATTTTTCAATATTATAGAGGAAAAGTAGTTATCGTAGTAAAAATGTGTACATTATTGCAGGTTTTGGAACAGATATTATATTTGTGAAAGTTATTCGGTATTTTTTTTTTTCAAACCTAATAAACATCCTCATACAAAGAAAGCTATGAATGCACTACATATGACAAAAAGAATACCTTTAACCTCTCCATCCCTCTTTTTATTTCCCCTAAAATGAGTTCAAGGATAACTAGTATCCTTATAGTTTCTTTTTTTACGTATACATATGTATCTACTCATAAGTAGATATAAGTCATTACCACAAGCAGCAGCATCGTCATCTCAATGAATGGTAGTATCATCCGGACAAAGGACATACTTCGTTAACATAATTTATTTTTTTTCTCGAGAGAGAGGGGGAAAATATGTTTATATGCATCACAACAATTTCCAAATACTTCAATTTAGAAATTAGTTCAAGAATGAGGCGCGTCGGTGGTTACAGAAGATGTTAATAATTATGTGAAAAAAGTTCTATGTAACATAGCACACACACATACATACATGCATATGAGTGCAGCCTACATTATTTTGTAACTTTTTGAGAGCTACTTACTTTTGTGTGGACATTTGGAGGATAAAAAGAAAATGAGGATAGGCAAAGTGTTTTTTGACAACGCTCATAAAACATTTTTATTAAGACAAATTTCAATTTCCTCATAGAAATATATTATGGATATATAGAATAGAGTTTCTAAGAGACGAATAAATTTATTGGATTTTTTAACATTTTTGAATTATTCAAAAATGTGGCAAAACTTTTTAAATGTATAAAGGGAAAATCGAAATAAAATTTTGATTATTAGAAGGCATGATCGGTCACCCTATCAAAGAAACAGTATTTAGGCCAGAAAGGTTCAAAAATAAGTGAATTGTCCGATCAACGTTTCGTCGTTTGATCTATATTATTTCTGGCTACGAATTTCTGTATATTCCGTTAAATAGGCAAATGATGTACGAAATGGCGCCCAATGTGTCAGAATTCTATGACAGCTATTACTGCTTCTGTAAATACCGACAACGATAGAAAATCCGAGCTCAGGAAGAAGTTCCGATACCAACTGATGTATGAAATGGCGCCCAATGTACCAGAATTCTATGACTGGCGTTATTGCTTCTGCAAATATCGACAAGGATAGGAAATTCGAACTGTTGAGACACCTTAGCTATTGAAAGAATAAAAAACGTGCATGTCGCCCAGGAAGGAGTTCCGATAAAGTGGTAAATGGTGTACGAAATGGCGCCCAATGTATCCGAATTCTATGACTGCTATTACTACTTCTGTAAATCTGTTGGAACACGTTAGTGATGGGAAGGACAAATACCCGTTCACGTCGCTCAGGAACAACAGATAAAATAACTGCTTCTAAAACCAAAAATTTTGAAAAACTCCATATTTGTCCGTCGGCATTCCACAAACGTCACTACACCGCATTTGCAATAAAATTAGGGTCTAAACGGCATTTGTATTAGGACTTTGTTTCGAATTAACGTCCTCTATGAGGATATTTTTGGACATATATTTAATGGAATTGACGATTTAGATCTACTGGATATAATAAAACAATGTACTATTGCAAACGTACTATTAGGGCTTATAAACTTCCAAGTGAGTACAAGCAGTTCGATCATTAATGCTCAA